AAAAAAAAAAGCAAATAAAAACGCGCAAAAGTAACCAGAACAGGTCGAAGCAGCCAAAAATGCACGAAAGAAACCCCGCGGCAAACATGAACAAATAATGGAAAATTCAGTGACTTACGCTTGCAAAGAAGCTCTTGTGCCCAGGGCTTGATCGACTCAAAGACATGATGTGCAATCTGGAGGTTCCTTCCTGTACTTAGGTATTCTAGGTCTTGAGCGGCCTCGGCCAGCTTTGGTTGTCCGACCGAGTAGAGGCCGGAGGAGGGGTTTCGAGTAGAAGGCAAAGGCGCTGGCAATCGAAGAAACCGATGCGTGTTCTGCAGCAAAAATCTGGAAGTTCGTTTCCTGCGATTTTTTTTTCTCGGCGGAAAATCGACAAGACAGGTCCGGCTGTCTCAGGAGATTATTGACTGCAGTGGAAGATAATGGCTTTGACAATCCGGTTGGATCCCATTAAGCCCAACTATCGATGCGGTGAAGAAGCAAAGAGGGAAGCACAGACGTCATTCCGCGGGGCAATCGCAACACTCCACTATATAAGAAAGATGCAAGAACCGTCAAAGATGAAGAGAAAGAAAAGTTGATTGAATCTTCTGCCTCCAAAAGATTCAGACAGAAATATCCACGTGATGGATCGTTTTCTTCGGGTAAATTCGCCGTCCGTCCGGCATCAGCATGCAAGCATCCAAAATCTTCTTCCAGCACAGGCCTCAAAGTGGATTTGTACAACCCAGCAAAAACTAACAGAATAAATTATTAAAATTGAAAATGCAGTGGTACGATTGAATGCTAATTTAGCCAAGTTAGATCTACGATGTTTGGCCAACCACAGGCTTTTCGGATACAGATGAAGCAGGCTTCAAGACGCTGATGATATGATAAGAACCGAGAATATCTTCTTTTATTTTCGAGATCGCTGGAGAAACTATGCAACATAAAGTTTCAAACCCATATCTGTTTTGAGATATACCAAAGCCTAACGACTTCCTTGTTTCTTCCCTTGGCCAATATCGGACATACGGAACAGGGAAATCCCAAGATTCAGTCAAGGCTCGACCTCGTCTCATTTGACTTCTATCCAGAATCATGAGACCCGATACCGTCGGGTTTCTCAGACGAGTGGTTTCCAAATACCCTTCCGGATAGGACGGTCTAAAAGACCGATGGAGACTGAGAACAAGATAGACAGGTATTTGGCGATCTCCCCCATCATATTTGCAAACCCGTAGAAGAAATTTTTGCGTGCTTTTTGTTTTTACGTTACCTGTCTTGGTTGTTCTCTTGCCCTGTGGCGGCACCCAGGAGAAAGAGACTTTCCTGTTAAGGAGCGAAGTCAAGCCTTTTTTGTCTTTTCTGTTTTAGGGGGTTTCGATGGTGTCATCAAATCACTTTTGTTCAAGGTTCACAGTGATAATCTAAACCTCAGCAGTGACCTCGTCGGTGGAAATTTCAGTTGTTTTGGTGGAGGGCCATTTGTTTCTTTCCTCAGACTTCCAGGTCTCTCCTCGGGCTCGTTGCACACGAATGTTTGCACCCCAAGGGCCCTCCTGGCCATTTTTCGTTTCCATGGCAGCTTGTGCCTCTTCAACGCTGCTAAAGTCGACAAAGAGGTAATAGTGATCACCGGCCTCGAAGCGCTTAGCCGGGTGAGGAGTAAAGAGCTTGCTGACATTCTCACTGTTCAAAATTGTGAGGTTTTGTTCGGATTCTGTTCATGGGGAAAGAAGGAAACATACACATTATACTCCTTGAAGAAGTTGGTCATATTACTGCTGATCGCTTCTTGGTCGGTCAATCTTGGGAGCCCACCAACATACACACGACGACTAGAGTCGCTGTTAGTCTTAGCGAAGCTAGGAGCGTCATTTCGGCGCCAGCGGTCAAGAGAAAATGGCGAAGAGGGCTTGTCACGACGAGGCGAGCCATCAGTTGGCTGTTGCTGAGCACGTTCGCTCGAAGACTTGGCCACACCGGGCTTGATCTTGACAGGACGGCCAAGCATATCGTGACCATCCAACTCAACCATCGCCCGCTCGGCCATCTCCTTGGTCTCCAGGTCGACAAAACAATACGAAGGGTTGCGGCCAGTAAAGGGGTCTATCGCGATGTCGATACGCTCACTGTGAAACACTTAGTTTAGGCCACCATCTTTATGGATTTTCAAAGCCATACATTGGGAATTCCGCGGAAAACAATGCCTCCACATCTTCGGATTTGGCCGTGTATGGCATGTTACCCACGTAGAGGCGTCGACCCTCTGCAATTGCATGTGGCACATGAGGGCTTGGTCTGCTGAATGCGAGTCTCGAGGTGTTTGTCTTTGGGCCCGGGGATCCAGCATCATCTACTTGGGACTGCGCCCTCGGGCTTTCCTCTGACTTTGTACGCCAGTTAGGAGAGTGAAAGGCACGGCCTGTGGTTCTGACTCCATTTGTAAAGGAAGTTCTCGGAGCTAATCACGGATTAGTTGATTCATAAAATATTGCTTGGTGTATGTTTTTTGGATCCAGCCCCAAATGAGCAGCCCAAAGGTATTCTCCTACACACTTTGCTGCTGCGGCCGGGGACTTTCAGGAGCGTCGACCATTGTGTCTGATTTTTTTTTTATGAAGATCGGTTGGATATTATAGAGGGTATAGGGTTATGGTGTTCGGTCTGTATCAGGACGATAGATCTTAGCATTCATGTGTAGCAAAATTTACGCATGGCCTAAAATGGCGGGGGAGGGGGAAAATGTAAGTATGTATTTATTTTTCTTACACACCTCTCAGGACAGCTACACCAGGATATTTGGAAATCCGAAAGCTGGATAGTTTGCAGCTGGTCACTTAGAATTCGGATTTTCGTTGTCTGCCGGAGAAACAAAGATTTTGACGAATTGAAGCCGCTTCAAAGACAGTCGCTTCGCTGGCGATGCGGGCACCGCCAAAAATCTGCACTCTTTTTTTTTTCTCCTGCGGGCAAGATCGGCGATGCAAACAGTGCAAACAGAGCAAGTCAAACAAAACAGATTTCTCGATTCGACGCTACTGTCATGCCTGCTCCTATTGGTCTATTAGCGAACCAAGCGGAATTTTTCCTCTCCACCAGCGCCATTAAATAATCGCGACCTCATCGCGTCGTTGTCTTCTTCTTCTTATCACATCACTCTGGCCACCCTGGAAATATTGATTCAAAATGCAGCTCTTTTCCTCTATAGCTGGCATATTATTTGAATTAGTGTTTCCAGGATGAAGCTATTGTTGATTCGGCACGCAGAGTGTGGACATAACCTGGGACAAGCAGCGTATGCCCTATCTGTGTTGATTTCATCGGTTTGCAACTGACAGTGCGATCTGCTCGGCTGTTTTCAGAGGCAATACCACTGGCCATACCCTCACGGACAATGGCAAAACACAGGTCCAGCTACTGGCTCGGCATCTCAGGGACCGTGGCCTTCGCTTCACCCGTGTATTCTCGTCCGACTTGGATCGAGTTACGATGACCGCCGAGGGTATCTGTCAACAACAGCTCGAGGGAGGCATCTTGACTCCGGTTCAAATATCGGAGCTGAGGGAGCAGTCCATGGGATGGTTGGATGACACACGATGGCGACCTGGCGTCCCTGCATCGAGTGTCAGTTCGCCGGATTCTTTGCGTGGAGGGCAGCCAACCTACACAGATGAAGAGTCCATGGCCTCGATGAGATCTCGTGCAAATAATTTTCTTGAAAATGAACTTCTACCATTGGTAGAGGGCCCATCGGGCGATGATGAGGTGGTTGCCGTGGTTGCTCACGGAATGATCCTCCAAGTCCTTTGGGTTTGTCTTGCTGACTTGTTCAATTCCGAGGATATCTCCCTGGCACCGGGTGTCAGCCAGTCTGACTTTGGGGATTATATCCGCCCGGTCTGGTCCAACACGGGAATCATGGAAATTGCCATCCAGAAACGCCCACCGGCAGCAAAGTCGGTTCGTGAGGCTACGCAGCCCTCGGTGTTTCTCTTTGGGACTATCCAGCTTTCTATCCAAGATGACTCGAAGGCGCCACTATCGGGCTGGTACCTGATTGTTCTGTCAGTGGATAACACGCTCCATCTTGAAAATGAACAGCAAGTTGGTCGCACAAGGTGGACTGTTCAAGAAACAGTGCCTGAATCCCGACAAGATTCTATGGATCAATTTTGCGGACTAACAGGGACAGCTTGATCTTGCAACCTTTCTACTCAATGGTATGTTTACTTTTTCTCTCTTTCTATCCTCCTTCACTAGCCCGTCTTCCCCATCAATCCTCTACAATGATGAAGCAAGATTTCACACAGACCTGTTCCGAGTTATTTATCGTGCGGATCAACAATCGTTCCAACTGCTGTCTGAATTAGAGTGATACACTTTACCTATATCCTTGCCACTTCCATACTGCCAGCTTTTCATTTATGATTCAAAGCTAACTTCACATTAAGACAGGATCACTTGTATTGATCTGGTTTGAGGGATAGAAAGGACTTGAGGATAATTCATTATGATAGATATATTGATTAATCGATGTGTTTTTCCAAAATCATTATCTAATATTCGTAAATCTTATGCTTGTAATGTTCATGCTTCGCAGCCGGGCCTTGTCGAAACTATCTAGTTGCAAGTCCAGTATGACGACCTCGCATGATAAGCAGAAAGAAAAGAACTACTAATTATCTGTTGATTTCCTTCCTAAGGTGGATGCACTCACGCCGCATTATAACCAACATCTCTTGGGTGAGTGACCGGGTCTTCCCGTTCATACAAGATCTCCGGTTCCACTCCCTGACACAAGAAATATCTCTTGATGAAGTATGGAATCTGTCTGAGTCCATACGCCGCGTGAAATCGAGTCGGTACTGAAAACACCTGATCTAGTTCTTCGAGTGTCTTGCCTTTGGTCTCGGGTAGGAACATGAGGACCAGCCACCATCCGAGAATGTTCCAACCGGCATACCAGCCAAATGCACCCTGCGGAGTAAACGCATCCTGCAATGAGGGCCAGGTGATCGCAAGGACGAAATTAAACAGCCATGTTGTGGCAGTTGCCAAAGCCATGCCGTATGAACGTACATAAAGCGGGTATGCCTCAGCCGAATACGTGAATGGAACAGGTCCTCCGCCAGGGGAATATACGACACCAAAAATATAGATCCCCAGGGCAATGCATGCCATCCGAGCAGTCTTGTGCGTTTCCTCTGGTATCCAGAAGCTGAAGCCGGTGAAGAACATGGCAAGAGCCAACAAGGGAAATGTGGTTAGGAGGAGATTACGACGACCAAATGTATCGATTGTGTATACAGCGGGAATGGCAAATATCCAGTTTATCAGGCCCCAGCCTAGCGACGCAGCTAGGGCGGATCGTTGGTTGGATGTTGCTTGCAGGAAAATCTCGGATGAATAATAGGCGATGACGTTCACTCCACAAAACTAAGGAAGGATTTGATAGTTAGGGAAAGGTTTTGATGGACGTGATATCGGTGGCTTACCTGTTGCATGAACATCATGAGCTCGGACGCGATCATTGCACGCCTGTTACGAGGAACAGTTATCAACTCTAGAAGCTTGTTCTGGCCGAGCTTCATCCCCGTCTCCGCTTCCAGCAAGGTATGCATATAGTATAGGTCTCGGGCTGCCTGGATCTTGTGATGGCGCAAGCTGCACATGGATTGATATGCCCTGTCGTAAGATTTCTGTGACATATACCACCGGGGCGATTCGGGACAGGTGAAAACAAATGCACAGACGAGGACAGCCGGAAACAAAGCCGAAGCCATCATGAGACGCCAGTTGAGACCGACAATATCTGGATGATCTGGCACTTCCAAGAAGGCGAGGTCGGCGGCATAACCCAGCATGATTCCGAATGCAGTCCACGTCTGCCATTGCATCACCAGCGCACCACGAATAGCAGGAGGGGCTGTTTCGGCAGCATATATAGGGACGGTTGCAGATTTTGGGCCGATTCCAAAGCCCAGTGCGAATCGAGAGATGAACATGTGCCACCAAGTGTTGACGAATCCTTGCCATAGACATGCGATTGCCGAAAGGCAGCAAGTGATAAAGATGGTGCCCCGACGACCGAACCAATGATTAAATGGGACAGTCAACCAGGAGCCAACTAAAGCACAGCACAAGTATGGGGCACCATTCACCAATCCGCCTAGCCAGCGAGACCTTGAGTTATCATCACCAATGCCGAACTGAGGTTTGTAAAACACTTGAGCACCATTTACAACCGTCTCGTCTGTGAAAAGAAGAGTGTTAGCATGTCATCTTTGTAAATTGACAGAGTTTCTTACCCATTCCTTGCACTGCAGCCGATAGCGAACACAGGACAATGACTAGATACATCGTCCATGGCTGAGACCACCGGTTTTTGAACTCATCATGCAATATTTGAAGCTCCCGAGGGGATAGACCAGGGACACTTGCGAACTTTTCCGGCGCCTGTGCTAGAACCGCGCCGAGCTCGAAGGCACGGACATCGTCCTCATCGCCAACCTGGTGGGAGAGCGCGAACTGAACACCTTTCTTGCGCAGCTCCTCATGGCTATAGCCAGCAAGTGGGTTGGCAAGTTTGGCATTTAGATTGCGTCTTGCGCGGTCTGCTGCTGTCCCTATAGTGCGTTGTGGCGTGAACGTCTCATTTTCCTCAGTGGTATGTTCTATCTGCTCTGTCATTTGATTAACAGCGCGGTTCCTGAAGATCCCCGTGTCATTTTTTCCTGGCATTTGGCTTGACAAGCGATGTTATCCGGTATGTGTGGTAATTCGTCAATGCCCTATATCGAAAAGAGGGGTGCAGGGCTGGGTTTGATTAAGACGAGCAGGAGATTCGACAATCGATTCAAAATTCTAACTAAAATGATCATCAAGGTTGGGATCAAGAGATCAACAAACGGCCAAGTAATAATGATGGTCACTAGCAAGGAAGTGGTGGGCCAGTGGCAAGGGCAACAAAGAAAAGCACCATCAGGAGTCGAGTAAGAGAAAACACTTTCGAGGAAAAGCAACAAAGAAACGAAGAACTAATGAGCAGAGTGTACCGTACTGTCTAATGCAGATTATTGCAAAACAAGTGAACCTCGAGTTGAAGCGGAGAAAAAAGATACAACTTACGAGCAAGGCAGAAATGTCATCATCTTGTCAAGTCAGAGCCGCAGCTGGGATGGGCAACGGGGCGTGGAAAATGACCTGTGATTGAGGATCGAAGTCACGGCCTTAATTATGCCGTGTTTGCTTCTTCCTCGCTGTCGTCTTCGTCTCTTGGTCTTCAGCCCACGAATCATGATTGGATGCAGAAGGGATGGGTGTAGGGAAGGCCATCGCGGAGAGGCTCGAGGATGCAGACAAAGAAGGCGATGAAGCTCGTATTCCGTCCAATTGTCGCAGTGCGTTGGTGTTGGATGAGGCTGGGATCCTTGCCATCACAGTCAGTGGTTTCACTTGGTCCGTTTCTCGATTCAATTTGTGGGGGATTTCGATTTACTTAGCCTGGGTGAATAGAAATGGACAAAAGCACTAATAATAAGCACAAAACGAATGGTTGAGCGACTTGGAGATGATGGAGGTTGAGGAAAAGAAGAGGGAGAGAAAGTGGAGGAGGGAAATGGGAGAGCACCTGACAGCAACAAAGAAAGAGTCACCAACACGAGAGGCTGACAATTTATTGCATTCATGAATGTTGTGTTGGCATCCTTTCTAATGGTTGTTTCTCAGCTTTCTTGGATGATTTTATGGAAACAATTCGGTATTTGTTTTATGCTAGATCTAAATAGCATCAAGGCGGTTCTTCGTTGTCGATGACCACTTCGACCACTGAAGCAGCAGAATGCTACAGATCACGTTACAGATCACTTTGAAAGCAATTTGGAATAATGTACTTTAGGCTGTACTTGATTCCTTGGGTTTTATTGTCGAGTTATCGATGAGGTAAAAGTGTTGGATTGGTATAACAGTCATTTACTGAGATAAATAGTTTCAGTGCCCACAACAGTAGTAAAACCACTAAACAACACCAGCTATTAACATCTGTATGCTAACCATGACATAGCAATTAATTATAATTTATAATCACCTTGATTCACCCCGTCGCTTATTCTTGGATTGCGATTCTCTAATTTGAACCGATCTCCGTGCGGGGTTGGCGCCCGCCGTCGGGTCGGGTCGGGCATTCTTAGCATTATCAAGTGAAGTCATGAGCATCATTCTTGAAATTCCTCATATTGAGATGATGTGGAGAAGCGCTTCCGATGGCAATTTGAAGCTTCCGTTCGGAAGTCGACTACTTGTATCTCTGAGGTGGTGCTGTGTCGTAATGACTGGTCTCTTCCTTTTGATAGAGCCGTATACTTGTCGGTCAGCATCGTCGTTGTCCAACGATACTTACTCCAACGATATCGTCTAGATAAGATGAGTTAGATCCTTGGAAAGTGATATATCATGTAAAGACTTATATATATATATATAGATTTATATTTATCTATTTGCAACTGCAGTAGTTCTTTTCAAAAAGCGGCCGGCTGCAATGAAGTCGTCCCTGCCTTGTCCACGCATGCATCCGTCGGATCGGCTCTCCATAACTTTACAGAAAGTAACCATCATCACGGCGCTCAACATATTACCCCTCGCGTCTAAAGAGTCCTCATGATGGCAAATGATTCTAGCCGGACCATGGCTTCCGATCCTTGGTTTGCCGGCTATAAAGTTGTCGATTTCCCTCGATTTCTGTCTGAATTTACTTGACAACCGATATCCCATTTTTCCCCTACCTGAACATATAGCAGAGCCTGTCTAATTGTACAATATTATCAACTATCCATCACATATCCAACAATGCTCGGTAAAGTAGCCCTCGAGGAGGCCTTTGCTCTCCCCCGTTTCGAAGAAAAGACACGATGGTGGGCTGGCATGTTTTCCACCGACCCAGAGACACACGCAAAGGAAATCACCGATATCAACCAGATTCGAATCGACTATGCCCAGAAACACGGCGTTGGGTATCAGATCCTGTCTTACACAGCTCCCGGTGTCCAGGATATCTGGGATGCAGCTGAAGCGCAGGCGTTGGCGGTTGAGATTAATGATTATATTGCCGAGAGAGTCAGGGCGATGCCGGATCGATTGGGAGCTTTTGCGTACGTTATCTGGCCTATATCCAATCTGTGATCAGAGTATTGATTTTTGATTTCTAGAACTCTGTCTATGCACAACCCCAAAGAAGCCGCAGATGAACTCCGTCGCTGCGTGGAAAAGTACGGCTTCAAAGGTGCTCTGGTGAACGATACACAACGGGCTGGTCCCGACGGTGATGACATGATCTTCTACGACAACGCAGATTGGGACATCTTCTGGCAAACTTGCACTGATCTCGACGTGCCGTTGTATCTGCACCCCCGAAACCCCACAGGGACAATCTACGAAAAGCTCTGGGCGGATCGTAAATGGCTCATTGGTCCTCCATTGAGCTTTGCGCAGGGCGTCAGCCTTCACGTCCTGGGTATGGTTACTAATGGCGTCTTCGACCGACATCCCAAGTTGCAGATCATCATGGGTCATCTGGGCGAACATATTCCCTTCGATATGTGGCGGATTAACCACTGGTTCGAGGATCGAAAGAAGCAGATCGGTCTCGCGGCTACTTGCAAGAAGACCATCCGCGAGTACTTTGCGGAGAATATCTGGATCACTACCTCGGGCCACTTCTCGACGACGACGTTGAACTTTTGCATGGCCGAGATTAGTTCCGATAGAATCCTTTTCTCCATCGACTATCCGTTCGAGACGTTCTCGGATGCGTGTGACTGGTTTGATAAGACTGAGCTGAACAACACGGATCGATTGAAGATTGGAAGAGAAAACGCAAAGAAGCTGTTCAAATTGGGGGATTACCATGACTCTTCAGCTTAAGTCATTACTGAATAGCAGTCAAATGATCAGTAGTAACCATGTACTTTTGTATTGGGTGGACATTTAGTGTCATTTATCTGCCAGAACTAGCTAGGGAATCATAACGCTAACATACATGTTCTCATAAAATAGCCCTAGTCATTCAATCATGTATTTCGTCATTCATCGACTCCGTCCTATTTCATCCAATGCTTTGGGTTTTTTGTTTTGTTCTTTTCTTTCATTTAGTTTGATTCTTATGGTGTCAGCAATAATTGATGGAAGCCGCTCAACAACACACATCAAACTCTCTAGTATGTTCCCATCTCAAGATTTCCGGTACCACCAAAAAAGTACTGATGATGCTGAGGGTAAAGAGGGTTCTGATGATAAGCAGGGCTCTGATGATAAGCAGCATTCTGGGGATAGGCGGGGCGCTGGGGATAAACAGGATTCTGCGGATAAGCAGGAGTCTGGGGATACGAAAAATTCTGAGCAGGCTGAGGATACTGGTGATGCTGAAGAAACTGGTGGTACTGAGGACAGTGAGAGCTCTGAGAGTTCTGAGGGTGTTGACTCGGTGCCATTCGCGGAGTCGGCGTCGGGGTCGGGGTGGACGCCTGGTATCCCGGCCAAGTCTCAGGCGATTTCTGCAACTTATCCATGACGGGGGCGAAATATCGTTCCTTCATATACTTCATGGTGTTTACGTACTTCTGGTAGTTCTCGATCACCCTATTGTGGATATCCCAAAGGGCGATGAGAAGACGGGAAAGTTCGAGCCGTTCGATGTTGACATGTTCCTCGATGAGGATTTGGCGGTTCCGGATGCGTAGAAAGGAAGTATAGACGTACGCATCGTAGAGCTCGAGAAATACGGTAAGCAGGCGCTGTTCGAGAGAACGAGGCTTTCCAAGATTTCTATCTTTGTTTGTTAGTATCCATTGTATGGGTGTGATTGGTGTGTACTTACGCCATGACTACATTTGACATGCGTTTATAGCATGTATAGACAGATACACTGCGGTCTTTGGCTATCTCAGAAATAAGATAAGTCACGCGTTCTGCATCCTTTACTTGTTCCTGCAGTCTCTTATCCATAACGGCGAGGAACTCGGTGATTTCCACAGCCATGATTCTGACTTGGAAGGTAACCCCAGCCGACAAGAACTGGTTTGGATCGCTGGCGTTCTCGCGACGAAAAAGGGCGTCTTCCATGCGTATAACCATGTTTGTCATGGCGGTGAAGCGTTTCTTTAGACAGTCCTTGAGCTTGGGGTTCGACAGAATGATTTTGATCTCCTCGAGAATGTCGAGCTTGCGGATTTCGCTCTCGCTGAGCTTGGGTTGGTTGTTGTTTTGGTCAGATCCCGCAGTTTCGGTAGCACTGCTCGATTCGCTCTGGGGACTTCCCTCATTTTGAAACCCAGACTGGTTTTCTTGCGATGGAGAAGACTCGTTAACGCCAGAGGGCAAAAACAAAAACGGAGTCATAGACGTGAGACGAGAATCTATCTCCCGGAAGCGGATGACTTCCTCAACAACTTTGGAGAAAGCGAACTTGTATGCTTTTTCTTGGGCTTCGTCGATAACATTATTGGGATCCTCGCACGATTCGTAGTAATCGGGAAATGGCTCGCAGGCAGTTGAGGCAGTGGACGCGTTGGAAGACGTTTCGTCGGCAGTATCAGTCTCGACTATGTCACCAGACTCGTTGATCTTCTCACGAATAGTCTCTCTAGCTTCAGAGGAAGTGGGGGTATTGAAGATTGTAGGGTTCTCTGGATCCTGGGTCTGCTCAAGATACTTCTGGCTGTTCATTGCATCTACCATCATCTGAGCCACAGCATCCTGCTGCGCATTCTTGCCACGAAAGCTCCCATTTGAGGGCTTGGGGTTTATGAGCGTCTTGAGGTGACTCTTCAGCTCATTTTTGACACGATGGTTGATGCCAGGCGTGCTGGTTGGGGTTTCGTCGTAGCCTTGATCAGAGGGAGTGGAGGGGATGTTGACATTCTCCTGGTTGTCAGAGGCGGGGAAGCAATATTGGGTCTTTGAGACATCTCCAGCCTCCATGGTGAGGTGAAGAGGCTAGCCTCACGCTGGATTGGGATTGGCTCAAAGGAGAGTAGTGGGAGAGTGATGCCGAGAATGGCTGAAGAAAAAGACAAGATGAGCTTGGGAGATTGAACGATGAAAGCACAGAGGATGAGAAAGAAAAAAAGAGAAGAGATTTACTTTGGATTAATTGATATTATTCTGTGTGCGAAGTTCTTTGGCTATTCACTGCTGGGAAGCGAGCTATCTCAGCGAGCTATCTTCTATTTATGGTGACCGGCCTTTGATATACACCAGGAAGTCTACCTATTTCCTGTAGCCTGTAGCATTTACGACGATTCCTTATTTAAGGATAGGATAGTTGACTGAGTAGCTTCTTGATGATGGGTTGGTATTCTTATATAGCCTTCGACTGTGGAAAGCTCCGTTTAGAGACAACGGCCTGAGACCGTATGGCTCTGGAGCATCATGAAATCATTGGGAAACCCCGCGTAGTCAGAGAGAAATACGGCAATATCCTTGATATCAACGTGTCAGCGTTTGTTTAGCTAGCCATTCTCCAATCTGATATCGGACATATCCGCGCCAGATGGGAAATGCCACTCGAAGATGATTGGCAAGCCCCGTCTATATCCTGGGGATCAGCAGTTATTCGATGCGCGGCGTGAGTCTGCATGGCCATGAGATCCATCATCTCACTCGCCTACTGGGACTTTCCAGAAGAGTGAAGCTTCAAATCTAAGCACATAGATACCATGCGATGAAGATAGCGGGAAATTCCTATGCGAAAGAAGGCGACAAGTTTATGCCTTAGGTTGAGTGGCGGAGGTTACATATAAACTCGAATAAAGCAAGACCCGTCTAGGCTACTAGGGCATACTTGGACTAAGTCGAACATGGATGATTTCAAGACGGAATACAGACTTTGGCAGACCAGCATCAGAAGAATTGGAGATTATATTGGCTAATTATCAAATGGATATAAACTACGCTATACAAGGCGATGTACCGTACCTCGATCCAAAAACGTTCACTGTTAACAACGGCCCAATTGGTCGAAACACGGTTAGGTCTTCCCAATGGAAATTGCTTGATTGGATAAAGTAGAACATAAAGGAGAGAACAAGACGCTCTACTCCAGCGTTCTACTTTTCAAACAATAGCCAGAGGTTAAAGAAGACCGATTTTAATCTTCGCACATTGACTGATTGGCACATCATTGAAAGGATTGTGACAACTCAAAGTAGTGCGAGACTTTGTTTATCAAGGCTGGAATGTTTTGAACAAGACAACTTATTTCGGGGTTGATTATGTTTGCGCAGTCGGGAATATTTGGAGAGATATTACATTGGAGTCGGCGTGTTGGGGCCAGCGTTAATCGTCCTTTTTGGACCGCTGTGGGGTTCGACCGGATGGATGTATCTCATCTTCATCGTCATCTTCAGGCAGTCGAACATCCATGACCCGTTCTCCGGCCTTTTCCAAAGTTCTCCGGCACAATGCTTTTACACCTTTGTAGACAGCCTGCATTCGTTAGCAATGAAAAAGTACTAAGTTGTTGATGTTGACTTACCCAGAGAAAAGTCCCAACCCCAATCAAAATAATCGCCCAGTTGAGAGACGCAACCCGGCTTCTGCCAGTATTCCTACCACCACCGACTACGCCAGAGCTGCGTAGATTCAACCAAGTCAATGGGGAAGATGCAAGTATAGCCTTTATGAAGGACAAGAGCCCCAAGGAAGCCAGTCCTTTGACAAAGTGCTCAACCCACGAACGCCTCTGTTCAGCACGGAGGGCACCACGTTCAGCCCCAGAATCCCAAACATCCGCATAATAGATGGTATCCAAAGGGTCCACGTAGAGATTTATGATTGGGTCAGCAATAAAACCAAACAAAAATACGGTTAAAAGCAAAATGCCCAAAGTCAAGATAAGTTGGGAGCCAGCACTACTGATCCAACGTCCCCATCGGAGTCGCTCCAACCGGTATTGGAACTTGCAGGTCGGACACTGCCAGTAGTTCCTTTTTCCATAAGCGGGATCCGCATGTCGCCAGGTCTGCAAACAGCCCTCGTGGACAAATCGTGAGGACCCCTTACACATGCAAGGGCGTAAAAGCCGACCAGACTCCGGATCCGAAGACTCGTAGACCACTCGCGGTCTGGATTGGAGGAACTCGGGGAGGTTCTCGGATGGAGGACGGAAGGTCGGAAGAACTGTTTCCAAGCAAATGCGACATACGCGAGGAGGGTAATGCCTCTCGGAGTCCTCCGATCCAGGAACATCCGAACCATTGGGGTCTCCAGCATCTTCAGAAGGCTGATCGGTCTTCGAGTTCAGGGGATTAGGAGAGGATCTTGACGGCCACTGCCAGCGAGGCTCATTGTGCAAGTCCATTCTGCCCCTGAAATATCAAGAGGCAGGGCCATACCATGTCAAAGGTATCTACTAGAGACCTAGACAGCAGAGGGCGTATTATGGGCGTAGTGAAGGAATTTTTAGATGGGGGAAAGAGGAAGAAAAGAAGAGAAAAAGAGAGCAGCTAAAATGGAGTGAGGTGGAGAGACGAACTAGCCGCTCGCGTACCGGCTCACCGCCCAGGCGGCTTGGCATTACTGGACCTCCATTGACTGCGTCAACACCCTGTCGCCTATCCACCAGAGTGAAGCTTCACTTTCATTCCTCCAGATCTCCTTCTATCCGTCAAATCTATCTTACGGAGTTCCAGTTCGGACTATTTACTAAGTACAAAGCTCGTGGAGGTAAAAAGTCGACTCTATGGCGGACCGCTATTCGTTTTCTTTGACCACCTTCTCCCCCAGGTAAGAGCTGTCCCGAGCTATTGATAGGTGTCGAATCTCTTGCTAACGATAGCTTACAGTGGGAAGCTGGTTCAGATTGGTAATTTGAAGTTCAGATAGATTATAATGGGAGTGTTTGCTGATTGATCCTAGAATATGCCTTGAACGCTGTCAACCAGGGTGTAACTGCCCTTGGAATCAAAGGTACCGTCATCCCATTTACAAATCCATCATATCTACCTTTACGCTGACATATATCTTTTTTTCGTTTATATAGCTACCAACGGAATTGTTCTTGCCACCGAAAAGAAGTCTTCCTCGCCCCTCATTGACCCCCCCTCGCTCTCCAAGATCTCGTCGATTACTCCCGACATCGGTATGGTCTACGCCGGAATGGGCCCAGACTACCGTGTTCTGGTTGATAAGGCACGTAAAGTTTCTCACACCGGCTACAAGCGCATCTACAACGAATACCCGCCAACCCGGATACTGGTGCAAGATGTTGCACGTGTCGTGCAAGAAGCAACACAGTCAGGTGGTGTCCGGCCATATGGTGTTAGTTTGTTGATTGCGGGCTGGGATGAAGGTGTCGAGCCTGAGACAGGAGAAGCCCAGCGGGGTGATGATGAGGAGCTGAAGAAAGCAACTGGAAAGACGGGTGGTATTCTTAAGGGTGGCCCCAGCTTGTACCAGGTCGACCCTAGTGGTAGCTACTACCCCTGGAAGGCCACGGCTATTGGAAAGCACGCAACAAGCGCAAAGACTTTCCTTGAGAAGCGTTACACCGAAGGACTGGAGCTTGAAGATGCCATCCACATTGCTCTCCTGACCCTGAAGGAGACTATTGAGGGAGAGATGAACGGCGACACAATAGAAATCGGTAAGTTGCATGATCCTCTCTACCAGATACAATCACTGATGAATTTAGGAATTGTTGGCCCACCCACCGACTCTCTGCTGGGCTACGAGGGTGTTGAAGGAGCCAGAGGACCTCGGTTTAGGACGCTGACCAAGGGGCAGATTGAGGATTATCTTACCAGTCTATGATTGATTCACGCCGGTATGCATATTGGACTTTGTCGAGCCTTGTAATTTAATAGACATTTATCGAGTCTTGCGAGGTTCTCATGAAGTAAATGATATTTTCTCTCGCAGTTGGAGGGACTACACTGGTTTGATGTCTTGAGGAATATCCTAGAATTATTTCTGGCTCTGATTATCGACCTCTTGTGCCTGCTAGCACTTGATGCTACTGAAGCAACACGGTCGTCTTGACGAGTTCAGGTTTATAACACAGCTCATGAAATGAATGCATTCTTCCATTACGCCAAATATGCTGGATAATTCTGATGTCACTGTAAACAATTCCTACCATCAGGCAATATCGTCTGCCTCTCCATGTGGCAAACGCAAGACTCCGGGCCTCGATTGACGAGCGTCAGTCAACATAGGCCGAGCTAAATTATCCGACTTGGGCCTTGGAAGCGCTGGCCACCGGTATGATGCATGTTTTCGTGACACCTGCCTCATTGGGCCGTTTTTATGACACTACAAATTCCCCCCTCTTGACCTTATCGAGCCACCGACCATCCCCTCTCCAGCAGTGGTCAAAGTACAATACAACAACCGATGATAATGTGCAACAGTCCCTCTCACGGATTGTTCAAAATCTGAACAAAACCATCAAGCATTTTCATTTTCTTCACCTGCTCCTGGGCAACTACACCTTAACAGGCAGGTGTCACAGCCTTCCCCCGGATCACAGACGCGCCCGAGAGCTAGACCACCTTTCACGATAGAGACGCATCGCATTGAGGGTGGTCTGTACTCTGTCTGTGTTACCGGCTTGGGGTTGCTTTGAGGTAGATACCTGTTTTCTTTGTTACTTCGTTCCAGATGGCTATTTTCGTCGCTTACTACTAGTGCCGAGGTCCTCGATGCATTAAACAAAGAAACCGGCCACCCAGCTAAGGCCCGTTTGTCCACAGCTTCAAGGAGGCTTGAATTCGCTGGCCAGTTTTAGTTGCGTTTGTTTTAAATACTATGCACAGTGAGTATCACGGCGGGGAAGTTCACCATTTGATTTATACTGATGCCGTATGTAGAGAACTGCTCTCATTCTCAATATTTCTGGTTTTAATCGAATGGACAACAGCGTCATGTCGTCCACACAGGACCCCATGGATGGTATTTCTGGAGAACTTGCAAACAATGCAAGCAGTCTCATGGCGGCTTTGTTTACCTTCATTGCTATATCCTGCTATAATGTCGTCGAGTTGGTGATTCTAGTACTATCGACCTTCCGACGCTGGAGGGGACTATATTTCTGGAGTCTGCTTCTTTCGGGATGCTTTGGTGTTGTGCCTTATTCATTAGGCTTCCTGATGAAGTTTTTCACTCACGCCAACTCGATGGCGTCTGTGACAGTACTGACCCTTGGATGGTGGGTCATGGTGACAGGCCAGTCGCTTGTTCTTTATTCGCGACTTCATTTGGTTCTCCGTGATGAGCGAATCCTCCGACGTGTGCTATACATGATCATCGCCAACTTCTTTCTCCTGCATGTACCGACAACCATCCTTACGTACGGCTCCAACGTCAAAGACCGATGGCCCATGTTCGTGAGAGGGTACAACATTATGGAAAAGCTCCAAATGACCGGATTTACACTGCAGGAACTTATCATCTCAGCACTATACGTCATCGAAACAGTCAAGCTACTCAGGCTGAACTCGGACAACCACAAGCGGAAAATCATGTACCAGCTAGTCGGAATCAACATTTACATGTTTGTCATGGATTTAATCCTTCTGGGTCTCGAATACGCCAGCTATTATGCAGTCCAGATTACCCTCAAGGGTGCCATCTATAGCATCAAACTTAAACTCGAGTTCGCCGTTCTGGGGAAACTGGTCGATGTGATTCACGGTGATAGACGACCTGTCCTAATCGGGGATACCTTCGCTCTATGCCCACTCCACTATCTTAATGATCCCAATTCAGCTTCGTCAGGCCTCACTGGGGATTTGAATTTCTATGGTATTTCTGTCCCCGATAGAGCAACCAAACCAAGCGAGGACGGATCAAATTGCCCTCACCCAGGAAAGGTAATGACGATGACAGAGTTTTCCACTTGGATAGAGTCACGATCACCAGCAAATGAGATTGTATAATTGACTTATAAATCGCGATATATGGCATGCAACGAGGCTTATGCTGAACTATTTGGATGACTTTTTTTTATGATTGAGCGTGTATGACCATGATGTATACATATCCATACCTCTTGTCTGTTTCCAGATTTATCCAACGAGAAATTATTTTTCTATGTACATGTACATGATACCGTAGCTATCATTTTCGACTTTTCATCTTTTCATGTTGGCTTGTCTAGTAAAGACAGTCCAAAATACCAAGTGATGCTTTTAACCGTGGCGTGGACCAGTGAAATCGACTTGGTGGCGCCGATCTATCTCAATCAAACCAATGTGTTTGATAGACTCAAATGTCAAGAACGAGTCCAAGTCGCCCTTTCCCTTGTGACCAGGGAATGAAATAACAATACAGCTTGTTGCTGCTGCCGACTTCATGGATCTTTGTGGCTATTTCCCCCAAGTAAGTCAGCATCATCCCCTTCAATCCACCCAAATTCCTCGTCGGAGTCTTCATCTTGGCTGTCTGCAATCTCATCAACCTTTCGCTTCCTTTGGCTCGCGGGGTTGGACGCCTCATCTGTCTTTTGTGTGACAGTACAAGATGGCTGAGTACTTGCAATTTCGCTTAAGCCATCCTGTTTACGTCAGAGTTGGTCAGATTAGACGTTATTATATTGCCCGGTAAACTCACCGATTCGATTACGAACGGAATAATATTCTCGTCTAGTCTCAGCGTCAACGCCTTTCCTGTCCTTCTCATAACCTCCGCAAACCGGGGCTTTCTTGTAATAGAAGTATCCACCGTGTCGTTGTCATCTATATCGGGAAAGTCGCGATACATGGCAATCCTCGTGTAGATACTATTCTCCCACGATCCACCCGCAAGCACGGGGCAGAGAGTTGCACGGGGTTGGCCTTTGATTTTGGTGTGAGTCTGGTTGATCAAAAGCACCGCCATGCGATGAGCGGTTGCCAGCTTCACGAGCTGGTTGGCTAGGTCACTTGTGACGTCCCATCTTCGACTCATCAGCCACTGGACCTGGGACTTTTCCGTGATCTTCAATTGAGCGAGACGGGATTTCAACTCGGCCGGGTTGGGGAAATACGACGGGAACGGACCCGACACCGAGTCGATCACCAGTAAGGTGGTGTCTTCAGGTGGGAATCCTTTGGGAGGACGCAGCAGTAGTGCCATCAAGTGGGGCAGGGATTGAGCACGGAAGTAGATTAAATTCTGTGCGAGGTCATCGAGCGAGGGGTTCTCCTCGGATTCCATGGACTTCAGGAGCATCTTCTTGAGACGCAGCCTGGGGAGTGGCGAGCAAGTGTCTACGTTATCGACTGTTAATGGACATCCCAGAGAAATGGGGGAAAGTCGTACCAATCCACACAACCTTTCCTCCATCTCTAAGCGCATTAGAGGCAGCACTCAGCCTACATCAAACGTCAGCTCACCATCTTTACAGTTACAGATGTCTCACTGATGAACTTACGCCAACGAGGTCTTCCCCACCCCCGGTGGTCCAAAAACCTCTGTAATTTGGCCACGGGGAAGACCCGTGGATGATGGGTCCGAAATCAGCCCTGGGAATTCATCCAAGGAAGTCGGACAGATCGCCTCGTCCAGTCGGGGAAGACCTGTCGAGATCGCGCCCGCATCCGCAGACGCGGAAGACGCGTGCAGAGACTGGGACGCAGATATCGAAACCACGCGATCTGCTACTCTGTCAGACACAAAGACACTTGGATATAGCGTTCCTATTAGGCCTCACGGGTTTCCGGGACGGACAGGGCAAAGATGTCCTGGTTGTTCATCGTGACACCCGACGGAATGTAGTGGGGGGTGTGGATTGATGATGGATGGGATCCAGGCGCGACGAGGGGTTGTCAAGGTCAAATGATGGCACTATTCAAAACATTGCAACCCTCCAGGCCAGTCATTTTCTTTGGAGCGCTGGCCCAGCCTGTCTGCTGGATATCTGACGGTGGTGTCAGATGAAGCCAAAGCGAGCATGTAGTGAGGATGTTTGATGTCCGTCCAATTCGGGTGGAATTCCGTGGGTTGGGCGGATCTCCGATTCCGCTCCGGTCGATGGTTCTGATCGATCCTCCACTTTTGGACTGCTGGTTTATAACTATCGGTCTGCTGCCATGTTTGCAAGTTGGATTTTGATGTTATTCTGCATCTATCTGATTCAATTGACTGTGGTGTGACTTTAAAGCCCGACAGCTAAAGCGCTCTCAATGTGGGATATAGTCGATTTGCAACACCATGCTGAGAACATCGTGAGCTCTGTTCCAGCACTGACTCTCGTCTGCTTTTTACCAGTCTTGGTCATTCTCCTTCAATACTCTCAGTCTCATCCCAATCGCCCAAAAGGATGTCGAATACTAGGTCTCCCTTCCCACAAAACCAATCTCCATGATGAATACGATCCCAAATACACCAACGGAGTACCAAATGACCACATTGACGAACAAGGCCTGCCCTCCTGGCGCATCAAGGCCCTCTTCACCTATCCTATCAAAAGCTGCGCCGGCGTCGAGTTAGACGTCGCTGATGTCGTCCCAACTGGACTTGCGTATGACCGACAATTCTGCTTCGCCGAGTACATCACCCCAAACAATCCGAATAGCGATATCAAACCACACTGGAACGCTCGTACCCTTCGTGATGGCCACTTTAGTAAAATGATTCTCATCCGATCTGACATCTGGGTTCCTGATCCTACGGCAGCCGATTACAACTCTGACCTGGACGAAGTCAAATCTCAAGGCGTGATGGTTATATCCTATCCACGAGTCTCCGGCGATGGGCTGAAAGGGTATTTCATGAAACTGGGCATGAGACTCCGTCTGATATCGCGAGAATACTCTTTTCAAGTCCCGCTGTACCCGCCCCCAGACCAGATGTCAGCCTACCCCTCCCTCCCCGTGAAGATTTGGAAAGACTTCCCCGTCTCCCACGACTACGGGAAACACATCCCACAATCCCTCCGAGATTACCTAGCCTCTCCATCTGACCCCAAGCAACTCACCCTCTTCCGGGTAAACCCAGCCCACCACCGCCAAATCTTCCGCTGCGCGCCCCGAAAGGAAGAAATGGGCTTCCAGACCGTCACAGGCTTCGCGGACGCATATCCTCTACATCTTCTCAATCTCGCCAGCGTACGGGACGTCGCGGCGCGGTGCGCACAGGACATCCCTTACATGACCATCCGCCGTTTCAGGGCGAATATCATCATGCAAGGGCCCGAGGCTTTTGCGGAGGACCATTGGAAACGGGTGCTGGTGCGACCATCATCATCGGGTGGGGAAAACGACAGCAGTGGAATCTGCACGGATGGGGTCGAAATCCACACCGTCTGTCGTACCGTCCGCTGTCGGTTACCCAATGTCGACCCGGATACAGGAATTCGACATCGTTCGGAACCCGACAGGACGATGAAGGCATATCGGAAGATTGATCAAGGGGATTTGACTAATGCGTGTTTGGGGATGCAGCTTGTTCCGGCTGTTCAGGGTTAGTTTTTTCGTTGCCCTTTTCTCGTCTGATGACTGATTACTCATGGTTGGTCCTTATAGAATTTACGATACGTGTTAATGATCCTATTTCTGTCTTGGAGACGGGTGAGCATTTTTATATCAAGATGCTTGCGCCGGGGGAGAAGGTCGAAGGTGTTTGAAGTGGGTACATACTGTTTGGATTGTGTATAATCATATTACTGGGTGCATATAATGTGCAGGTGAACATAATACAGCTAGCATTAATCGCATCTGAAGATTTTAGACCAAAGCAAAAGGGTATCCATTCAAAGTCCATCAAAGGCTAACCATAACCATAAATATTACTGTACATATCATAACCAATGAAAGAAAAAGTAAAAAAAGAAAGAAGATGAAAAATCTATATACGAAAAGAGGTAGATGGTCCCGCCTTATCATCAGAAGACTCGGGCATAACGCTAATCTCGTGAGCCGGTGCCTCCGGCCCCTTGGCCTCGACGACGGTAGCCTCCTCCTCTTCATCTTCCGGGAAGACAAGGTTAAGAATCAGGCCGATGACAGCCGTGACGGCGAATCCATTAACCATGACTAACTCCACGGCGTTGAGCAGCCCAGTCAGGGAGTGGTTGTCACCGCTGTAGGTGAAGACGTAGGAGAACCAGTCCGGCACGAGGGTAGCGCCCATACCGACGGAGAAGGAGGCGGTTAGGATAAACCGATTGCGACGGGTGAAGGGGATAGTGGAGATGATGCGGACGCCGGAGATGGCGACCGAGGAGAAGAGGAAGGTGGTCATGCCGCCTAGGACGGAGCTGGGGATGGCGACGAGGGCGGCGGCGAATTTCGCGAATATCCCCATGATGACTAGGAAGAGGCAGCAGCAGTAGCCTGCTTTGCGGTTTGCGCAGCGGGTGAGTGCGATGACGCCGTTGTTTTGCGCGAAGACGGACATGGGGGTGATTGTGCAGAGGCCGGCGATGAGGCAGGTGAAGCCGTTGCCAAGGACGCCGCCTTGAATACGCGAGTCGAATGTTGGTCCTTCGACTGCGACTTGGGATACATCGCAGGTAGCGGTGATGTCTCCGATTGACTCCATCATGACCACTATGTACACTGCTAGCAGTGGGAGGATGAGAGGCGCGTAGATGGTCAGTGGGAATGTCCTCGCCCAGATGAACGAGACGACTGGGGCGGCGTCAATGCCGGATCGGTCGAAATATCCACATGCTCCGGCCACGATGCATCCGACCAGCAGACCGATGACGACGGCGCACGATTTCATGATGGGCGATCCGAATCGCTCGCAGAGAATGATAGTAAGGAACACAAGAAATCCGAGTCCGATGAATTCCGCACTGCCCCAGGGGAGCGCATGTGGAGCATCAGCACTGGGACATAATGCCCGACTAGCGGGGTTGCTGCCACAGGTGCCAGAGCCACCGGCCCAGTCTTTCATACCAGTTTGGATGAGACTCGCTCCGATGAGCAAGACGGTCGGGCCCGTGACAAGAGGTGGGAAGATGCGTTTCAGGACTTTGGTGCTCATGAATGATAGGCCGATTTCCAGCAGGGAACACAGGCAAGAGGTTCCCAACATAGCTCCGTAACCCCTCGGGCATGGCAGACGGTTGCCTTGGTCGTCGACCGGACAGTAGCCGGACGAGTACATTTGGCTAAAGGTATCCGAGGCTACTGTGATTGTTGCGAAGGAGGTGCCAACGACTGAGATCAGGCCTGTTCCGACATAGTAACGAGTTTTGTAGATGTGCCAGCGGGTCATTTGCATCAACGATAACAGGCCGGAAACAATGAGGGAGGTGGACACTAGATATTGATAGTCGTCAGAGCCAAAGTTGGCACCACTAGAGCCGCCAAGGAGAATAGGAGGAGAGATAACTGGCAAAGTCAGTAATGTAGATATGGGGAATCAAGTTGGATATCGACATACCTCCTGCCAACATAGCCAGGGAATGTTGCAAGCCCAGAAGCAGAGCTAGCATCACAGGAACGCGGTCATCGACGCCGAAGAAGGGAGCAGATTTCTGACTCCTCTTTGTGAAGGGGATTCTGGGTGTGAACAGATGGGCATAGTCGTAATCTCCGATCAACCCCTCTCTGGTGGTGAAAGTCTTGACGATTCCTCTCCAGCGGTCGGCCAGCGTCCGTTTGGGCCTCAAATCGGGGCCAATTTGATCAGGTCCATCCATATTGTGTGGTCAGTCGTTGTATATGTTGAAATGATGATATTGAAGTGAAGATGAACTGGTTCGATCGGTTTCAAGCTCTCACCCGTCTGGTCGACCGTGGAACGTGCGGGGAAGGAAGATAATCCGGGGTGGTTGGTTCATAATTCGGGTAGCTGGACGGGACCAGGCTGTTTATATAAATGAACAGAGATGAAGATGCAAGTCAAGATTTTGGAAATGAAGGTGATACGAGACGATGGCAATGAGTGAATCTATCGAATAATTGCTATCAAGACGATAGAGAACAGCTAAGCGACGAGGAGAGAAGCAGTTGTGGAGCCGATGGGGGGATTTCCTTTAGACGCGATAAGAAGACAGCGGCTCAGGATAGGCCGGTTGCTTATCAGTGCCATGGCGGGTTCCGCCGAAGAGCTGGCGAGAGATAGCGAGAGGCCGAATAGAGAAGAGAGGAAGAGAGGGATTGCATAATTCTTGTGATAATATCTCGTTTCAGATCGGATTCAGATCAGTTTGACTAAGGTCGGGTAGCGCCTTCATCCTCTATCCTGTATAGAATAGCCTCGTGGCCTATGGCTGAATGCACAACTGTGATGTCGACATCCAAACCTGCATTAGGATTGATAGCAATTCGCCGAAAAGCCGTTGTGCATTCAGATCAAAAGCTGATCAACTGCAATACTCTGGGGAGAGAGTTCAAGAGCTCCTGTCATGATGCTACGGAGTACTCCGCGCACGGGATATATCTCATCTCGGAGTCAGCCATGCCCAGTGCATTCCAGTTTCTACGTGATCAACCAGCCGAGCAACTCTTGGTCTCCTGTTGCTGAGAGTTGAGACCATGTTCATATCTTGCAACTGCAACTGTAACTGCAACATTATTTGGATGATTCTACTGAGTGTCTAGAACTCCGTGAATGTGGATATTGCCAGTTGCGGATCTGATCGAGACATCCAAAAGGGTTAGCACGAACCAGTCCAAGAAAGTAAGCGGAACGGAGTGACAGAATACCCAAAAGGGCAAAACTCTGGAAATCGCCCTGGAAGGTGTCCCGTGACCTCACGTGGGCAGAAGGAGAAAAGTGTTGGGACTACTTGCTGTAAGGTACGGATTTTGTGCGACCGAGCTACTGTATGGAAAAAACCTCCGTGCTTCGATAGGTACGTGAGGTTAAACATAGAAATACATCTGCAGGAGCATCAGGCGGAAAGATTAAATTCAACAACTTTGATGTTGAGTGATTGTGTCCCATGACGTGAATACAGAATAATCATCACATCATCATCTTATGATTATTCTTCTTCTTCTTTCTTGATCTTCAACCTCGGACCTGTGCTGTTTTTCCTGATTCATCCGACTTCAGCCAGTTTCGGTGCGGAGAGGAAAGCCGGCGATCTGCCGGGGTCTCGGCCTACCAGAGGCCGGGCATTGCACACCGCCCGCAGGAGGCAAAAACGTTGGGTCCCCAACAGAAGCCGTGGTCTCGCCCCTATTGGCGATTGTCATTCCGCCTGGCATGCCACGCCCAATGCGGCAATCCACATCGAACGAACTGGAGAGGGCATCTAGAGGACAGGTAGAGTATGTACAATGTAGACTTCTCAACGAAGACGAATTGTCTGACCTCGGGATCTTGTGTTTAGAATATTGTTAGGCAATACATTTGTCCACTTGTCAATCGTACCATCTCGCCCCATTCCCTCTGCATAGTCCTGGTGTCTCACTGGATGCTGCATAATAACCGCATCATCCAGCCTTGCATCGAGCCAGCCCATCTGGCCCTGTCGGCCATTCACATCGCCCCAACCGGCCTCTCCGGTGGACCTCTGGGGTGAGCACTGCCAATTCCAGTTTTTCTTTTTCTTTTTCTTTCTTTCTTTCTTTTTTTTTTTTGCCCTGCTGCCAACGGCGCATCCACCCTTTCTTTCGTTTTCGCCTTCCCAGCATCTTCGGCCGTTCCCCACTTTTTAAGTCTCTTTTCCTTTGACGCGGCGCTATCGCCTCTTCTTTTTATACTCCTACTTCCCTTTCCCTACCCTTCCCTCCATCTTTTCATCCTCCATTCCGCATCTCGATATCATATCAGTTGGGATACTTCATTGCACCCCGACTTGAGAAGCGGCATCCATCATGTCTGCAAAGCCAGCAGATGCTTCACGCCCTAGGGCTGGGGACTCCAAGAAGGTCCATATCGCCGACACTGCCCTCACCCGCCAGAACTGGCACAAGCATGTCAACTGGTTGAACGTCTTCCTCATCATCGGCATCCCCTTGTATGGCTGCATTCAGGCTTTCTGGACGCCTCTTCAGCTCAAGACCGCCCTCTGGGCCGTCTTCTACTACTACTGCACTGGTTTGGGAATCACAGCCGGTTAGTTGCTCTCTTGTCGACACTATGGTTTATAATCAGCATACTCATCATGATGTTTAGGTTACCATCGTCTTTGGGCTCACTGCTCGTACTCTGCCGGTCTGCCCCTCCGCATCTGGCTCGCTGCCGTCGGTGGTGGTGCTGTTGAAGGTTCCATCCGCTGGTGGGCTCGTGACCACCGCGCTCACCACAGATACACCGACACGGACAAGGACCCTTACTCCGTTCGTAAGGGCTTGCTCTACTCTCACTTCGGTTGGATGGTCATGAAGCAGAACCCCAAGCGTATCGGCCGTACCGACATTTCCGATCTCAACGAAGACCCCGTCGTTGTGTGGCAACACAGAAACTACCTCAAGGTTGTTTTCTTCATGGGTCTCGGTCTCCCCATGTTGGTTGCAGGTCTCGGTTGGGGTGACTGGTGGGGTGGATTCGTTTACGCCGGTATCCTGCGTATCTTCTTCGTCCAGCAAGCTACCTTCTGTGTCAACTCCTTGGCCCACTGGCTCGGTGACCAGCCTTTCGACGACCGCAACTCCCCCCGTGACCACGTCATCACTGCCCTGGCTACCCTCGGTGAGGGGTACCACAACTTCCACCACGAGTTCCCCTCCGACTACCGCAATGCCATTGAGTGGCACCAGTACGACCCGACCAAGTGGTCCATCTGGACATGGAAGCAGCTTGGATTGGCCTACGACCTCAAGCAGTTCCGTGCCAACGAAATCGAGAAGGGCCGTGTTCAGCAGCTCCAGAAGAAGATCGACCAGAAGCGCGCCAAGCTTGACTGGGGTGTTCCCTTGGACCAGCTGCCCGTTTTGGAATGGGATGACTACGTCGAGCAGGCCAAGAACGGCCGCGGACTCGTCGCCATTGCCGGTGTCGTTCACGATGTTACCGATTTCATCAAGGACCACCCTGGTGGCAAGGCCATGATCAACTCGGGTATCGGCAAGGATGCCACCGCCATGTTCAACGGTGGTGTCTACTACCACTCCAACGCCGCCCACAACCTGCTGTCAACCATGCGTGTGGGTGTCATCCGTGGTGGCTGTGAAGTTGAGATCTGGAAGCGCGCTCAGAAGGAGAGCAGCGAATACGTCCGTGATGCAACTGGCCAGCGCGTCATCCGCGCCGGTGAGCAAGTCACCAAGATCCCCGAACCCATCCCTACTGCGGGTGCGGCATGAGCTACATCTTCTCATCTGCCTTGTGACATTTTCTCTTCTCAGTAATGTATTTCTGTCTTTATGAAGATTTGCCTGTCTTCCTTTTTTTCTGTCGCAACTGCCTTTTTTCTTTCATGCAGTGCACTGGGCGTCATGATCTGTGTAATTCTCTCGGGTGTGCTTGGAGTTAATGGTGTTGACTGGTTCACGAGATCCCGACCAAATGCATATTCTGACCGGACCGGTTTGGGTCCGCATTGTTAAAAGCGAATGGATCAAAACACTTACATCAATAATGTTGGAAATGAAAATAGAGATGATACTATATAATTGTTCTTACCTTGAAATTTTTTTACCGTTGAGTTTCATTTGTAAGGAATTTCAGACAGGTTACTGGTTGTTGACGCCTACACATCTCGCGGTTTACGACCAAACCTAGTTGGCAGTGGCGAGTGCCTTTCACAGCTACTGTAGGCATCAATCTTATCTGAACATTGGGTGTTACACACCATATGTAAACGTCATCTCAAACAATAGGAAGTAAACAACTTACCAAATATCATTAACATACACAAAAAGATATAAATCATAGTTAACGAGACCAGAAAATCACCGCATTGTTGAAATCCTCCTGTCCAAGTCGTTCCAAAGGCCTTCCATCGTCCGGCCTGGCTAGGCGGAAAAGCCGAACCGCTTCTCCAAAACACGTCTTGGCCTCCTTGCTTTCGTTCTGTTGTTGCTGTGCGACCAGCATCTTGCCTTTCAAGTACCACGCGCGAGCACGCTCCGCGCAGAAGTAGGGCTGTTCGGCGTACGTTTTGAGGGCTTGGTCTAGTAGTGTTCTTGAGGAGGTTAGCCGCGTGTTGGATTTGGGTTTGGGTTTGTACAGTGCTACATATGCGTATACATATGCGTATATGGGTAAGGTAAGACTCACATTGCCTTCTCACTCTCCTCGAGACGGGCATAGTGTTCTGCTACTTTGAAACACATATCGGCGGTTCGGTGGTGATGGTTTCCAACCGTTTCTTTGAAGTGGAGGAGAGCTCTGGCGTGGAATTCAAGGCTCTTGTCTGGGTTGCCTTTCAGTTGTTCCCAGTTTCCTAAGCCGTGCAACACTCTTCCGGTTCTGTGGTGTGGTTTTTGAATTTTTAGTAAGTGAGCGCATAGTAACGGGGATTTTGAGTGCTTCTTCTTGAGCTACGACCTACAGCATTGATTGGCGGTCATTTGAGCCAAAGAGTTCTTCTCTCTCCCGTAACGCCGTATAGAGCAAGTCACCAGCATCTTCGATCCGCTCTGACAGCATATAGGTACACGCAAGGTTGGTGAGTGGTAGAGTTCGCCCTTGTTTCGCCTTGAAGGGGTCAGTCAGTTTCTCTGCAGCCTCGAGGGCCTTAAGATTGCACCGGACGGCGTTGGGCCAATCCTCGATCATGATATGCGCCGTGGCAAGCTCGACATATGACACCATAAGCCGTGGGTCATCGCCAGGCGGCGTGTCGTGGAACTTGTCAATCATCATTGTATTGTAGGTTTCGAAGCACGACTTGGCCATCGCGAATTGGTTGATTTCTGCTGCGTGGCACCCTAGGTTGCGGTATGTTTCGGCTAAGAGGAACGAGGCTTTCCCCAGCTCTTCGGGGGAGAGGGTTGGTTCATTTTTGTTGTCGGCGTTGTCTGCAAGTACGGTTTTCAAATTAGCCTGGACGAAGCTGAATGCATCTCTTGCCTCTTCTACGATCGAACGCTCCTGGAAGTACCTGGATGAGAGGATCGATCAGTGTGGGCGTTGAAAATGAGAGAAATTCTGCATCTTTACCATCCTAGTTCATTGAGAAGGTTTGCAAAATCGATATTCCTCATCATTGACCTCTTAACATCCTCAGAAGTACGTTTGAAGCGTTTTTCTAACCGCAGCACATGAGGGGCTAGCTCTTCGCATTTAGGCCACCGTTTGATATCATGACGAATGCCAAAGCCCGCAGACGGCCAAATGGCTGTTAGCGAGGTCACGCACGCCGAAAAGCATGCGTGTAGTCTTTCGGGGCTCATTCTGGCCAGTGCCACATCTTGGACAAGACGATGGATAGTGAAACACTTTGCATTGGCCATGATTGATATCAATGACGATTTGACGAGCTCAGTCCTTGCGTGCTGGTATGCGGTCACAGAGCTAGGATAATCACCCATCTTATTATCCTTCATCACGGCCTGCAATATCTCTTCCGGTATACTTTCGGGATCAAGTAGAGCCATAAAATCTAGTAGACCCGAAGCTTCTTGAAGACTTTCTAGAGCCCAGACCGAGGCAACGGTGTGTGGGTATTCCTCAGTCTTCCTGCGTGACTCATATGAAAGTCTCAGTAATGAGAGACGGGCTTCTTCTTCCTCATACCGGGCCAGGAAATCTTCAAACGACAGAACCTGGCGGATCATAACACTGGCCATCTGCGTCAAGGCGAGAGGCAACCCGCCAAGCCTTTCAGCAACCGTGACTGCAAGGTTTCTTTCGTTCTCATCGTCGCTTCGCCAGGTAAGATTTAACAGAAATGCAGCCGCCATCTCGGTCCCAAAGGGCTGAAGGTCAATTCCGTCGGAGATGAGGTAGAATTTGGTTCTGGCGAGAGGGTCGCGACTCGTGATGAGGACCGAGCCAGTGCTGCCAGTTGGAGGCCAAAAGTCTTCCAAGAGCTCTCTATCCTGGGCATTGTCATAGATGAGCAGCCATGATGCTTCCCCATTTGAGATGTTATCCAGTCTGTTATATGACCTGACTGGCTTCGTGAGCCAACCCTTGACCAGCTCGCGCATGAGGGCTGGATCCTTGGCCTCCTGCGAGGCTTCCAACGCCAAACCAAGCTCAATGGCAATACGACCAAAGTCAGTTTCGAGTCTTGACGATTCTTCAGCATGGAGCCAAATGATAACATCAAACGTATCTGTGTGTGTGTATGCAAATTCTGTGGCGATTTGTGTTTTTCCTACACCACCCTGTCCACACAATGCGAATGTGCGCAGCTCTTCATTCTGGCCGCCCTGATCTCTTGTGGAATCGTCATCGGAAGGGACCAAAAAATCATCCAATTGATGTAGAGCCTCGGTTCTGCCATAGAAGTTCTTGTTGCGCTGGAAGGGTATGATATGACATGGCAGCTGTGGATCTTTTCGTGAGATGGCAAAGTCGGAAATCCGCAAATAGGTTTCTTTTCTGGTCTCGCTCAAATCCAAAGTAGGCTTTTGGCTGCTTGATATGTCTCTGACTTTTCCTGGTAAAATATTAAAATGGTTAGAAATTGGTCTTGGAGGAGTACGTTTTGGCTTTTCTTACCATCAAGCGAGTCAGGACTATGCCTACCTCCGATGGTCGTACTATCCAAGATAGGAGGGGGTACATCTGAACTTGTTATTCAGAGATCAAGATGGGGGATAGAAAATGCACCGAAGCACTGACATGCTTCCAGATGGCTGTCAATTCTACTCTGTGCAGCTGCCACAGCTGATTGCACAAAATCACAGACTAATCTGAAGGTAGGACTCATCACATCGATGTTGCAAATGCTGTAATGATTCGTCCGAACCGCAAGCCGCTGCTCGTTTCTAACTCTCAAGCGCGAGAGACTCTCTCCGACCAACTGAAAAAGGATTAGTTTGGATTAACGATGGGCGTTACTATGTGGTTGCATTAATGAGAGACCCTACCAGGAGCTTGGATGATGTAAACGCAAACCCTTTGACAGCGGTTAGTTCAGTCTCATACATGGATAGAATGGGTAAATCCGCCGCCGCTTCCTCAAATTGGCAGGACAGTTCCGCAAGCCGGTGGGCGTCTTCTGGACGAATCTGATGTCGTTTTTTATATCTGCTTTTGAACTTGAGCAGTATCTGGGTACCGCTCCAGTCGCCCACATCTGAAGAACGGGAATGGGGAGTTCCCATGAGGATGACCCCAGCGATGGAGTTGATGAGAGGGTAGAAGTGTGATAGTTGATGGTAGGCCAAACATATGGCCTTGGGGTGATCAGAGAAAGGGTCAGGTCGAAGGGTCTCCAAAACGTACCTTCTTGACGATTAGCCCTCCCAGGCTATGAGCGACCAGAATGGTAGGGCATAGACGGAACTAATGGGAATCAGAATGTGTATGGGTGCAACCAGAGCCCGACTGGAAAACAAATCAAATACCCTTTCGTCGTCTTTCAAGGAGATGAGACCTTCGAGCAGATCAGAGCCTTGATCAAACAGATTCGACTGCGTGGTGGTGTCCTCGGACTCGATGCCATGGTCAAATGCAAAGATCGCTGGACGAGGCAAGACATTATCCGGCAATGATATCAACCATTTCCACTGATGAGGGGAAGAAGTCCCGATGCCAGGAACAACGACGACGCTGGTGTTGTGTTAGTGGAGAGTTCCAAACAGGGAGAAACAGAAGACCCTCACAGGGTCTGAGCCGTGTCTCCCACCAATATTGGTCGCATCCTTCCAGCCGGCCTTGATCTATCGTCCATTATGAGCAAAATCGTTGTTCTGGAAGAAAGAAAGAGAAAGAGAGAAAAGAAAAAGAAAAGGATATCAGGCTGGATTCCAGACCAGGATGGCCATCAGCCCCGCACCAGCACATTGGATAGAGGCCGTTTGTCGCGCTTACGGCAATACGCTGTTGTCCTGACGCCAGCCTCACCAAGGCAGTCTTGGTGCATAGCCACCAAAACTCTGGATATTATAAAAGGTCGAGATTCTTGAAAGCATCAGAGAAGATGGATGATCGAAAAAGTGCAATATGGATGCTACACTCAACCTTCCTCAACGCCCTCGCCCAAGAAGTGTTGGCCAGGACAAATGTGAGTGCTTATCCCGTATATTCAGTGGCTCCTTTTGTTGCTTACCATCTCCGCAGTGACCCCGAGGGAGTACATCGAAGCCATATCTGGATATGCACGACAAACCCTGTCAGCCTCGCTGTATCCCGGCGAGTTGTACGAAAAGCTAGCCAGATACCTTCAAGACGATGGGCAAACGCGGCCACCAGAACATACTCGAGCCGCTCGTCCCCATGAGGGCAAAAACCGCCAAACAGCTACCCTGTATACCTTTTCTGCTTCTGGAGACCGAGATGTTCAAACAATCAGCACCACCGAGGAGCTCTGCGAGTCCCTCGACAGTATATCAGGCCAAAATGCGTCAGATTCAGGGCTGGCTCCCCGGTCATCGATACTCTTTCTTCGCGGCTATCCGTCTCCAGAATGGCTGTCGACTGTTGGTTCCATGCTACAGGTTGATCCGGTCTTTTTCCAGAGACATCTAGATATCCACTCTTCGTTTGGCAAGCGAAATTGCTTTTTCTCCCCGTCCTTGCCGTCGACTACAGAGGGCATGCTTTCTCTTCCCTTCATCACGATTGGGTCAGACATCCATGGGACTACTTCCAAAGGTGGTCAGAGGGATATCGATGAACTACGGGATCAGGCTATCAGGGACATGGATCAGTACCTGCACTCTCTTAGTACAGGTCGGGACGTGAAGCCTGGCGACTCGATTGTTCGAGAGTATCACGTCCATGATGCATCCAACTTTTCAATGTTGCAAGAAATGTCCATCTGGGTCGAGAAAGTGAGTTCAGGCTATGTTCGCAAGTTTGGCCATCCATACGCATACATTGAAGATATGATAAATTTAACAACAACAGGTCTGGTATGGATGGATGTCGGCGAAGATATCTCACAGGGTCCGGCTGGACCGTGGCATCGTCTACAATGTTCTCCTCCATTCGTCGGCAGATCGCCTTTCTATCCGACCCTTCAACATCTACCCAAAATTGCTCTCAAATGGCACAAACTATCACTCGCTCCGGACAGACAGCTGCGAGGGAAATTCGCCCAGAGCGCTGCGATTCTGCATACTGACTACGGGAAAGCATTGAATAAACAGTTAATGGCAGAGGATCCATTCTATGCACTGTCGGAGCTGTTCATCTTCTCGGCATTTTCCATATCGCAATTTTTGAATATGGTCGATGTGAAAGTCACGAGTGAGACAGGATTAGGGGTCGTAAGCCATCAACAGTTCAAAACGCACAACTTAGGCTACCACAAGGAACTACTCGAGAAGCTAGCTCGGCGACTGGAGGAGACTGGGAGGAATATAGAGCAGCGAGGAAGCCCCCTTTGGCCGCGATCAGTGGGAGTTGATCAGAAAAGCACCGAGGTGGCAGTATCAAGGCTCTACCGAGATTATGAAGTTCTGCTTCACCGCACCAATTCCTTGATCAAGCGCTGCAAAGATGGCATGCTTATGAAGATGAACCAAGCGACCATCACCGAGTCAAAAAGGGCCATCCAGCAAGCACAAAAAGTGGAACAACTCACGGTTCTCGCGTTTTTCTATGCTCCTCTGTCCTTCACCGCGTCATTTTTTAGTATGGACCAAGGTACAGCCGGGAAAGGATATTGGATCTGGTTTGCTGTGTCAATCCCATGTTTAATGTTTTCATATTTGGTGCTGGGAGTCATTATGCGCCGGTTTCGAAATTTCCGCGAGTCCCACTGAATCTGGCTTATATTCTTCTGACCTTCCTTCCTTGTTTTCTTTTCTTTGTCTCTCTTTCTATGTTATTTTTGATGCGTATATCATAAAGGCAATGGCCCTTCAGAAACCGATGCAATTCCGCTAAACATCAACTTCCCAGTATGGACTTTTGTCGGCAGGGGAATCTTTTCAAGGTACTCGAGCGCAATTCTCACTAGATCCAGATCTGATCCAGGTGGACTCATAAGAGCTGCAAGCACCGGAAGACTCTCAGTCTTACGAGTGATGCGTGATTGATACGGCAATTGACCAACTTGGGAAGAGAAGCCAGGTTAAGATCAAAACACGGCAGTAGCATATCATTCTGGGTGACTCACTGGGAATGGCTAATTCCGGTGCACCAAGCGCAGGACTTAGATATGTAGTACGAAGGCCCGTGGAGGGTTCTTTAGGAACGCCAGGATAGACATCGCGATAGTTGGGGGCTACTTCAGAAATGGGCAAGATGAAGATGCTGGGGCGACTATCGGTGTGCATGTATTTGTTCGTAAACCAAATGCGGAACACTGCGATTCGTCTCGATACTTCCTGGTATTGGGTAATGTCGACCTTGCTTCCGACATCCCTAGATGATGGTCAGTTAGTTGGAGATGGCCCGTAAAGAGAAATAGGATGAAATTACCACATCCACCGAACGACTTCTGTGATAAAAGGGGGTTTGTGATTTTCCGTTTCGTACAAAGACCTGAATTGATTGAAAGACTGAAACGCCATATAATAAAACCCATGCGCAGTAACCAGTAGATCTGTCAGATTTGCAACCATCTCGGCCAAGGGGTATCATGTATACACACATTGAACAGATACGTGTCGAGGTTTCCATCCCCTTCTGGGCTGTCTTCAGCCCACGCTTCTGCTATAGACATGTGCTCGAGCTCGCTGCCCAATGCCAAAGATAGGCGCTCTGCAAATGTATCTAAAATTTTCAGCTGTTCCTGGTTGTTTGTCGGCAAGAAATCCTTCGGATAGAGCACCCGAGGTCTAGTGGAAGAGGTTATCAGAGGTCTGGAGGTGGTATTCCAGGCCGATAGAAATCGATCAAAGAGAGTCAGGTCACGACCGAGGAGAGCCGGGGTATCAAAGGCAGGATAAACTCCCTTGCAACCAGCATTAGATATCAACCCTGGAGTTGGCCGGAGGCCAAAGCAACCGTTCAGCAGTGCAGGAATACGGGCACTACCCGTTGCTATAGGAAGCAATCTGTTAGTATGAAGCAAGAAGCATAAAATAGTCTTGGGATGACCAACTGTCTGATACCAAAGCCAGATCAAGCCAGTCATAAGACGCAATAGCCGCACCACCACCACTACTACTACCGCCGGGGATCTGATAGCCGTCAGCTCGGGGGTTTATGGGAGCCTGGTAGTCAACACTCTGCATGGGGTGTTCCTGGAGAGCAAAGGCGCTCATTGCGAGCTTTCCAATGACTTGAGCACCAAGCGAGATCAAACGAGACACAGCGTCTGCTGTTTGAGATTTTGGGGGATAAAGCTGGTAGTATGGGAGACTTCCGACTGAAGTACGCAGCCCAGCAATATCAAAGTTGTCCTTGACGGCGATTCTCACACCATTTAATGGAAGCCGGTGAGATGGGTCCAGGGAGTGCAGTCGAGACGGTACAGCAATACCCAAGGACCGGTATCTGTCGCCAGCAAGATGGAGTTGAGTGAGGCCACTGAGAGGAAAGGCAGTCAGTGGAGATGCGATACATGCCAGAGCCACCATGCCTACTATTCAGAGCCACGAGGATGCCATGTCACGCGTACGAATGCGAGGCTATCATCGCTGTAGATTCGCCTCACGTCATACAGTTCCCCTTGGATAGCACTGTATGGACCGGGATGGAGGTTAGTGTTGGAGTCTGGTAGAAAGCAATGCCACGTTGTTCCCCACTGGCGATGGAGTTGTTGAAGATCGACATTGAATGTGACCTCGTTCTCTTTGGCGCCTTGAAATAAGATGCCTTGCAGAAATTCCCGGCGAAACACATCGTCCTTGAGATAGATATTGACTTTCTCGTGGAGGAATTGCATATTGACTGTGTCACCAGCATTTACATTAAAAACAGAGACAAGGCATGTTGTATTGCCATAGGGCTCTCCGAGCAACTCGGACAATATCAGTAACATGCATAAGAAGAAATAATATTTTAAGCTTACGTAGTCCAAACGTTGCTGGGCATAAACGCCGTCATCACCAACATCAAGGGGAGTAACCTTCGGCTGCAGGCATTGGCCATGAGGCTCTAGAGAGCTTTGCAATGCCACTCGTGGATGAGATGGACAACAACTGAGAGCTGGCAGGACCATGGCTGCATTGACTAGTATCGAATACATTGTCGATAGTCTCCAAGGGCAATAAATAAATAAACTCCAACGATCAGACCAGAGGAGTAAGAGTGGGAAGAAATAATCCAGTTACATGTGCTGTTTTCGAGAGAATCAAGAATGGTCATAAGCAAGCGATAGGATGGCAAAAATCGCGCAAAGGAGCAACAGGGGTGAATACGTTTGCTTTTTCGTTTTATCAATCAGTTTATATCGTATTGTGGCTCTTAGCGCTCAACTAAGCACACATAGCCTCGTGGACAAGAGCCACGCCGAGAAGCTCATTGGGCTGAGATTGGGCAATATGCACCTACATCCAGTTCTAGACGACTGCATGCCAGCTGCCTGGAGAAATACGAGCCATCTTGCAGGTATCAGGCGGAGCCTTGTTTATAATATGGGATCAACGCTCATTCCAAACTGCTTGGAAAAGACGTTGCAGCCCCACCTATCCTCCAGAGAAGTTCCATACTCAAATAACGCGTGAGTGCTCGAGTTTAGATCTTCCAAATGATGAGACGGCGTATACAAAGGCTGACAAGACATAGATATTGTCTTATGCGCGAGTTACCCGTCGAAAAGAACAAGATATCCAAGAACACAATGGACCAAATCCCTCAAAAGCAACCATGGCGAGCTCTGATGGCCGACGGGTCTGGTCTTGGAAGATCTGTGATGGTCAAAGACGAAGACGAGTTCAAACAAGGCGAGATAATTGTGATCGGTGGACAGAGCGCCCCTGATCCTGGAAATAGACCATCGTGTCCAGAGGACTCCCTCCTCTATTATGACACTGCGAATAAATCAAGCAATGCTGAAATGGAGCTGCAGTAGTTGACACACTGTGTTATTTGTTGCATATATTCTAAATCAACACATTCTCTTGGTCATTCCATGTCTACTCCGTGCTGTCGGCAAAGTATGCCAGTACTCGAACCTCGATACTCTCGCGTTCAGGGTCCGAGTCTGATGCCCAGGAATTATAGAAAGACGAATGCAGTGCTCCTGGGGAGGAATCAATTAATTTGAACCATTTTCGCCTTTGAAACACGTCTTACCTTCTTTCTGGGGGTTCGAGTCGGATTGTAAGAATACCCATGCTTCTCCCGGCAACTGGTTGCGCACGTAAAAGAATCTGTAGTCAGGCGAAGGATGAGCATGATATGATTCTGCTACAGCGTTGGGGAAAACCAGATCCCGTATCTGGGCATTTTCTTTCGCGTTTGTAGTCCGGTTGTCGCACAATGCCAGTGGCCATTTTCTGACAAGACCTCTCAAAGGCATCCACACGCTTTGAAGAGAAACATTTAGTACATATGAAACTATCTTGCATTATTACAACTTTCTTACTTAAGGTATCGCCATCGACGCCGTAATAAAGCCTTGGATTCCCCAGGATTAAATGTCTGGATCAGGCTCTTGGTATGTGTGGGTGTAGTATCTTTCCCAATCGTCAGTTTGGACTCATTTGAGTGAATCACAGAATAGCATCTCATATTTACCAATATGAACGATGGATGCAGGCTGGCGATACTCGTATGGCTGGCCTGTTGACACTGGAAACTCCACATGGCTTTTACGGATCTATTGAAATTTAGTTGGATGAACCAGCTCAAGAGCCGAGTACTCACTGCATAATCATGGACCTGGACTCTTTCTGCTCCCAGGAATGACTTCAGTTGCTCAGCAATGACTGGGAAATACAGGGCCTTGAGCTGAGATTCATTCCGGAAATCTTCTGGTTGCATGTTCACTGCCAGGTGGATCAGTTCAAAGCCGTGCTGCTCAAGAGTGAACTCCTTTTCTCGGCCCCGGATATCTTCAACATAAATGCCCTCTTGTTTCGTATAATGAACATTTGATTTTGCGAATCCTTCAGGAGGATCAAATTTCAAAAGATACGGTCTTTCTTTCTCCCAGAGAGCGTCTCTATCCAGGAAATACATGGAAGTGAGAACATTTTCAGCCATTTTGACGTTGGGCTAAGACTCCAATCTTGGGGGAAAGAAAGGAGAGAAACATTTCCCCAGTCTGACATGATCTTTTATACATATCGATGGCTAACCATTAACAGCCTCAGATATAGATACCGTGCCACGTCACAGGGAGAGTACATGGACATGGGGGAAGATGGGGTCGGGGAATGGTTAATCCAGAGCCCCAAGTGGACTCTCCGCCATCTAACGTATCCCATCCTACCCCAGCTTCTCCTCTCCAATCCCCTCCTCTCGTCTCCTCTTCTATCCTAGTACCCTGACTCCCCCAACCGCCACCATCTCTTCTCATCCTCTCTCCATTCGCTCCCTTTTCTTACACCTCTTCGTCCTCCTTGTGGGCGTCTCTCTCCTCACCGTGGCTCCTCTCCGCTTCCTCTCCTCCCCCTCTTCCAGACTCTCTTCTGTCTTGGGCCAACTGCGTGGCTCACGACTAGTTACAAATCAACCATCAAGCCCTCTCACGGATCTTCGACGGTTTCTCACCACCTCCAGTATGGCCTCCGAACAGTTCCGCCGCCCACCTCAAGCCCCACCCGTCTTCACGGCCACTGCCCAATCCATCATCGATGATGCCAAACGCCTTCTAGATACCTCCCGTAAGGTGCAAGATGGCGTCGCTAGCATCAAGCCTGAATCAGCCACATTCGACTCGGTTATCAAGCCAATCGCACAAGACAACAATGCCATGGCACTGGAATCACACATCCTAGGCTTCTACCAGGCTGTCTCAACGGACGAGAAGCTGCGGGAAGCTTCTTCCAAAGCGGAGGAACTTATGGATGACTTCTTCATTGAGGCTGCGATGCGCGAGGATTTGTTCCAGCTTGTGGATGCTGTGCTCAAGAAGAACGAGACCCTCGACCCCGAGTCTCGGAGATTGCTGGAGAAAGAGCACAAGGATTACATTCGCAATGGACTGGGCCTGCCGGCTGGACCCAAGCGCGATCGCTTCAAGGAGATCAAGAAGCGTCTGAGTCAAATCGGTATCGAGTTCCAGAAGACCTTGAACGAGGTTAAAGGAGGCATCTGGTTTACCCGCCAGGAGCTAGATGGTGTGCCCGAAGACGTCCTGTCTGGGTTGGAGAAGGGTGAGGGTGAAAATGAGGGTAAGCTCTGGGTGACCTTCAAATACCCGGATTATATCCCGACGATGAAGTACGCGAAGAACGCCGAGACCCGGAAGCGGATGATGATTGCCAACGAAAACAAGTGCAACCAAAATGCTCCTGTGTTCCGGGAGGCCATTGTCCTGCGTGACGAGGCTGCGCGTTTGTTGGGATATCCCAACCACGCGACGTTCCGTGTCGAGGACAAGATGGCCAAGACCCCGGAGAGAATTAATGCCTTCCTGGGAGATTTGCGGTCGCGTTTGACCGCCACTGGGCAGGAGGAAATTAAGAAACTGCTAGAGGTAAAGAAGGCCGATGTGGAGTCTCGTGGCGAGGCATACGATGACCATTACTATCTGTGGGACTACGCATTCTATAGCCGACTTATGCTGGAGAAGGAGTACTCGTTAGACCAGCAGAAAATTGCCGAATACTTCCCTCTACAAAACACTATTGAAGGCACACTTAAGATTTTCGAGGAGCTTCTTGGTCTGGTGTTTGTCGAGATTACCGGTGAGAACCGAGACAAGCTTGCCGCATCTGGTAACGGCAACGATATCATCTGGTATGAGGATGTGCAAGTGTATAGCGTTTGGAACGACGAAGGTGAAGGCAGCGGGTTTGTTGGCTATTTGTATATGGACTTGTTCCCTCGTGATGGAAAATACGGCCACATGGCCAACTTCAACGTGCAGCCGGTAGGCCTCCCCCCGCATTTGACAGGGTATCAATTGGATTCGCCAATGCTGACCACATGTACAGGGTTTCATCGACGCCAATGGCAACCGTCGCTACCCAGCCACCGCGCTGGTGTGCAACTTCACCAAGCCTGGACCCAAGAAGCCCAGTCTGCTTAAGCACGACGAGGTGGTGACCCTCTTCCACGAATTGGGTCACGGCATCCACGACCTCGTCTCCAAGACTCTTTACTCCCGTTTCCATGGCACTAACACCGTGTGGGACTTTGTCGAGACACCTAGTCAGATGCTGGAGAACTGGTGCTGGACACCCTCGCAGCTCAAGGCCCTCAGCAAGCACTACACCTCCCTGTCGCCCGAATACCTCGCTAGCTGGCAGGAAGAGACCGGCAGCAACGCTCAGCCCCCAGCTGAGATCCCCGACGATATGATTAACAACATCATCCGCACCAAGCACGTCAACGACGCAATTTTCAACTTACGCCAGTTGCACTTTGGTATCTTTGATATGACCGTGCACCAGGGTGAGAGCCACGAAGCGATTGAGAAGTTGCCCATCTCGGCAACTTTCAACAGATTGCGCAAGGAGATCACTCACATGCATGGCCCCGAGAGCTTGGGCATGGGCGATGAATGGGGACACGGCGAGGCCACCTTTGGACATCTGATGGGAGGATATGATGCGGGCTACTACGGATATCTGAGGTATGACCATGGGAAACATACCCGAAACTATATCACACATGCTAATGATCAACAGCTCGCAAGTCTACTCGACCGACATTTTCTACACCATCTTCAAGGACGAGCCGATGAATGCTGCTGCCGGCCGTCGGTACCGGTACGCGGTGCTGGAGAAGGGAGGCAGCCAGGATGAAATGAAGACGCTGACCGACTTCTTGGGCCGGGAGCCTAAGACGGATGCTTTCTACAAGGATTTGGGAATGGCTTAGACGCTATTTATGATAGAGCATAGAAGGAACATCGGTATAATAAATAAGCAAATAAAATCAACTAAACATGAATTAAATTTCCATTGCGTTGATTCCTCGTACTCGTACTGCGTAGATAGCCGTGAGTCTGACAGCTGGATGCTTATCGATAAGACGGCGAAGGTGAATTCTCCGCCTCACCAGAGTTCGCGATGATCAGCTACCTCGACTACTCCAACCTCAGTCAATCTCAATCAGTCTCACCCACACCAATTATACCCAGCAATCTGACGAACCAACCTCCTCCTACCTCATATCTAAATCGGAATCCTAACGCCGAAAAAAACAAAGAACAAAGAACAATGTCCGACAACGACCAACAACCACCACCACCCCAAACCTCAGAAACCCCAGCAGATGAGCAACACATTCAACCCCCAAAACAATCCAAACCCCGCCTCCAAGTGCATACCCACCACTGCCGATTCTGCAGCCATCTCATCCTCTCCACAACGCGGACGATATCATCTCTGCCGCGCCGAAAAGAACCCTCCAAAGATGCCGCGTTGATTTTACCCTTACCTGCCGATGATGACGTTGAGGATGACGATGAAGAGGAAGAGGGAAATGGGGCTGCTGGGGACGCGAAACGGAAACAGAAACATTATACGATTCTGCTCTCTACTACCATTCCGGATCGGAAACCGACGCTTGTGCGTCGTGAGGATGGGTTTGAGAAGCGGTTGTTGTTGAGGTGCGGTCGGTGTCGGGTGGTGGTGGGATATTTCCTTGATCCGATCCATTTTCCCAAGGATGTATCTGCGGGTGGTGGTGATGATGAGGATGGCATGGGAATCAACGACAAGGCTAAGGTGGTGTATATTCTGCCTGCGGCATTAATGGAGACGGAAGTCATGGACGATGAAGAAAAGATTCGAGGGACGGACGGGGAGTGGAGCGGATGGGCTGCTTGATCGTATACATGCATACATATACATCTATTTTGCATCTACGGAACATGCACGAGCATATAAACATACAATACATTGTCTATCTACGGAGCCCACAACTCCAGTCACCATGTTGTAGACAGAACCTCGTAACAGGAAGAAATCATAGAAACGTGAGGGGTATCGTGAATCGTTCAGTTGGCGAGAATGGTACGGACGAGGTCTGCAAAGTTAGAAGAACGAAAGCAAGCTGAGACAGGTAGCACATACCAGTGTAGTTGATCTCGCCGGAGCTGGTGTCAACCGCCTTGAGAAGCTCGTCCACCTCGTCATCCGACATCTTCTCTCCGAGATTTGTGAGGACTAAACAGTCAGCATCCATCCATCCATCATCGCAGTTATCATGGGGCGTAACATACTGTAACGCAGCTGTCCGACACCAATAAATCCAGTCATATCCTTATCAAACACCTGGAATCCACGGCAATACTCCTCCGGCTCGCCAGGGTCACGGAAACCACCCGGTCGGTTGAGGACTTTGATGAAAGACTCGAAGTCGACTAGAGGACCACCCGTCAGCTTATAATCCCACTTTGATGCCCGACACACAAAAACTCACAATCACCGCCGATTGTCTGCTCCAAGTCGCTAATCTCAGCCAGAGTGGGGTTCTGGCCACATGCCCGCAAAAGGTCGCCCAGCGACTCGAGAGCGACCTTGCCGGTGCCACGCTTGTCGAAGAGGGAAAAAGCTTCCTTGTAGTTGGTCGAGGCCTGATCGTTGTTTGAATTTGGTGAGTGGGACATTTTTGCAGATGTAGACGGAAGATTCCGTGTTCAAAAGTATGACGATGATGAGGGGATGAGAATAATGGAGTTGGAGATGATGAGTGTGAAGATGTGGTAAGAAACAAGGGAACCAAAGAAAGCGATCCAAGGATGCGGAGAGAGAAAGAGAGAGGGGGGAAACGGCCAGGAAATCCAACCAGGGAAAGAAGAAAGCAAACAGAGCAAAAGAAGCAGCTTCTTTCGTCTCGTCCTTTCCTGCTGGCATCCTCTTTCTAGCTCAATCCCCTAGATTATCCCTGGATACTATCGCAATGCCTTGCGTCCTCCTCGTGGTGCCCCCTTTCTGCCGAGGGGAAATCAAAAACGGAATCAAAGAGACGACGTACCATGGTTGCTGTCCAGGGAGGGAATGGATCGAAATGCGTGCGTAGCGAGGAATGAATTGGTAGTCTCAACGTGTCAAAATAACAGACAATTGCTATCAACAACAAATGGAATGTAGGAGAGAGAGCTGGGGTAGACTTTAAGATGATGAAATGTGGTGGATTGGTTTTGGGTCGCTTTGGGGGGGATTTGGGCGGTTGTTGTTGTGGTAACGCAGCGTGGTTGTTGTTGGCGGCCTTGTTCCTCAGGCATTCGCTACTCACTACACTATTTTTAAAGGGCCAATACTATGCTGATGATTCAATAAATAGCCTCATATCAATTGTCGATTTCCTGTCTTTATTCAAGTATTATACAAGGTCATCACAGGTATCACGTCATGTAGAAACAGTCATCAACAACAAAAGAAAGTGGAAACACAAACAGAAGAGAAACAACCAGCAATAAAAAAAAGAGATATTAAATACATGGGCACGAAATGAAGAAAAATATATACCAACCAGGGCTAGTACACTGGAGAAAGATGATCAAGATAAACAGTCGACATCGCAGATATATGTCAACCCTTCGATTTGTCAATGCAGCTGTCCAGCAGGTTGACTGCCTCCTCGAGCAGCTCCCAGCGGGTGTTGAGGAACCCATCTCGGAGAATCATCAGCAATCCCAGGCATTGGTTGCGACCCTTCATGCTCTCCAGATCGTTGGGCTCCCGCACGCCGCCGACTCGTCGCAGGAAAGCATGCATGTCACGTTGTTGTTCGGCCACCGTCGTCAGCTCGACCGGCGAGCTGATGGGGCCATCTAATGCAAACCCGTAGCACCAGACCACCAACGCGGCCACGTAGAGCACCCATGGCCGGTTGAGCAGATTGTCATTCCGAGCCGAATACACACCATCGGGCCCGGAGTTGTTACTCAAGAGACAGCTCGACAGAAACTTGAGTGCGTAGAATGTGGCGTCTCGGGCAGATGCTTTGGTCGCCCAGCGTTCAGTCATCTTCTCCCGTGCCGTGTTGTAGTCCCGAGCCGTGATGGACCGACCCATCAGTCGCTTGGCTCCTGCAAAAATCTGGCAATCCACGATGTCAACATGAGAAGCCATGTGGGCCAGTCCGTGCAGTACATCGCGAGACTCGAAAACACTCTCCTCGTTCAGAGGGTGCCGTGTGCGATACATGTTCGGATAGGACAGGGGCCCCGACTGTCCCAGTGCCTCGTCAAAGTCCCGGCGCCAATTGTCAAAGGATCGCAGAAGGGCTGACCTCCACTTGTCCCTTCCACCCAACGCATGTGGAACGCCGAGTGAGCTCACTTGGAGGTCCCGCTGGTTCATGTGCCAACTGACACTGAGCAACCCGGCCATGAGAATGGATCGACCGAAGGCGTTGGTCCGAACACGCTGCCCGTTGAGAGTCCGCTTCAGTCCATCGAGGAACATGGTCGGTTTAACCCCATTGGCATGCAGGCTGGATTGAACGCGAGCCACCTCGGAAGCGCTGGTCGCTGACCAAAGTGCCTCGTCGCATGGTAGAGGCAGCCGGAGCTCATGAGCCACCATCTTGGCCGAATGTCCAAACATCGTGGCATGCGTTGAGTCAAGCACAAAGGCAGCAAATGCAACACGCCTGGTTGCCTCGGATTCGATCCAGTTTGCCCACGATTCATCCACCACGAATTCTGAAGTCGTCGCCGATCCAGGTGTCGACCGAGCCCGTCGGTCGTCTCGCATGCCCGCCGGCGAGTCAAACGAGGAGCGACAGATAAGGGAACTGCCACGGCGCATCAAGGTCAAGGTGGTGTCGTGGTGGATATGTGCCCGCTCGTGCAACGCACGTGTGGAATACATTTTCTCATGAACCTCCAGCAGCAATAGTGCTTGGAAGATCCAGACCTTGGCTGGGGGGCGAAAATCACCGTCCATGAAGAGTTCCCAACGCAGATGCCACGCAATGAAGTTGGCCAGCTCCGATGCCATTTCTGTGACTTCGGGACCGTGCATCTCGTCCAGTGTCGATGCTCCAATTGCCATCACGGCCAGCAAAAGCAGGTTGGGTGCCTTGTCAGCATCAAAAGTCGGCTGGTGCAAAATCGGCAGCTGGGCGTGAAAGTGATACCAGTAGGAACTAATGTACATCTGCATCATACGATGACTCAGGACATGGTTGTCATCGTCGATGTCCCCATCCATCAGAGCATCCTTGCGCTTCGCCACTGCCGAGTATGCAGCCTCGTTGAAGCGAGTGGCCATGAGATGAAGCAGTTCCTGTCGCTTGTCCTCGGACATGATTGACTGTGGAGACCCCGGGTCCAAGATACTAGTAACGCTCATGGGGTGATGGGGAACCACATTGTTAAACACATTGCCATAGGCTGGCTCACTCATAAAAAGCTGATTCTGAGGATGGGTTGGGTCTAAAAAACCCGGCATCATTGCAGCAGTTGATGGGTATCCCACGGGAGATGAGGTAGTGGGAACAGGCTCATTGAAGAGCCATGCGGCAAAATCATCCGCCATTGCGAATGGAGACCGGTTGTAAGTCTCCCCGCCAAAAATCGGATACGCGGAGAGGGAATCGAACCCGGGGTCTCCGACCGCGGGTCCTGGCGCCATTGCTCCAGGCATGGAATCCAGTCCAGCCAAGGACGTTCCTGTGGTGGATGCTGCCATCGAGAGGTCAGTGTATCCACTGACAGGGATTTGCATGCCCCCTTGAGAGCCATATGCGCTTGGATGGACCATCGAAGATCCATTCATGTCGGTCGAGATAGGTTGATGGTGCGAGTGGGGATCCTGCCCCAAATCACCAGAGCTTATCGACACATTGGCCGAGTTACGACCGTTGAGCGGCACATATGACGCTCTCGGGACATCGGATGGGCTAAAGGCCGTCGCTGATCGTCCGGCAGGAGAGTTCATGGTGTGGTTAGTCGAGCTGTTGGAGCGGCTGTAGGTGGAATCAGGAACTTCCACGCCATGCTGCGACATCAAGGGTTGGTAGTTGAATGGCCTCATGGATAGAGAGGGAGAAGAAGACACGGCCATATGTCGACCTGCGCCGCCAGCGGACTGCGAAGCCATATCCACATTGCCGTGGGTCATGTTGATAGAGGGGGATCTCGCAACATTGTTTTCCACATGTGTGCCATTGGTGTTGGGAGAAATGTGTCGTTCGCCGTTAGTATTCGAAGCGGCCTGCGCAAACGAATCACGTTTTTGAAGCTGAGATCCCCGTGTGGTGTGCCGTTCCCGGTGTCGAATGCAAAGATCCTGCCGGACAAAGGACCGATAGCAATCGGGGAAGTCACATCGGTAGATCTGCTTGGGGGTATCTATAAAATCCCAGAGTCAGCAATCACATCGGGTCTATTCCTTGCGTGCGGGGGAGGCACATACGGTTGAGTTGATGGCGGTACAGATGTTCCGCTCGTGAATAACTCTTGCCACAACCTTCATGGGTACATTCAAACTTTCTGTCCGAATGGATCTTCCGGCTTCGCTTTCGTTTCTTTTGAGAACTCTCAAGAGCGAGATGAACCGGCTCGCTCTCCGAGGCGGTTCGTGTTCTCCGGTGAATTTTGGATGGTTGCTCCAGCCCTGCCATTGTACCGACAGCAAAAGTCATCTTATCATTAATATCGTTACAAGGCAGGACGAACGAAAAGCCCTCGAATTGGCTGGTGTTCTTGAAGTCGGCCTGTCCAATGCCCTGGAGATGACCTGCGGGGATCTGGTTCCAGTCGAGTATGCCCATCAGATCGAAATGGTCGGAGGTTTTCTTAGGAAATGGAGAGCGTTTTGCTGCAGCCAGCCATGAGAATCCCGTCCCCTCTTCTTGTGACGTTCAATTCAGTCGCACGTCCGGATCAGTTGGGACGAGCGTCTGTCTGGGGCACGGTCACCGGTGGGAAAAAAAGGCCAATGCGGGAAGAAAGAGGGAATACGATGGAACCCCGTGGGGAAACGAGAAAGTCCGAGGCACAAAGAGCACAAAGCGTGCGGGAGTCTAAACCAGAAAATTGAGGTTTAGAGTTGTGGATATATCTTATATATATATTTATATATGATATAGGGAATCGATCGCAAGAAGAAAAAGACAATTAAAAACGCTAAACCGAGTATATCGGGTGGTGGTTGCTGTCAGGTGGTCGGGAGGATCGGTCGTCGGTGAGGGGAAACAGCAATGCTCTGTCTGTAGATTAGAAGAGTAATTAAGTATGTATACTGATGTAATATGATTAGATGGAAGATAAAGAGATAGGAAGGAGGAAAAAATCTCGAGAGTAGAGAGGGGGATGGAGGGCCATAAATAATGAAGCCGTCGAGATCGTCTGTGATGCCTCTTTTTCCCTTTTCCTTCACGGAGGTGGGGCCAGAGCGACGAGAGAGATGAGGTTGTTTTTTTTTTCTCTTACCAGGACACGGAGTCATCGCATCTCTTAGATGCACATCATGAGAGAGGGAAAAAATAAAACGAAAAAGAAATTATGAAAAGGAAAGAAAAGAAACCAAGGAAACCGAAGGAAAAAGCAAAGAGGGTTCGCCAATCCCTGCTATGAAGAGGAAGGTCGAGAGGGGTACTGCTCGTGCTGGCGGGACGAAGAGAGGGGATCGTGCGAGATCGTCTCATGATTTTTTGATTAAATGTCCATGCACGAAGAGCCTCAGTATACAGTTTCAAAGTCTTTTTTTTTTTTTTTTTTTTTTTTTTGCTTTATTTCTGGCTGAAGATATTTCTTCTATGCTCTATGAGGGTGATTACTGACTGGGTGGTTGCTCTACAGACTCCCAACTATTGCCGATACTCGAGGCCATCACCCAATATCCCAGCGGGCATCACCACAATAATTCCTACCCAGAGACAATAACCCCTGGCACTAGTACCAGAGCAGATCATCGGATGCAGATGATGGCCGAGCAGGAAAAAGAAAACATGCGGTGTGTCTCTTCTCTTTCTGGTCCACTGCAGGACCAGAGGGGAAAGACGAAGAGCGAAGGTGGAGGGGACCCCCAAGCGGCATACGCGGTTAAACAGCAGCGAAAAACTCGACTGCAACGAGCAACGGAACAAGTGACGACAGACAGACGACTTCTCAACAATCTAATCAGTCGCTCAACCATGGAATTGCATTTGGAAGCGAGTTTCAATGGGCCAATGCCCATCGCGATAGATCTGAAGAGGACCCATACCTCATCTTATCATGATCATCATCAGGATCTTCATCATCGCCTTCTAATAATAATGTCCGACTGGCCCTGTCAGGCCTCATCATAACGTAAAAGCAGGAACCGACTCCAGTGCGGAGAACGATCTGCACACCTTGCGTTGCTCCTGTGCATCAACCTGGTTGTTTCAGATTTTACCAGTCAATCAGATTGATGCTGTTAAGCTGACCATCATGTTTCACCTCTACGAAGGATCGGGGTTTAATTTCGTCCTCCTGCTGTTTTCGGAGGATGATGCATTTCGCTCGATTGTCGCGGCTGTGTCTACATCAGATAATCTGATGACATGCAGGAGGACAGCTTGTGGCGTCGAGTATGAAACACACTTGATGAGCTACTTGCTCGATGCGTACAGATGGACATTAGTATATTGCCACTTGAAGAAGAAAAATACAGAAAGGGGTAGAAGGCTGTAGTATTGTAGGCTGTAGGCTACAGAAACCTGTGTAACAGGCAATGGTATCTATTAATACATCTGTTGAATAGTATCTTCGCACACCGGTTCAAATTCTCCGACTGAACCACTCTCTCGGGTGTGATTGTGATTCTATATTTGATCTATATCGTTATCACAGTTGTGACAGATGTGTTCGTCTCCCAGAACTTGGCTTTGCGTCTTGTACCTGCCAAGGGGATCGACATTTCGGTCCATCGTCCCAGAATTCGGACTTAGTTGTTTAGCCACAGTTAGTATGAATATGTATTCAGCCTTCAATGAATACGTAGGCCAGCCTAAGATCCGAGGATCAGATAAAAAAGCAAATCCCACCCGAGCCACACCCACCCACCGCCGATCCTGATTGCCAGATGCGGTGTAGATAGTAGAGACTACCTGTAACTCCAAGGTCAAACTGTCGTCGCCGATTCATGCTAGTGTGCACATCGAAATGGGGATTGCCAGTGTGCCACACCCTCGCAGTCATCTGCCCCTCCACTCTTGTTCAATGTTCATCAGATCCCATCATCTCGGTTCTGATGTCGCCTGCCCATTTGCTTCTCGTTCGCTTTTCGAAACACCGGCCGATCACGAGACCTGGTTAGCTTCCCCATGTTCATGCTTTCTTTTTCTCCCATCCTGTCTCTCTCTTAGCCTTCCTTTTCTTTTTTGGCACTGCCGACTTTGCCTCAGGACACATCATCGATTCTGCCTCACCACGCCAATCATGAACAGGCAATATTATTCTACCAGCTTCCTCACTCGATGATGTCGATGCTATCGAGGAGGTTGGCTTCTTTCCATCTTATTCCATCCCCATCGGTGGATACCTGTCTCTAAGACAACCCCCCTTCATCAGACAGGACAATCCTTCGCAATACATTCCGAGGAGGATCAAAAAGCAAATCATCCATGTCTATTATTACCTGGATAATCACAAGCAAGTTGATCGTACTGGCAAACTCTGGGGGGGCACTACAATGGGGCAGTGTCCCGCGTACAAACGAGTGATGATCAACTTAATCATGCCTATGCTGAGTCGCTCTCTCCAGGCCCGACATCGGGACACTCGATCGCTCTTCTTGAGCACTTCGAAATTCAGACACAAGACTCCCTGCCACGTCTGTTTCTTATATGTTATAATTTTTTTTTCTGTTTTCCTCTTAAGAAATTCCTAATATAGCTATAGTACCGCGTTATTACAATGTGGGCGACGAGATCGGGTCGCTTGACAGTGGTGAGGGCCGGTTGTCCATCGCCGAGGCGGTTTCAGGACTGCCGCATACAAACTTGTCTTGAATACTGGGGAAGACGATTTTTTTTTTTTTTTTCCTTTTTGTTGTTTTTTGCCAGTGTAAATGCTCCGTGCTATCTTACCCGGTCCCATGACGCGCGCCAACACCCGGACGACAGCAACCGCAGGAGCAACATCCGACGACCGGAACCGAGTGTAGGCGGATGATAGTCATTTTTCCTGTGTTGCCGCGTTTAGTCCACACGCCAGGAAGTCTATCCACTAAAACGGAATCGGGTGGCCTCCAGTCGACCTAGCCCATCTCTGGGTGCCACATTGCGTCGCCGGTACGAGTTGGTGAAATCTGCATTTATTGTTAGCTCAAATAGCAAAGGCCAATCAGAGCCGTAGAACATACCTTGTAGCAGAACCCGAATCTTTCTCGTCTCTCCCGACTGTACCTTGTCAGCAACAGCCTTCAACAGCCTTTCGGCCTCGCCAGCCTTCATAGTTCCGGCAGGGAGCATTTGAAGGGTAGACTGTAGCCAAACACCAGCTTCTTGAGGCATCAGCTCAAATAGTGTCATCATGACACCAGATGCGTCAGGGAAACAGTCCCCGGGGAAAGAGAACATCATTCCCGTAAGAACACGTTGGGAAAGTATTTGGCCCTGTGATGTAATGAGCTGCCTGACAGCTTCACGGATCTCCGGAGGATTCGTGTATGAGTCGCCATCAGGGCTGGTGAACTCAGAGACAACGGGCTTTTCAAAAGCAAAACTGAAAAGGTCTCGGTAGTAATGCAGAGTGGCGATCAGAGGATCAACTTGCTGGAGAGTGAGAGCGCTCAGAGCTGCAGAGAATATGGGTACCGCGAGTGACGAGGTAATACATTCTTTGGGGTAATACCGAACGGCGTCGGACGAAAGTCGGAAGAAGTCCTCGATCACTAGGCGGAACAATCAGCGAACCAGAAGAAAAATGACTGCAAAGTAATACATACCGTCGGGCAAGCTATCTGGTGGCAGGTCATTCAGAATACGCAGGAATGTGATGGCTTGCTGCTCATAGAACTGGAAAACAGCGCCGGTCGTCGACGGGTCGACAAATTCAGACCCCTCGGAGAACTCGCGTACAACGGCGTCGGTAGCCCATAAGAAGCAGCCCTCACGAGAAACTTCAAATCCACTTGCAATGCTTTGTGCCAAGGTAGGGAGCAGAGGAATCATAGCCATTCGGTACGAGATGATCATGTATCGCCAGCAACGACAGACGCGCTCCAAAATAGGGGTGGACGAGGTGAAGTTCATCACAATCGTGGCCATAATAGGCAGAATCTCACCACAGTACTTCACAGCCGGATTTTCCTCGCTAGGACCAGCGTAAGGATTCACAACTTGCACGAAAATCGTAATCAATTGAAGGTGATCTGTTTATAATCAGCATGAAAACCTATTAGATCTATTGCGCAATACATACCGGCAACGGCTCGTTGACCTTCCTCATCCTTGGCATTGTTTGCCAGATTCATGATTCGGGCCATGATGGGGTCGCAGAACATTTTCATGGTCTCATAAATCTTATCGAGCGGCTGCACTGCAACGACAGCTGCCACACCTTCAGTGACTTCTTCCTGGCTTGCCGGCTTCAATTTGTCGAGGACAGATTCGTAGAAAGAATGGAGCTGAGCGATGTGGCCCCCGAGTAGCTTCTGGCAATCAGTTCCTAAGAACTTAAATGCCAAAGCAGAAGCCTGGATAACTTCTGGCGAAGTGTGCTGGAAGCCCGAAATGACATAGTTCAATTGGGGCTCAAGAGTCTCTGGATGCTGGGCAGTCCACTCGGTATAGCGCGCAAGGGCCATAATAGCCTGGAAGCGTACCTTCTCTTGGTCCGGTATTTGTACAATCAGTGGGATCACCTCAGTCAAGATCGAGCTGTCTTCAGGATCAACCATACGACCCATAGCTCTCAGACTGAATAGTGGTGCCTCAAGTTCTTGCCAGTTGGGGACATGCTCATTGCTAGCCTGAGAAGCATATTTGGAAACCCATTGTTGAATCAACTGATAAGATTTCGTCAAACACTCGGTCACGCCAATGACAGAGCAGCAATCCTTAAGAACGTCGCCCATCGAATGGCGGAAATGACGGAACTTCTCTTCCGACTCGCGATCACCACCAAACAGATCTGTTTCACCTTCCTCTGGGCGTGGGTATTCAAGGTGCTTGACCATAATATCCACCAATTGGGAGAAGATATCGGCGAGGCCGAGTCTCGAATCTGCATATCGGTCCAGAGTAACGTATTGCTTCAACTCGTACCAGAAGATGAAAGTGAGCGAGATCGCATCGCGCTCCCAGTCTCGGGCGCAGCACTCCAAGACAGCCTCCACTAGACCCCGGAATTCGGTCGGAAGACGTGCAATCAAAACTACCCAAGCTTCACCGGCTTCCGCGAAAAGTCTCGTGATTGCTTTGAACGCTTCTCCATCCTCTGATTCTGCGGTTTCGGCAATCTTGGGACGGAGTGACATTATTCGAGGATACAACGCTTGGATAATCGGTAGCGAATCATCCACCTCTCGGGTGTCTCTATAAAGAGTGCACATGCTGTCCACGGCGGACTCGAAAGAAACTTCATTGTCCAACGCCTTGAGAATGACGTCCATCAAAGGCGACTCAACAAGTTTCGAAGCTGGGATCTCACGCATCCATGAGGTGATGCAATCCAATAAACGAGGATTCGTAGAGGCAGTTGCTGAAGCGCAGTCAAGAATTAGTGTTTTGATCGAGGAATAAGTCAAAGACAACCAAACGTACGGGAGGACTGAGCATATTGGATCAAAAGGTGCATCACCTGCTCCGCATTATCTTCCAACAATTCTTTTGTTCTCATGATAAGTTCATCTTCCTAAGATGTTACAGCAGATTAGCGTTCGTTAACTGGCGACAAAAGCCCGCGATGTTGCGCGTTTAAGGGGGTGGGTTAAGAAATCAGCCGAACATACACTCAAATTGATTTTGCGACCCTCCGTGACTTCTTCGGGAAGAATTTTAAGGAATTCCAGCACACACTCTCCAGCACTGCTACCCAATGCCGAACCAACAGTAGCCAGGACATCTTTCCACTGGGTCATCTGGATGGCAAGGCTAGCCAGGCACACGCATAGCTGCGTCTGAATGGGCCGCGGACCCGAGCCGTAAAGAACGAGAAGATTCAGGACAGAGTCTCTCAAAGCCAACACGGATTCCGGGGGCAACTGGTCCAAATCGAATATAATCTATTGCGGTCAGTTTGTTGGGTCCACCCCGCACTGGTGGAGGAGCCGAAATCACCTTTCCTTTTAATGTGGTCGCTGCGAAAAGCTTCGCCTCAACAGGGACTTCCGGGGACTGTAAAAGTGCATGCGTAGCTGTCCAAGCTTCGATCTAGTAGAATCACGGAAGTGTCAGAAAAAAGTGTCATCACGGGGGGCGGCGATCTGCGAGAGGGTATGAGGAGGGTAGAACACACCGATTTCTGAAACTTCTCAAGAAATTCATGAGCGTGAGTCTTCTCGGTTCGTGAAACATTTCCTTGCATTGTTGCGACTGCCGCTAGAACTGGGCCAAAGGCCTGTTCTGCGACGCCATCTTTACTGGCCATGGTTGACTGGAGGTGGGATGTTTTGGTTTGGTGTAGAAGAAACAGGAGAAAGAGAAAGAGGGGTCAGCCAGAAACAGGCTCAACACCTATCTATTACGGTCATGAACAGTCATTAAACAACCATTAACTGAAATATCAAGAGAAAGTCTCAGAATGCAGAATTCATAAAAAAAGGGTGGTGGTTAGAGGGATCGGGAGGAAGCGTGACTGGGTGGAAGTGGGATGTGGTGACGAGACCCAAAAGGAAAAGTTGGTGAGCCGCAATAATCATACACCAAGCGGCCAGACGAAACCCGCGGGAGGAAGCTCTTTCACCACCACCTCTCTTTCCTTGAACTACCACCAACATCGCGACAAAGCCCAATTTGACCGCAACACATCTCTGCTCATTGACATCTGCGCCGACCGCTAGGTTTTCGACGCCGAATTTTTTTCTCCCACCCCAACACATTTCGATCTTTCACGTCGCGCAATCATGGCCGGCCGAGGCGGTGGAGCTGCTCGCAAGACACTGCTTGCACCGATTCACTTCATCTTCAAGCTCCTACAACAGCGTTCTACAGTCTCTGTCTGGCTTTATGAGCAGTTGGCATTCCGGATAGAGGGAAAGATCAGGGTAAACTCGATGCGTGTTCTATTGACAGTGTGCCGGGCTGACACGAGCTAGGGATTCGATGAGTTCATGAACTTGGTCATTGACGACGCGGTGGAAGTCAGACAAGCTACAAAGACTGAGGAAGAGAAGCGCAGGCCACTTGGTATGAGCTGTGCTTGTTGATTTTTTGCGATCTGATGAATAATGCTAATTGTTACAACAGGCCAGATTTTGCTCAAGGGTGACAATGTGTCGTTGATCCAAGCCGTTTAAAAGAAACCTCGCCGCCGTGATCTATCACTATTTCTCTTGATAAAAATTAATTCTTCTACGATTTGCTGTTGGGGGGACAGTTTCATGCACATCGATTAAATAGACGAAAGTATCTGCATAAAAGGGAAACCGTTTTCTGGTTGTATCAGCGTTTGTGAACGAAGAACTGGTCATCACCGACGATAATGGCATCCAAAGGCCAGTCATGGTCCGCAACAGGTATTTCTTCGGTCGGGGGAAGCACTTGTTCCTTGAGAGAGAGGGCAACTGTATGAGGTCTAGTCAGAGAATGTTTCTTCGTGGTTCCTACAGTGAAGCGGGCTGCTTTCTCACCGAGAAAAGGCATTTTTGATGGTTTACTATCCGCCTCTTGTTTCGAGTATCTCGTCAAAAAATGATCATAATATCCTTTACCATGGCCAAGTCTTCTGAGTTCGGGATCAAAAGCCATCCCCGGCATCACGATCAAATCCAGTCCATGAGTAGCCTGTTCTTCTGCCTTTAGAGATTGAACCCCATAACCGCCAAGACAGTTCTTCCTGTTGATAACTTGAGTTTCCTTGAGCGATGGAATCCCCCATTTATCGGGTTCGAGGCCTCGAAACTCTTCCATCGACCCCAACGCCAGCATGTCCATGATAGAGGTTTTCTTCTGCGTGGAAGGAGACTCGATGCTGTGAATGTAAGGAATAAACACTTCCTTGCCATTCGTTAGAGCATCTTGAATTATGCTGGTTGTTGCGAGTTCTCCAAAAGGCATGGAAAGATAGACACCTATTCTTTTCGCATTCTGGTATTCTGAAAGTGAAAATAGTTTATTTGTGGCAACCTTGGCTATAGATAATCAGCTGAAGCCTTGTAATCTGTAGATGGGGCCTGTAGAGTCTTACATTGGTTGAGAATTGATTCGTTCGGGATGTTCTTTAAAACGTCCCGCATTCTCCTTCGGAGATCCTTTTTGGCTGTTTGTAAACCGGCCATCATATTTGCTGCCGTGGCTAATATGTTTCGACTAGATATTCTATACTCAATAGGTCCTTCTTTCTAGCGATATAGGAGCCGTGCCTGGCAGATCGGTGTTTATGGCACTTGACTCACCACTATATCTGGAAGACGTTGGTTTTGCTTTCTGGATCGCCGTGGCTTGGCACATTGTTTGGCGGGTGATTCGCGTGGTTGGATTGTCGGGGTTTCGTGCTCCACTTCTGCCAAAGGGTTGTAGGACAGGGCATCTTCCATTCATTGCATCCCTTCGTGGGAGTTCTCTCCTTCTCTTTTCTCTCTTCCAACGCTGTCAGCTTGGAAGGCGAATTCAAGGATGATTGCAGGTTTCTTCTTTTTTTTTGGCCTTCTGGTGACGGCCGTGAGTGGTGCCAGTGTCTCCGATCTTGTAGGCACTTGGACTACTAAGTCCCGCAGCGTCTTTACAGGTCCGGTACGGTTTGCGCAAATTGTCACTCCATTTTGTTCTTGAACTCAAGTATGAGTGGCTCTAATATGTCATTTATCTGCAGGGATTCTTTGACCCGGCTGAAGACAGGCTCATCGAACCAAGCCTGACGGGAATCTCATACTCATTTACTGCCAATGGACACTATGAAGAAGCGCATTACCGCGCCCTTGCCAATCGTAGGTATACACCTGGGAAAACAATCAGTGGTTTCTGATTCTGACGTGTCTTGGTCAACAACAGCACAAGATCCTTCATGTCCCAAGGGGATCATGCAATGGCAGCATGGTACATATTCTGTGAACAGCAACGGATCCGTATCACTGAACCCCATTGCGGTCGATGGTCGCCAGCTCTTGTCGGACCCTTGTGCACATTCAATTGGAATATACACGAGATATAATCAGTCAGAACTCTTCGACGTACATGACCCAGAAAGTTCCTCATTGCCCTTTTGTCATGCTAACATTGATGTTTAGTCTTACACCGTCTCCATAGATCCTTACCACGGCATCAAACGTCTGGATTTATATGCATTCGATGGATCGCCTATGCATCCAATGTATCTCGCTTACAAACCCCCACAGATCCTGCCAACCTCAACTTTGAACCCAATTCATGATAAGAAGCGCAAGCGTCAGCTCGGAGGGGAAACTGAGAAGTCTTTTAGTATCAAACACCTTGTCACCAAAGAGGATCTTATGAATCCTGATCGCTGGTTATGGTTTGGCATCGTCATGACTTCTCTTGGTGGCGTTGCCTTTTTCTATTCTTGATTACTGGGATCTGAATATTTATACAGGGGCGCAACATAAGGCAAGGCTATTGGTGGGTTTTGGAGTTCCGGAAACATGAGTAACGAGAACATTTATGGTTCCTGTACTCGAGGGCCCAATACTCTATGGTTTACGGATATGAACTGGCGCTGGAGAATCTGCATCTGGAGTTTTCTGGGCCTTTCACGCCATGGTGGTCAATTCTCACTCTGTCGTGAAGGGACTGTTTCACTTTGTTTCATAATGGTTGGCTCATGGCAGAAATAATGCGAATTGGGATGTACAAGTACTCTATAATTGAATTCTAGCCTTTTGTTTTTATGTTCAGTAACCAATGCTTGTCCAAGAATACAGTGCGCTGAATGGGAGAGTTGGATTATCCATTGAACGGACCAATACAACCTAATATACAGTGATGGGCTTAGATTCGAGGGGCCATTATCATGCCGAGGAGATAGCCTCTTTGGCGATTCTTGCGACTTCTGATCTCTCTGCTGGCTTGCCGTCCAGAGGCCCACCAGCAGCGAAGAGAGACTTGAGCAGTGTGCCGATTTCCACCTTTTGACCTGCCTCCTTGAGTTTGGCGATCTCTTGTGAAACAACATCCTTGATATCTTCCAGACTCATCGTCTGCACTTCACCGGCGTATTCCTCGAGTATTGTCACCTGCACGTCCTCTTTGTCCTTAAGATCGGGTCGATTCTCCTCAGCAAACTGTCGCGCTGCATCCCTTGAAGCATTGGCACGTTTCCGGATCAAAGACAAAAGCTGCAGGTCGGTCTGAATGGGCGATGCAGTCTTTGCAGAATTGTTGGTTTCCGATATGATAGCTCGAAGAACATCCAATCTAAACGCAACTGCATCAGCGTCGCAATTCCAACAGAAGTAGCAGCTTGTAACCCCCTACGTACCTTGCTTTATCCTTCGCCCTCATGGCAACCTTGAGATCGGTCCTGATTTTGGCCATTAAGGGCGGCGTCGCTGGACTAGCAGTCGAATTCCATCGGACTGGGCGGACTGGGCGCAGGTTCAGCCGAGCTGTGAATCTGAGAGGGGTGAACATCTTGGTAAATTGTTTGGGCTAGAAATTGAATCGGCTATATAACAGGGAAGTCCTCAATATCGAATCTGCGAAATAATTATTCTGTAGTTGAATTGGAGCAAAATGAGATCATTGTCGGGGGGGGGGGGGGGGGGGAGAAAAACAAGAGAAAGGCGGAAAGCGTTGGAGTTCACCATCTCCGGCCCGTGCACAATTTTGTTTCTCTCTGCTGTTCTTCCTATTATTATTCCCATTATTTGCCTGTCTCTCAACTAGGCCTTGCTCTGGAACACAACACGGCCCTCATTATTGTTGATGTTCCATTTTCGCCTTTCTCCCCTGGCCAACCTTCTCCTCTTCCTAAATTGATCTCTTTGAATTGTTCTCCTTCCATCATCAACTGCGCTGACGAGACGTCGGGGAGCGCGACGGTTCCCCCCAACTGTGCACGAGCTGCCAACCTTCAAAAATCATGTCCTATCCGACACTTCCTCCCACTTTCACGCCCCAGAAACCGCTTCCAGGAGCTTACTTTCAGACTCCTGCCCCCAGCAATGCCCAGAATGCGCCGTTTTTCTCCCCCAAGCAGGCTGCTCCTGCTCCTGCTCCCGTAGAGCAGGGTTCACCGGCTTCTCTTCCCAAGCTTCCCCCGGCTGCTTCGAAGTCCAAGTTCCAAACTCTGAGCACAGAAGAGCGCGCTGCGCGGACAGTCAATGATACCTTGGTGCAGGAGTCGCGCTATCCTGACTTGGATAGCTATCTTTCTCGTACGTGGATGTCGGTCTGAGTTTGTCTGGTAAATCACTAACTAATAATAATCTTCACAGAGGGTTTCTCGTCCGACTACGATATCCCAGTCTCGCCATCATGGGCGCCGTTTCAAAAAGTGAAGATGTATAATATTCCCGATCAGATTTTTGACCAGTATAACCGGGCGCAAGTCTCGACAAGCATGGGTCTTTTCGCAGAGTTGAATCATGCGTGGGTTGCCATTGACAACGCTCTCTATATCTGGGATTACACACATCCAAACCCTCAGCTGGTGGGATTCGAGGATCAGCCTAACAGTATAAATGCGGTCAAGCTGGCAAAACCTCGCGCGGGAGTGTTCCTGCCCTCCATCACTCACTTGCTTGTCATTTCAACCACCGCGGATGTTATTCTTTTGGGAATGGGCTGTGAGACGACCGTTGGAGGAGCACGCCAAGTGAGTCTGTATCAAACGGGCATGTCAACATCCATTCGAGGATTGGATATTCACGTTTTCGCCTCCTCGGACTCGACCGGCCGTATTTTCTTTGGTGGGTCCTCCGACAATGATATTTACGAGTTCACGTATCAGCAGGAGGAAAAATGGTTCCAAGGGCGGTGTTCTAAAGTCAACCATACCAGCTCCCGCCTGTCAGCCTTTACTCCTTCGCTGAGCTTCACGCAGAAGGAATTCGAAAATGTGGAACAGATGGAAATTGATGACACAAGAAGACTGCTCTACACGCTATCATCGTCTTCCACAATTCGAGTTTTCCACATGAAGCCTGATGGTACCCTGGCTCTAGCGATCACAAAACCTGCCTTGGATATCTATTCGAACATCGGACATATAATTGCTTCGAACGAGACTCTTAACCCCAAGGTCAAAATTGTGTCCATCAGTCCTATTCCAGCAGCCGAGGCGTCGAGATATCATCTAATGGCCACAACTGCAACAGGATACCGGATCTACCTTAGTGCTACGGGATCCTATAGCTGGTCTCCGGCACCGAACGGTGCCAATGCACCGACAAGCATGCAGGCTCACCATGTGAAAACTCCTCCATTCGACAATCCTTCTTCCGCTGCCTTGGGTTTGGGTATCCCAGGTCAACCCCGCTTCCAGCAACCGGTATCTTCAAAGGTCCCTATTCACTCGCTTGATCCTACTCGGTTTACCGTGCGATACCCCCCAGGTTACTTTTTCTGTTTCACGTGCAAGGATTCCATGCAGAAATCAGACTCTCTTTTTATCTCTTCCCCAGACTCAGGCCGTGTTGCCCGCGCCCAGGACACTGTGATGCCTGGAAAGGCCTCCGAGACCGCTATTTGGCTGTCACTGGGTAGTAGGGCGGAAGACATTGGCCTTTGCTCGCCATCCGCCGCAGCTTCCACCACCCCCGGAGGCTTTGGTAACGAACTTGCTATTCAGTTCGATAACCCAGCAGCAGAGATCGCTATCTTGACCAATACCGGAATCCACGTCATTCGCCGGCGACGACTTGTTGACATGTTTGCGGCGTTGGTACGTGGAGGAGGAGGTGGTGATGAGGGGCTTGAGGGAGAGATTAAGAACTTCATCCGCACTTATGGCCGAAGCGAAACCCTTGCAACAGCTCTGGCAGTTGCTTGTGGACAGGGAGTGGAAATCTCCACGGATTCACGTCTCACTCAGATCAACGACCCGGATGTACTTGAATTCGCTCGCAAAGTTTTCATTGATTACGGTGGCCGGCCCACGATGAACGAAAATGCTGTCGCCGACAGCTCGACGCCCGCTGTTGACTCTGTGGTCCCGTCCCCGAGACACGCAGGTATCGCTCTGTACCTTTCAAGACTCATGCGCTCGATTTGGAGGAAAGAGATTGCCACTGTTGGTAGCTCACCAACCGGAGCGCAGACTGTTTCGCCGTCTGTCGCCATTTCCAAGCTGCAAACTGTCCAAAAAGACCTCTCGGCCCTGCAGGACTTCTTCAAGTCGAACAAGAACTTTATTGAGGGATTGAGCGGACCAGAGGCCCTCGCACGTGTTTCTACAAAACAAGAAGAAACTGCTTTGCAGGCAGAGCACCGTGCCCTTCACTCTCTTGTTCAGCTCGTCTCCCATACAATCGAGGGCATTTCCTTTGTTTTGGTACTCTTTGATGAAAAAGTTGATGAGATTGTCGCCACTTTGCCTGACGAGTCTAAACAACGTTTCCTGAGCCTCACATTTGAAGAACTCTTCAGCACCAGCAAGGGCCACGATATCGCGAAAGAATTGGTCAAGGGTATCGTAAACAGGAACATCGCTAAGGGCTCCAATGTGGAAACCGTTGCTGATGCTCTGCGGCGGCGGTGTGGCAGCTTCTGCAGTGCTGAGGACGTTGTTGTTTTCAAAGCACAAGAGCTGTTGAAGAGAGCTACCGAGGCTGGCTCTAGCTCGGAGCTGGGCCGCAACTTGCTTAACGAGAGCTTGCATTTGTACCAGCAGGTTTCGGATAGTCTGCCCATGGATTACTTGTTGTCTGCCGTGGAGACTTACATTTCAAATCAATTTTTTGCGGGTATGTCGCTGTTCACGCAAGATTTAAGTCAATGATGCTCATTTAATTTCCACAGGTGCGATCCAGTTGGCTCTCAATGTTGCTGCACGTTCCGATAAGGCCAACATGGCTTTGTCGTGGATTGTGGATGGCCGACCCGAAGATGTAATGCCCCCTCTTTTCAACTTGGTTCCCAGCATGCAAGGTCTAACCAGTCGTATCACAGGATTCTCGGCGAGACTATTTCTATTTCAGAAAGCAGTGCTACGATCTAATTTTCAAAGTAATTATTGCGGTTGATAATCTTGCCGCCAACGACCCTGGCGTTGTTGACGGCCAGTTTACGATCGTTGCGAAGCGTAAAAACGAGGCCTATGGGGTTATCTCCGATTCCACTGATGAAGTGTTTTTGACAAACTTGTATGACTGGTATTTGGAGCAAGGCTGGACCGATCGCTTGCTTCAGACGGACTCTGCCTTTGTGGTTACTTACTTGCAACGCAAGTCGGCCGACGACATAGCACACGCAGACCTGCTTTGGCGGTACTATGCCCAATCTCAACGATTTTTCGAGGCAGCCAATGTTCAATACCAACTCGCACAGAGTGCCTTTGCTCTTCCCCTCAGTCGCAGAATCGAATACCTTGGTCGTGCCAGGGCAAACGCCTCCACTTTCACGCCTGATGTTGGTCGGCAGTCCCGTCAACGTTTGTTGCAAGAGGTTTCCAATATGATCGATGTATCTAACATCCAGGATGATCTTCTGCAACGTCTAAAGGACGACAGACGGATTGCTCCAGAGCGAAAGCCCGAAGTTCTCAAGGATGTTGATGGACCCATCATGGATATCAGCACTGTATGTTACCGTCTCCTTCATCCCTCTTCATAGTCTTTTACATGTTTACTGATATTTTTCCAGCTTTTCAACCAATTTGCCGACCCTGCAAGTTATTACGACATTTGCCTGCAAATCTTCTACTTGGCTGATCACAGAAACTCTGCGGATATCAGGTCTACATGGCAGCATTTGTTCCAAGATTTGCATGATGAAACTGTCGAAAAAGGAGAGCCGCAGCCGTACGAGGCTGTAATTGAGAAGGTCCGCAGTCTGGGCAGTCGCTTGCGCATGTCGGAAATTGTCTTCCCTATCCCAGAACTTCTTCCTATGCTGGAGCGATATGCACTGGAGCATCAACGCGGTGTTGGACCTCCAACATGGGTTGCTGATCTCTTCCTTGATCTTGGAGTCGCACACGAAACAATCTACACAGTACTGGAAGCCATGTACTACACCGATGAAGCTCCGTTCCACGGCTCGAACCGGAAGTACATTGCCAAGGATCTACTCTACCTGATTGATATCTGGTTCCATGAGACCGTTCGCCTGGGTGGAATTGTATTCGGCAGTGACCTTGTCGCCGAGCGTATCTCCGAAACCCTTCTTCTGCTCCAGCAAGGTGGCATTGCACCCGAGCAAATGCAACTCGCACATGAGCTGCGGACGAGGATTGAGGATATTTTGCGGTAATGAGCTTAATGGATAATTTGATGCTGCGATTTGAGGACGCCAAAATAGTATATTTTTTTTTTTTATCATTAGCTAGCTCTCATTTTCCTTTTATGCCAACATCATCCATTCATCTATGCATTTTGAAAATGTTCCGCAAATGGCGTCTGATTTTCTCATTTTTTTCTTTTTTATTGTTTGAAAGAAAGGGGTAATTGGGGGTTTTGGTTTGTATGATGCATGAGAAAGGGTAGGTTATAATCTTTTTTTTTGCTTTTTTTCGTGTCTTCATTCCGTGTCACATTCTCATTCCCATCTATCAGATCAATGTATTGCTGCAGATTCGCTGTAATTTAGCCCCTATGTCCCCCTTTGTTCCGACTACACGGTTTTGCAAGACCGAGACAGTTAACGCAGATCAATGGAGTTGTAAACGTTGACCAATATATCGTCTCATTGATTATGATTAATATTATTGATGGGAGTTTGGTCCTTAACACAAAAACAAGCTCGCTGAGACGAAGCACAAAAGAAGCCGAAAAAAAAAGTAAAGGCCAAACGACAAAAAGACGACAGCAAAAGAACAAATCAAGTCTATTCCCAAACAGCATAACAAAAAAAAAACCCCCAGCAAGTCTATATAAAAAACGAACCCTCAGAAAATCCAACCATCTATAACAATCCAGACCAGGTATCGACGCAAAGCATAACACATGCACTCGCACAGCAGGAAGGGATAGCCGAAAAGAAAAAGTAATAATCAAAAGAAAAAAGCAAAGTGAAGGAGCTAGATATGCTCATGCAACGCCTGGGCCATGCACATGCATGAAACAGAGGATTAGTAGTACTTTTGGTGCTTTCTTTTCTTTTGTTTTTCCACTTCCGACTGCCGAGGCAAACAAATTGGTATCATTTACTCGAATTCGTCATGAACGGGAATTGGCTTCTCGGCCAATGCGATTAAGCGGAAGATGTGTCGCGCCTTGGCGCCGAAGTCATCATCGAGGTAGTCAACGATTGCAGAGTCTGTAGGATGTACATGTGGTTAGACATCATTCCAAAAGAAACAGGGAGAAAGGTATTCTTACGGAGAGTGCTGCGGTTGTCAAACATCACAATTGTCTTGGGTTGCCATCGCACTCTAGCCTGGAAGTCATGGCCAGTCATCATGTGATTCATGAGGAAGTCGAGCAGGCATCGCTGCTCGGGCTCCTTAAGACCCTGGACTTTGGTGATGAATTCGCCGTTGAGGAACAGGCACTTCTCGCCGGTAACAGGGTGCACCCGAACAAGAGGGTGGACAGTGTCAACTGGGTCTTTGCGCACCAAACCTCCTGTTAGGCGCGTGTGGTTGATCATCTTCGCAGAAGAATGAACCACCTTGAGAGTGTCCAAAAAGGAGCAGAACGTAGGAGAAAGGCGCCTAAACAAAGTACCATCAGGTTAGCGATCATTCTCCTAACTCTTGGCTATGGCAGCAATTGCTCCACAGCCCATTCAATTTTGATAGTGAAGACTTACTTGTACGCCATATCGGTCGCTGCGAAAACGGTGTCACCGCCCACCTCGGGGCCCTCCAACAATCCAAGCATGACATAGCCGGGGGGCTGGATCTCGTAACTCACATCCTGATGCCAAAGCGTGGTCGTTGTCCGCTGCTCCATGAAGCGCGCAATCTCGTCTCGGTTTCCATCGCGGTGGATGACGTGAAAACCTGGATGGCCGCGAACCGAACCCGAAACGGGCTGATAATTGGGTTTACCGAAATAGCGCATAAACTCTTCCTGGCGCGCTGGACCCGCATCGATTAAATCCTGGTTAGGAAAAGCGACAACTTTGCGCTCGGAGATAAGCAATGCGAGTTCATCTTTGGCCGCGTTCGACAGCTGGCTCAGCTGGACACCTTCGATAACACTTCCAATTTGAGGTTGGATGTGGTTGACCTTGGCGTTGCCGCTCAACAGATTACGCTTGGAGGTGTCTTTAACCCGCAGGGCGGGATCTTCGTACTCAAATGGAGGCAGTGGATCAAACCAGATTTTGTCCCAAGTCGGCAGATACTCGGGGTACCTGGTGCGGGCATAGCTCTCCTTTTTGACGTCCACATAGGGAATGTTGATGTCGTAACTGATCGGCGCTTCAGGCTTGTGGGCATTCACGGCCTGCGGCTTGTTTGGCCGCAACACGGGAGCCGAAGAAGGCATGGTTTGGGCAGAATTATTTTATTGTCTTCTGGAAGGGAGGGGTTGGGAAAAAGAAAAGGTTTGACCGACGATCAAATTGGTCGAGGCCTAGAGAGAAGAGGGCAGAGAAGGATAAAAAGAAAAAGTTGCACAGGAATAGAGTCGAAAATAACCAAAGGGGTATAGAGTTTTTGAGAGAAGCTTTAAGCTCAGCCAAAATATCGAAAAGCTTGTTCAATGGATAGAAAGAAAAAGAAAATAGAAAACTTGGGACGAGAGGGCGAGGATGACAGGATAAATAAATATCTGATAGCGAAGGTGGCCTCCACTACCTCCCGTCGTCATCGTATCCATCCATGCCCGATAGAGATACTGTACAAAGATACAGGGCCAAGTGGATGATATGGTCGCAGTGGCGCCAATGGACCGTCGCGATGACCCTGCACACAACGGTGTCTTCGCTAAAACATTTACTAGTAGACTATCCCTTTCATCTCCGCTCCGAGAATGCGCTGGGGATTTACCAAAATTGTTCATGGTGGACGAAAAGTGCGTTCTATGACATGACGACAGGGGGTGTACAGGAAAAGCTCCTGGATGGGCCTGAACGACCGGCCGGGGCTTTTGCTCGTCATAGGATGGGAAGCGGGGACCGGGGGGTAAGGTGGCGGCAGGAAGCAGAGCGGGACCACTCACAGATGGGACAGGACAGAAAGGATGCTGTTCGAAAAGGGTGATTCAGAAGAGAGAGCGCGCGCAGACAGACAGACGAGGAGCAAAGCAGGAAGAGTCAGCGCCGACGAGAGTGTGAGATGGAAGGAAGCGGTCAAGGGGCCCAAATGGGTCGCGGGCCATCGGAGCGTCCACTCGATATACATAGCTTCCGCATCGGACGACAGAGAACTTGCAGCAGAAGTTCGCTCATGGCTTCGATTATCTCAGGCACAAGTGAGCGCCCGCTATAGCGATTGGAGGGAGTGAGGATGGCTTCTGTTAGACTGTTGCCCAAGGCCGACGATAGCTAGCTCATCGAGTAATCATGCCTGTTCACTCCCTGATCCCGGCGTGTTCCGGGGCTCTGGCACTTTGCAGTATCGTTTCATTCTATTCGTTTCTGGTGCGGTTTCACCGCCAGACACACGAATGATAAGCGGCTGAGAGTGCAGCAGAGTGGATGGATTTTGAGAACCATGCAGCTATGCACGTTTGGACAGTGTTAATTTTGAGCCTGGTCCCTCTGAACCGGCCCGGAATGGGTGACCGGCTTAAACGCTATTGATATTTGATCGTACAATCTGTCCTGTACTTGTCCGAGCTGCAGCTGCAGTCCCCGGTAGCTCTGCTATCTTGCATCTTCCTTGCATCGCTCAATGGCCTCGATATGTTGTATCTCGCCTTCGAGCTTGTTGTGCTGCTGTTCTACTGTGGACCGGCTGTACACATTAAGCCCAACTTGCGAATGGAGGGTCTGCAGCGGGTCCTTTTCCGCGCCCTCGGCTGGTGCTGATAAGGCAAATGCAGCCAGGTTGACGTTGATGGAGAAGACCATCATCCGGCTAGTACTCCGTATCTTGGCTCGATTGCGATGGACTCGTCAGGATAATTTGAAGGCTGGCTGAGCTGAGCGATCTAATCGTGTACTTTTTCCCCCTGCAAGACAAGGACTAGGGGTAATTAAATGGGAATGTGCTGCAAGTTCCCCGATTATCGATCGATTTTTTTTCTTTTCTTTTTCTTTTGCTTTATTAATTTTTCTTTTCTCCCCCTGACATTTTTGCTGGCTATTCCAGTGCGTCGGTCTATTAGAGGAAAACCATCGGTGTAAAAAACTCAGTGTTGCACAAAATGCACATAGAGTTTGCTCCGGCGTGTCTTTTAGTGGGATTGCGATAGACTACCAAGCGGAGAATTTTGGGAGAGAAGATGCCATCATCTCAGCCCTTTGCCCAACCGGTCACGGAGAGCGAACTAATGAAGCGTCACTAGTGTCAGTAGTTGAGTAGCCTATTCCAGAGCAGCAGGATCAGGCCGAATAATGCGCTTGTTTCGTAGCCAAGACACTGGCGATGCTCATATTCATTTCGGGCATGCGGTCCAACACCGGTGGTTTATCATGGTTCTCCACACAGGCACACTAGGCCAAACGATGTCCCTTCTAGTACCTCTCTCACAATCAATCAGCCCCATCGATGATCCAGGCGGACGTAGAATGTTTCCACATGTTCCATGACACGTCGAAAGACTCGAAAATCGAAACTTGGACACGGATCAGATAAAAAGCTGCATCTAGTTTTCGGTTGACGATCCAGAAGGGCCCAAATTGGAAATGGCAACACCACTAGGAGCACTCCTATGCACCCAGCCGTCTTGATTATCTAAATGTTGAGGCCTCTTCGACTACATCTCTGCTACGTCATGCAGTTGATGATTGACATCGCGACTCCGTCTGGCGCACTTCTTTTTGCGTAGTGTGAGCAGATTTCTCGTCTGACAGACCACTTTTTTACGCGATAGAAACATCGAATTGTCTCCATCTGGCCAAGCATCTGAACAAAGATGGAAATGTTGACGCCATCCGATCCGGATTGGGTGGCCATGCGGGAGGGTGCATGCATGTTCTTGGGTCTCGTAGACTTGTCCTCGACGGCTCCTGAGGTTTGGGTATATACTATGGGAAAGAAAGTGTGGTTCGACACACCCTCCAGAAACTACCGGTGGCCAGCGGTCAAACCTTGGCCCCAAAGGTCCGGGGAAATGGGTGTCGACTACTGACTGTTGAGTCGTCCCACGGGTACTCTTGCCGAGCTAGGAGGAGTTCCGGTCTTGTAGGCTTGGAGTAGTCTGACGCCAAGTGCCATCTTCCCGACGTCCGGACTAATGCATTCTGAATAGTCCCAGTCCAAATCATCATTGAATTCGATAGTCGATGATGGATGGCAGAAATTTTTAATTTTCCTCGATCGGGGGTCTCGGCTGCATTCCGTAGGAGCCAGGAGGAGACAGGTCCAGAGATAGGAAGGGAAGCCCACAGCGACAGGCATTATTATCATCATCCTTGCGCTACTAGCTGTACGGGAGTCTCGGTAACGCGTCAGTCCAGTTCGCCACAAAGGATGGACGGGAGGAACTCAGTAAAGATCAACCTAGCGCTGTCACAAAATGGTTAATAGCCGGGACCACAACCTTCAACACTTGGAAGACGGAAGACTTGCGGTGAGAAACCCCCCTAGAGGAGCCGAGATCCTTGGTCCCGGGATATGGAAATACCCGTTGACATTTGATGATGGATGAGAGATCACAAAAAGGGTAGTTTTTGTTGATGATGGTAAAATGATCACAATGATACTAGTAGTGTTGGAGAAGCAGGGAGCTCGCCAGTCTCCCATCTTTCCAACGACACTAAACTTAACTTAACTTGGAAAAGCAACCAGTGACCAAAGAATCATCCATTGCACGATCCACGCGACTAAGCTTAAGCTATGTTTAGGAGAATCAGACTCGCGTGCGGTCGAAAAAGCAAATATCCTCCTAGGCGTGCGTTTCTTTCTACTGTGTATCCAGTCCTTCGGGTCTGCTGGCGAACGGCGGGGACTTTTGTTTGCTTTTTCTGCGCGGTCACCTGACGTTGCCAGCCTGTTGAGCTTCTGTTGATCTTTTTTTTTGTTATCTGATCTGGACAGGACACCATCCCAACAACCCCTACTCGACTAGGAGGCCAATTCCTGGAATCTTCTCTTTAGCTCCTAGCCTCCTGTCCTGTCCTAGTCTTGTTCCTGACGTGCCGATCCCAGGAACCGACTCAATTGACTTGTCCTATCTCCGATCCCGAGTCGTCTAGCTGCTACGGTCGGAAACCTGGCACCTCCGTCATGGCTGGCTCACCACCCGCCTCGCTGTGGAGTCGCAAGCGCGATTTGACGTATTTTTTGTTCTTCGCAATTCACATTCCGCTCATCTTCTGTATGTGGTGGGCGTATTCGGGTTTTAACCAAAATGGAATGACGGACTCGCTGACCCATACCGTTAGTGGTTGACACCGTTCCTCTTCTCCCCTCTTTCCTCCAGACGGAATTGAGTACACACATCCGTGGATTCTACATCGATACTTTCCATGACAAATTTTTTGAGAATCCGGCTCCAGTATGGTTTCAGACCTTCATTTGGATGGAGTTGTTGTACCATTCTCCCCTGAGTCTCTGGGCCTTGGGTGCTCTACTCCGAGGTAGGAATTTTGCTCCCCCTACCCTCACTCAATTGAGCCCCATTAACTAACTCCAACCGTTAGATGACCCCATGGTCCCCGTTCACTTGCTGGTCTTCGGGGTACAGGCTTTCCTCACCTCCTTGACATGTTTGGTAGACTTGTGGAGTTGGACGGATCGGACCGAGACCCAGAAGCAAAATCTCACCATGCTGTACATTCCGTATGTTGTGTTGGGTAAGCATCTTCATCTATTGTTGTGTTTTGTTTTGAGCCTTTGTCAGCTTACTGATACTTTATAGGGGCTTACATGGCCTTGGATATGGTCTGCAGACTACGTGGGCGTTTGCTCCAGAAAACAAAGCGTGAGTAAATGCTGAGACTTCGGTTCATTCCGGGCTAGGGTCGTTGATGCGGTGGAAACGACGTTCAATGATCAAATATTCCAGCTCTCATTGCTATTGTGATGGATATAGAAGATGCTGGGTGTACCATTCACTGATTTACTGACTTTGTGGTATCATCCGATGCACATGATTCAATTCTGGTATATAAATACCTTGGTATAGAAGGTTATCTTCGTGGAAAATACGGGTTATGATATTAATATCTAAATATAGTACTGTTGTCATTTTCACCTATATGAAAAAGGCTACTCTACATGTCCCGTAGGTCACCGAATAGACAAGGACTAGGTAGATATACAAAAAATTTTATTTCAATAAAATGCCTTTGCCACAATGATCAATGTTTGCCCATCAAGCCACATAATGCAGATGCTATGTTTATTCATACCCTCAGAAGCTATATGTTGATGCTGCATTTCTTACTGTATGGTACGGCTTCAATAGTACTGCGCATCTGACGAAAGCCTCACTCTGCATAGAAACCTTGCATTTTTATGACTCGAGGGTGTTGATTTATATATCATTGCAGCTATAGAGTATTTACTAAAGGTATAAATTGTACAATTTAACGCCTTAAGTCTGTATCAGTATGTGTTCGATTTATCACGGATATATAGTGGTTTATCTATGCAACAAAACCCATTTTTCAAACTTAGATACGGAGTAAAACGATTTGAAAACATAAAAATTCGCTAATGTAGGATTGCTATCAACAAGACGATATAAATAAAACCAGATTGATTCTGGAACTATTGGGTTGATGTGCCGTCCACCACAAACGCCTCTATGCCTGACAAAAATCGACCAGGGCTTTAGTTTGCTTATTGTGATTATTTTGCTAACGAATAAATCTCACAACATCCTGGTGCTGCAGCGCAGGTGCAACTTGTCGTGCCACCCTTTACTATGCCAATGGCCTGCGCAGATGTCGTCATCTGCCTGGGAGATGACATATCAAAAGACATCGGTAGGGTCGCCGGATAGCGTCTCATGGTCTACACCGTAGTTTACAATCGAGTCACACACCGATTAGATCAAAAACCCAATGGCGCCATCCAGGTCCCCGTTCGCCGCGTCCAGTGCTCGAATCGCCTCCTCTCGAGTGAAGCCAAGCTCCGTGACCTTTGCGATCGAATCCTGGGGCCAACGAGACGACTGCGAAGGGGCTGGCCGGATGTTGATTCTTGGCGCAGAAGACGATGCAGCAGTAGATGACGTGCTGGGACCAGCTGCTTGGTTGTTTTGACTGCCGCTTGCTTGATGAGTAACTGCTCCAGTTCGTGCACCAACCTCGGCACCGTCAGCGCCCTTGACCATGGGCTCATCCTCAAACTCATCTAGCAGATGCTTGGGAATGTCGGCTTCTCCGAGGAAGGGCACGGCTTCATCTTGGATGACGAGAGCACCCCTTCTGAGGTCAATGCATGCCTGGTGTCGCCTCAACATATCCAAACCCAGGAGAAGATCAATGTGTTTCCCTTCCATTACGGTAAACGAACACGGCAAGAACATACTTCCGATCCTGATCTGGGCTGAATGTACGCGACCAAGGATGGTCGCCGTTCCGACACCTTTCGCGATACCGCCATAGCGTTGGTCCACCAACCTCATGATGTTACATGCGGTCGCACATTGGGGGGACATGATTGTGACCTGAGCGCCAGAGTCGACAAAGGCGTTGAGTCTATGACCGTTGACTTCAACAGGTATGTACAGCATCGTCACACGACCAAACGCTGTTTATCCGTTCTTAGCAAATTATACCATGCCCAGGGAACGGATATCGACCTACATTCGGGGTGATGTTCCATGGCATTATGAAGGTTCTCTGTCACAGCGTTCTGACGGATGACCTCCTCAATCTCCCTTTGGTTCTCTGGGTTGAAGGGGTCTGCGTTTAACATAGCAATGCGAGCCTCCTTCTCCGCCTCCTGTTGGGCCTCACGCTGCTGTTGTCGAAGGAGAACATCGCGGAACCGATGCGGATCACTGGCGGCATCCGCCAATTCTGGGTTTTGTCGTCGGACAGCATCCTGTACCCTAGGATCTCCAAGAATATGCAATCTAATTGTTTCAGGATCGGGTCCCATAGCTTGTCTGCGTTGAAGGTTCTGCTGTGCTGCCGCGCTGGGACCGCCTACACTTCGCGGCGGTGGTTGAGGGGGTCGCAAGGTAACATGGACTCCTAGCATGTCTCCTTCACCGATACCGACCTGTTCGAGGGTACTCGAGTCATTTCCCAGCAGTTGGTTATTGTAGACAATTCGTTGTGCGGAGGGAGGAACAGCGGTTTCGCATTCCACGATGGTTTTCAGGAGCTCAACCGTCATGTCCCCGCCGACTTCGAGGGTGATTATGTCGGAGTCGGCCTGGTCTGGGCGAATAACGCTGACAGTGATACGCCTGTATAGGACGGATAATCATTTAGCAAGAGCCAATGTAATGCCACCGATTTGTGATACCGCTGAAACTCACATTGTGTCCAAAGTCCGTAATGCGGGGAAGCTTCTAAGCTTGGGGAATGGTAAGACGTTGAGAGATCAAATCAAAAAGCAAATGAATGAAGGCCGTATCCGTTTTCTCGTGAGACTTATCGTACAGATGACAAAAAAGATAAAAAAGACGAGCCAAAGTCTTGGTGAAGTCGGCGATGGACTCTGGTGTCGTGAGAGAGGGGAAACAAAGAAGGGAGACGGAGGGGCGAAAAAGGGGGGTGGTGAAGGCAGAAGCGAAGGAGAGAGGAAATGACAAGGGTATATCAAGCTCAACTAAGACATCAAAAGTTGAGCAGAGATGACAAAAGATAGAGAGGAAGAGAAGGGAAAAAAGAGCGAGTTTTGGACAGCAGAGATGAGAGCGAGCGTTCGCGGTGACGTGCAGCCCGCGGCGGAGGACCGGCCAGACCCAGTCCGGCAGCTCGCCGAAACAGGCAACTCTCTTTGTCGTCAGCTGTCGTTCTCTTCCGTTCTCTTCTCTTCTCTCTATTTATTCTCTTTCTTCTCTCTGCTCTCTGCTCTCAGGACACCGTTGCCTGATTCCTGTCTTTCCCTCTCCTTGCTGAATATGTGGACTTCATTTTATCGCCGCAGAGGGATCGTTGATTCTGTCTAAGGACAGTTGAATTGCGTCAATCTTTTGCCTTGTCACTTCGTCTTCCTTCCAACGTGTCGTCGTGTCCTGGCCTCACACTATAAAATGACCCAAAACACCAGCTTCAGACTCCTACGGGCTTTCAGTTGAAAGGACTTGTGGGGTGTCAGCGCGTACTTCGTACATCCCTGGCTAATTTACTAGCCCCGCCGTGGATTCGACTGCGGCATTCAACACAATGTGTCCGGCTTCAAGAATGGTATGGAGGATACTCTCGCAACCAAGAGGGAAGATATCCGGAATTTATTCTGGCTTGATGTTATCCCGAGTTTCATGACATCATATCGAGTTTCAGATAAAAGATGCAAATGAAAGCGCGATCTTATATGCCGAGTTTCTGGGGGGTTCGACTAAAGCCGTCTTAAGGTCATTTGCATACCCTGCTCGGTCGGGTCTTTGATGAATCCAATGAAGATAGAAGTCCCTGTGGATCAGTACTGATGAGACAGTAGTCATAGCCATAGACACCTTCATATTTGCAGTGATTTTGACAAATATCCGAATGATGGTTTTTGAATGTCTCGAAGGCACCGAGGAACAAAATAGCAACTCTAGGAAGGCGAAGTTGTCTGCATCTGGCTTCCCAAAGCATCTTCAAGGAGAAAGCATCATACTGATCGTTTGACATTGACTTCAAACGCAAGCTTACTGCTATCACCGCACTACTGCCATGCAGCAATGTGATCAGCTGCATAAAAGGCCCCAGAGGCTGTTTAGGCTTGACCCCTCAATTTCGACCAGTTATTTCGCTACGTGTCAATTCCACCCATCATCCTTGGTCCCCGGCGGCCTTCAACCGTTTCATGGATAATGTGCTATATGGGCAGCCATCATATTAATTGCCACGGGATGCTTACTATGTCGACTTCGTTAGGATCACGGAGGGCCCCGGAATGCCGTTTACCTAGGATTAACAGTGCCAATAATACCCAGACCATTTGGCGTGTCGCTAGTGAAACAATTCTTGGTTGGCTTGGGTATTATATCCACTCCATCCATCTATCACCAAGACATGGAAATCAAAAATACCATCAAAGAACAAAGCACAGCGACAAGGGTCGAGTCAAGTCTTCAACCCGCCACTGGAGTACCCACAGGCATTTGAATACAACCGGCGAGCATCCAGAGGGCTGGTCTAATTTCATTCATAACCCCGGTTGTTTCACTCAATACTATTTATGTTCATATTTTTCTATTCTGGAGTTAAAGCTCAACACCAAGTTATCGATCGTACAGCTTTTTAGCTTCACCTGAAAGAAAACTAAGGCTTCCTGCAATCTGAATTAAGCGAAGAACTCTTGTTTTCAGTCCATGATTCGAACTGCACTGGACACGTCTGGCACTCCCTCGCCCTCCACTACTTTCCCATACACAATATCATCCACCGGGATCTCCCCTAAACGACTAATCACGTGGTGTAGAGTTGGCAATAACTCCCAATCTAGGCCGTCAATTTCAAAAGAAGCCTTGCTGGTCGTACGAACTCTAGTCACCTTAGATGGGACGATTTTCGAGTCCTGTGCATGCGGTACGAACACAGGGTACTCAGATTCGGCTTGACCCTTGCAGTCACGGCCAACCTTGGGAATGTATCGGTAGACCAGGATTCCGTCATCCGCTTCACCGCCAATAGTGCCCTTATCACTTTCTGGATCCTTGTCCTCGAGATCTTCCCAGTGAAAGCGCCCCCAGACAGCCCCCTGCCAGCTTGTCTGGAGATCGTACGAATGGCTGCGCTGAAAAGAATCAATGGCGGTGTACAGCTTTGGCATTCCAAGCTCCTCACGACCAGATACTATGGGATCGGCCAAATTTTCAAATAAGATCGGCATGTAGGTGCCTTTGATAACATCGCCACTGGCTTTTTTGTACTGCACGCCATGAATGTACAGCCCAATGTGGCGATAACCACCACCACCAAGCCAGTCCATGTGGTCGAGCGTTGTCTGCGAAAAGCTGGCATATGCATATGTGCTGGGGCTAATGAAGCTGTATGAGTCATTGGGAAATAGATTCTGAAGCAGCGTCCGGCTGGTCTTGAACTTGATTGATGCTGTCTTGAAGGTTGATTTCAGCGACTTCCTGGCACGATCCTGGCCGTAAAAATCCTGCCGAGGGCCAGGCATTGGCCCGAAAACAATTGGCTGTCTCCAATACATGTGAGGATTCTGGGCCCAGAGATGTTTCCGCAGGACCTGGGTGGAGTGGTCGAATTCGTCGTGGCCAAAGATATAGCTGATCATGGCCATCGCTGGGAACAAATCAGTAACTATATCGGAAATGCATACCAGGGAAGCAAACTAACACTGTGCCGGTGGAAGAGGTCCGTGAGAAGAATCGCGCGTCATTTGCTGTATGGTTGTTGCACGGTGGTGCCGAGCCTTCTCGTACAGCTTGAGTCTCTCCGATATCTCCTTAGGGTCAAGGTCACCGGATAGCATTACAGACAAGGACATAGCGTCCTCAATGGCCATCGCACCCCCGGAAGCACGATACGGCAAAAATGGATGAGCTGCGTCACCCATGACGGCCATGCGATCTTCCACCCAGGTTGGAAGTGTCTCCATGTCCAATAAGGGCCACAGCTTCAAGGTCTCAGAATCCGCTTTCCCGAGTATCCTGCACACCTGGGGACAGAAATCCTTGAAAACCTCTAGCAGGGTTTCTTTGCCCACTTGCTGGTCCCACTCGGAACCCTTCTCAATCGTGGTCATGGTGTCAGGATGGACGCACACGAAATTGAGTAGCTCGTTGTTTGAACAGGGATAGATGACCACTCGTCGATCTGGACTGTCCCACATATCAACTGAGCCCAGGTCTTCAACTAGCATTCGGGTTTCTGGATCCTCCAGGGCCTCTTTGCGAGTAATGAGGAAGCGGAATGCATTCTTTCCCGAGCTGAATGGCACGATCTCACTAGCACCGGGCAGTTTCGACCGGATCTTGCTATGCACACCATCTGCGCCGATGACAACATCACCCTGGACCACCTCGCCACTCTTGAGGGTTATAGTAGCCTGGTGTGGGTCGACGTCAACGACCTGGCTCGAGGTGTGGAGCTGCGCTGGAACGCCGGGCCCTGGTGCTTGAGCGGCATTTTTGAGGCCTTCGTGGAAACGGGCGCGATGGACGAGCAACCAAGGCTAGATGTTTAGATATTTTTAGTTTCTCAGTTTTCGAAGTTCTATCGCACGGGAAGTACTTACGTATCGCCATAATCCCGCATTTTGTTTGATATCTTGGATATTCTCTGGCTCGCCCGCAGGGCTAAATGCACGATGCTGCTCTTATCATCAGCAAGCTTTTGCCACCAGGAACCTAATGAGACTGACCTTTTCTGTTTCCACGGCACCGAACTGAGTAGCATCGATCCCCAGACGTTGAAGCACGGCGTTGCAGTTTGGAGACAAGTGAATGGCAGCCCCTACCTCGTTGGCAAAGCGAGAGCGTTCAAATAACTGATAATATTAGCTTTGATAACATGATCTCATCGAGTGTTCCTGTCCGTGAATATATGGCTTACTTACCTCGACACGATGTCCTTGTTGACGCAAAGCGATAGCTAGTGTCTAGTATATCATCGTCAACATTTTTGCTTCGTGGTTTCGAAGGCCAAATAGGGGACTCACCAGACCGCCGATTCCTGCACCAGCAATGAGGACCCGAAGACCCTTTTTAGACATTCCATTCGTATGATCTGAACTCATCCTGGCAGGAGAGAAAATAAAAGTTTTGATCACGGCGTGAAAGAAGAGCGTTGTCTGACGTCTTTGATGCGGTTCAATTCACGACTGTCAACCCCTCTCCCATCACATTGTTAAGTAGTCCAGACACAAGAAATTACAATTACTTCATATCGGTATTCTCGGCATCTCGTGTCCCTCACGTCAAAATGCGTCCACCAGGTCAGAAGGTCACACAGTACGTATCGGTTCAACCATTTCGGCTCCACATGCGGAGGGGAGGCAAGGGGTCGATCTCGGCTGGCGTAATGGAAATAGTCGGAAAATCGAGGGGAAGCTGAATTGTTATTTATGGCACATTTGAGCAGAGAGTATTATTGCTGCGAGACTTGCAGAACCTTTTTCGACAACCCGTGCTTGTCAACCCGTCATCATGCCGAATCCTGTCCGTGGAGATATCACTACCTGCGATGACACCTCGTTCCCTTACATCTTTGAGCAGAATGTCACCATCGCATTGAAGGATGAATCGGGACTTGTCAGATGCAATGTGTACCGACCAAAGGGCGTCGAGAGAACACCGGTACTGGTAACCTACGGTCCTTACGGAAAAGACATCCACTATAAGGAGTGGGTTCTGCACCCTTCCTATGAGCATTATATAGTATACAGTACTGACCCAATCTAGTTTTCATCCAAAGTCATTCAGCGAAGTTAACCCTGAGCATCACTCGGCACATTCCGCGTGGGAAACCCCCGACCCAGGCTTCTGGACCCAACATGGCTATGCAATTGTCCGCGCGGATGAGCGAGGAACAGGCCAGTCCCGAGGAAAGCTGGATACCATGTCACGGGAGACCAGTGAGGCTTTCTTTGACGTGGTCGAATGGGCAGCAAACCAGCCATGGTCGACTGGAAAAGTCGGCCTGCTGGGTATCAGTTACTACGCCGGCAGTCAGTGGCGGGTAGCCGCACGACAGCCCAAGGGCCTGACCTGTATGATCCCATGGGAGGGAATGTCAGACTACTATCGTGACCGTTGCCGCCACGGAGGCATCCTGTCGAACTCTTTTATCAAATTCTGGTGGGATCGTCAGGTGGTATCAAATCAATATGGCCGGCCTGGTCGTCAGGCGCGCAATTGGGGCCCGGACACCATCGAAGGCGATCTCCCAGAGGAGGAGCTAGTTGCCAACCGCCAGGACCAGACAATTGACAATGCTGAAAACAGTTTTCGAGACGATCTCTACTATGCCTCGAAGGAATACACGCAGTCCGACATCCAGGTACCATTGCTTTCGGTGGCCAACTGGGGTGGCATTCTCCTGCATCTGAGGGGTAATGTTGAGGGATATACGCAAGCGGGCTCTCAGCTGAAATTTCTGCGCTTTATAACCGGTCGCCATGACTTGCCGTTCTACTACAAAGAGGAAGTCGAAATCCAGCGCAGCTTCCTGGATGCTTTTCTCAAGGGCGATGATCGTGCAGGATGGTCCAATGGCACCGCGCCAAAGGTGGACATAGTACTGCGCAAGGGCGACATGGGATTTGATAATGCAGAGGCTGAGAAGCAGTTCCCTCGTCGGACAGAAAATGAATGGCCCATTGCCCGCACGCAGTACACCCGATACCATCTGACGTCGAATCAAGAACTGGTGAGCGGAAAACATGAAAAGTCGCGGCCGGTCAAGATTTCTTATCGTGCACTGGGTAGTATTGATGATCCGCAAATTGTGCAGTTTGCAACGGCACCGTTTGAACAGGAAACAGAAATTACCGGGCATATCGTCGCTCATTTGAACGTGTCCATGAGTCCATACCCAGGAGCACCCACGCCAAGGGATATTGATCTGTTCCTTACGCTGAGATACATTTCACCGGAAGGCAAGGAAGTCTTCTATACTGGAACAGCGGGTGACCCGGTGCCACTCTGTAAAGGTTGGCAGCGAGTTAGTCTTCGCAAGGTGAACAAAGAGCACTGTCGCAACAGGCCCTGGCTTCCGCACCGCGACTTTTACTCGACGGACGTGCTCCCTGTTATTCCTGGCGAGGTCTATGGAGTGGATGTAGAGATGTGGCCGACAAACGTGGTTGTCGAGAAAGGCGGCAAGATTGTGTTTGAGGTATCGTCTGGAGATACCCAAGGCAGTGGGATCTTCCAGCACAACTCTCCTATCGATCGGTGAGTATTTCTACCGGGCATCCTTTTGCTCTGATCTTCTAACATGCATTGTAGGGCACCGGAAAAGTTCCAAGGACAGAACCATATTAACTTTGGCCACGGCGAGAACTATGTGACCCTGCCCATCATCCCGAATGTCTAGATGAGAACATGCTGATCGGCGATGTACATGAAATGGAAGATAGACAAACCAGTACATACATAGGTTACACAATAGACAATTATGTACCACTATCCATGCACCTAATCCCAGCTTGATTAATAATGAGTTGAGAGATGAACCCCTCATCCGATGTGGTCCCGAAGACGACCGGCGAATGTCATCGTGGGCCATTTTTGAAGCCGTACTCAGTCCTGCTATAACTACTCCCCAAGCCCCCATCAACCACTGGCCAATCCATCCCAACATCAAGTCGCACAATATCTGCAAACAACATACGATCCAAGATGTCAGACACGAATCCTAAAACCCTCCGTCCCCTCTCCCGGTTCATCACCACCCACGATGCCGAAGGAAAAGCCATCTTCTCCAATGCCATATCCGAGGAAATGCCCGTGACTCCCATCCCGGACAGCGCCCATTTCTCCCTGGCGTATACAACAGAGCACTTCCCCGCCCAGTTTAACAACGACGCCGATATCCCCGAATACGAAAAATACCTGACCAACCCGCCGGGGATTGTTATTTCGACCGGTAGCGTCTGTCGGATTGTGGATGTGCAGCCGCATGCTACGAGTCCCATGCACCGGACTGTGTCGCTGGATTATGGAGTGGTGCTGGAAGGGGAGGTTGAGCTGGTGTTGGACTCGGGCGAGACGAGATTGATGAAGAGGGGAGATGTTTCTATACAACGGGGTACCAACCATGCGTGGAAGAATGTGACGCCTGATGTGGATGGGAAGGGACAATGGGCGAGACTGTTGTTTGTGTTGATGCCTTCGGAGCCAATCCAGATTGGAAGTGGAAAGTTAGAAGAAGTTGTCGATGGGATTGGTGTGAGGAAGAGTACATGATTGTCTGGATGTGCTTTTGATAGATATAGACTGATCGAGAATTGATTATATTTGATACTGCAGTTGGTCTTATTTCACTTCTTCATGCAATCAACTATCTTAATATCACCATTCTCCTCCGACTTCGTAATGGAATATCCGATCGTTGATTCTGCCTCCGGTGAATCGCCATAGTCGCGACACGGCCTATACTGGGACTTAGTTCAGCATCTGGATATCCTAGGATGGGACTCACCGCGTTCAGCCACACTCCATGAAGCATTGTTTGAATAAATACAAACTCGGCTGGATTGCTGCCCGCTGGCCTCTCGTCGAATTCCAAGTTACGGTTTATAGGCCGGTATGCTGGCACCCGGCGGTGATTTGAAGGCCAGTTGGCCGGTTGCGACTGGACTGGTGGCACTGCAGGCTCGTGGGATTCATGAACGTTGTCAGAGCCACTGTGATGCAGCTCGTAGTCTGCGAGGATAGACAGTGTGTTTGTCTGAGTGGTTGTAGTCGTAGACATGATGGTATAGATCGCGATGAAAGAATCACAGAATGGAATAAACATTCAGATCGCAGAAAGGAAACGACGACAGTATACAAGAACTACCCATGACCTGACAACGAACAGCTTCGGAGCCAATGCGTGGGGCGCGATTCGTATCTCGTCCACCTTGCGTCGAGCATTGCCGCTGAACAACTGTCCTGGGCTGACCACTCCTCCACATCCCGATGCGGAGATGGTGCATCTGGAGCTCCATGAAGTCATGGCATCTCCTGATCGGCCGTGGATGAGGTGGTACCGAAAAAGAAAATACGTAGGTATAATGAAATGTCTGCAGCTGATTCGTTCCCCGACGATAGTACCTAGCTGGTTGTGTGGAGTGAATCAGCGCCGTTGTATATCATTCGACTCTTTCCAACTCACCGTTTCTCCCCATATCCCATATTCCACCAAATAGCCTCAAAATGGTCTCCGCACAGCCTTTCCCCCGTCTAACCTCCGCAGAGATTGACGGTCGGACTCAGAATATTCGATATCGCCAAACCCAATTTCACCGGTTGCAAACAACTCTAGCTCTTCATATTGAACGGCTCAAAGAGGCCATCCAGACAGATTCTGGGCATAGCACCGAAGAGATCCAAGCAGAAATATGTCTTGCATTCAAAGAGATCCGGACACATTACCTCTCCCTCGATCTGGAGAAAGACGTCGAAGCCGAGTATCGTGTCGTTCATGGAAAGGATAATGTTGATGGCAAGCGTGGTACTGGTATAGTATACATCGTACCTTGCACGCACACAATGTTCTTTTCTGTTATTTCAGCCATGAGCGCTGCGATCGCTGCTGGAAACTGCGTTATTGTCGAGGTGTGTCAGTCATTATATTTGAAACGGAAACCGACGAAATTAACAAAGATAGCTCACGAAAAATACCATGGCTCTTCCAGCGGTGCTGAGGAAGATCCTCCCCCAATCTCTTGATAACGACGCATTCGCCATTAGCGAAGAGAGACCAGACCCATCCTTCCTCAGCAAAGTATTCACAATTTTCCAGAATGATAGCTCAGATTTTTTGTCGGAAAAACGCCTTGTTTCTCCTATCAACGACAGAACAGTCGCAGTCGTTGATCGAACTGCCAACATCCCGGAAGCAGCGCAGGCACTGGTGGGCTCGCGATTTGCCTTTGGGGGACGATCGCCATATTCTCCCGATGTTGTTCTTGTTCATGAATTTGCCATCAAGGCTTTCGCCGAGGCTGTTATCCAACATTCGTCCAAGTATCTGGCCGGTCAGAATGGCGAGGCCCGACAGACTGAGGGCACGACGCGACGGTCAAGTCCAGGGCCTTCTCTGCTCGATGCGGCGCAAAGAGATCAGGGTGTGCGTGTATTGGTATCGGGAACCAGCTGGGGTGTGATAGAAGTGCAGGACCGGTATGAACTCTTTTTTTTTTTTTTTTTTGCAGTGAAGATGGCTGACCAGAATAGGGCATCCCCTCTTCTGAGGAAGAAAGTGAATGAGAAGGTATTGCTGCTCCACACCATCACGAGTCTGGATGATGCAATTGACCTCAGCAATTCGTACGTCTCCGTGCCTCCCTTCATCTGACTTGACTAATGAGAAATAATCAGAAACGAAACTTTGGCTGCCACATACGCATTTGCTGCTCATCCAGCTGCCAAATATCTCACACAATTCATCGACTCGCGAATGTCGTGGATCAACCACGTCTCAAGTGAAATGCTCAGTAAGTGATCTCCTCTTCTGGGTCTTCATCTCATTTACTGACTTTCTGCGATCAGTTGGCCCAACTTCTCCCACCAACACAACCCCCAACCTCGAAACCCGGTACTCAACCAGTCTCTTGCAAGTCCCTCGTCCTCAAATCGTGAAGGAAACCAGCAATGCAGCTTTAGTTCGAGCGATTCTCGAAACATCAAATTCTAAAAATGGTCGTGCGCTGTGGAACGAGACGATTGCCCCGTTGCCACCGACGAGACAAAAGGCCGGATGGAAGATTGGATTTTTCGAGCAGGGAATTATCACGGGAGGAGTTATTTTTCTGACGACAGTGTCTATGCTGGGGTATTATGCATTCACATATGCGAGGAGATTGCGATAGCCCGGAGAAGTTGTATATATGAGTCTTGATAATAAGTTGATAAATTTACGATGGTATAAACATGTTCTGAATAGCTAGTTCATTAGCCCGAAGCGTCTGTTTAAGATCCATCCTTAACCTTGAAGAAGCATAGAAGACATTGCATCAAATCGAAACTTTCAACTGGCCCGAGATGGAGGATATATTTTGAACTGCTGAGGTGATATTGAATGGTAAGATGTCAATGGGGCATTATAACACGTGAATTAAGATGGCATAGCTACGTTTATAGGAAGAAGAATAGATCCAGATTTAGAGTAGAACGCAATCCATGAATACAAATTCAACGATCACACTAAACAGTAATAGCCTTTGGCCAGCCCCCTAGTGTAAACTGCGAGTTACACATGTTGGTCAGTTCCCAACTCTCAGCAGCCAAAACAGCCGGTACGCCTGTGTCCTCCGCGTCTCCTGCAGCCCCTGCAACAAACATCGCGGCCATGAAATGGTCATCCGTAGCGTGAGCATCGCGATACCTGGGATGTTTCATTAATCGGGTCATGGCCCTGCGCAGTTGCGGACCAGATGTCTTCGTGATGACATCCTCAACGGCCTGGCGGAATTCCAACGCCCACTCCTCTGGCGGTGTTTCCATGGCGAAATTGTCCCGAAATCGCATCATCGGCATCCATCTGTTACGGTAGAGATTATGTACGGCACCGCCTGTTCCTACTAGGAGATAGCTCTCCTGTCGAAGTGGGCGCAGAGTCGCTCCGATTTTCATGTGGTAATGTGGATCGTAGCGGGCATTCATCGAGACAATCGTCGTAGGTGGGCAGCCATTGGGGAACATATGAATCAAGATCAAGTAGATGTCGTGAATCCAGTCAAAGGTTGGATTGGCGCCCACATTGAATCCCTCCTGGGCGAGCATGTCTATACATCGCTGCGATGTCCCGAGATCCGGGTTGAGCTTGTAGTTGACATACTTTTCTGGGTCCACATATGCAACGGGACTCTTTTCAGGGTTTGGGTTGGTCGATACTTCAATCTTGTCGCCCAAGCAATCCCAATGGGCTCCCTGCGAGGGTTATAATTTGGCTTTAGAAAAAGTGTTTGGCTTTCCTTACCATTACAACCACACCTTTGATGTTATGGGCCAACGCCTCGTCACCGCACTTTTTCCAGTAATCCGCGGATTCGGACTTCTCGCCCAGCATCATGGTCGAGCCATGTGAGAAAAAATGAACTGGGGTAATACCTAGTATGCTATTGTCAGAATTATGGTCATGGTCAACTGATAAGACATACCCATTTTGACTGCTTGTGCGGATCTATTCAAGCAATGCCGCTGGGTGAGGTGGATTGCGACTCGATTACTTCGTAGGCATGCAATATATCAGATATATGAGACAGACGATATCCCCAAGTCCCTTCCAAATAAGCTGAGGTCGACTTTTGGTGAGATCGACACCCGAATGCAATGCGACTCTGGCCGTCCTGATAGTGGACACACGAGAGGGGAGCTCTTCGGGCCTGCGTCCTCCACTTCCCGACCGACGCTGCTGCCTCCCAACGAGGACCATTATTTGGAAGCAAAATAACAAATAAACGATGATCACTCGGCAAATAGGTCTCGTCAGCATAGCAATGCATCTTGGGAATGGCTACAACATCCAAAGCCACAGTCAGCAATCTGGTTGACGTTTCACAGGAAGCAGACATGAGATTAGACACGTGCCTGTGTTCATCCCACGGGCCATCCGGAGGACACCGGAAGTAGACTAAGAAGAGGCTATTGAAGGTAGACAGAATATAGCTCAGACTTGCTCATTTTGTGGTGCTGAAGTCGATGAATGTTGGAAAGGAGAGCGTATTGGTGGTGCGGACAGAGTCGCCGACCAGGGAGGACGCGAAGGCCTAGCGGACCATGTCAGCTGGAGAAGATCCGGGGTTTCTGCAGTCAGCCATCAAGAATAAATTAACGTACCATTCATGCTAAAATAGTTTCAAAGCCACTGAACGAAAAGATGGAGAAGCTGGCTCAGGATTGCCGGCGTGACTGGCTCGTGGCGGACGTTGAGTCTGTCTGTCTGGCTACGGGCGATCGCTGGGCTGGTCTTCCCCGCGATCCTCCCTCACCTTCACTCTCTTCTCCTCTCTCATCCTTTTTTTCTCCTCCTTTTATCTCCTTGATCACCGTTCCATCCATCGAATCCATTCTCTTTGCTCGTAAGCACCCATGTCATCGTCACAACGTGATGGTTACTTTCAATGCGGATTCTGCAAGAAACACTACAATCGCGCAGACCATCTGATTCGACATGTCCGATCCCGTCAGTTCTACCCTTGAAATAAGAGCCTGTCTATGGTTAAGACATTTGAGCTAACTGGCTCATTAGATACGCGAGAAAAGCCTTACGTGTGTGATGTTTGCAACAAAGGCTTCGCTAGGCCGTGAGTGGTAGCCATGAGTGCTTTCTTATTTTTAATTCGACCCTCGCAAGACCTAATCAATTGCATAGCGATCTGATGAAACGACACGCTGCTGGTCATTCTCAAGAACGCGAGGGAAAGCGGAAACGACCTCCCTCATATTCGAAAAATGGTCGTGTCTCGCAGGCCTGCAAAGCATGTGCAACTTCCAAGCTCAAATGTGACGAGGAAAAGCCATGCCACCGGTGTCGCGAGAGAAACCTGATCTGTGACTGGCCGCAGGAACAGGGGCAGTCTCCTCTTGGGAATGATGCATATCCCGAGCCACTTCAGCAAGGTACTATTTTAACACCTCTCATATCCGGTTTCGTCATAAGACAATGTGGGATTGCTGTCTCTCTAGCTCTCCGGGTCGAGACCCATGGTTGTTGATTGGAAAAAGCTTATGGGCCGGCTTTGCTTTTTCTTTGTCTCTTATTCCCTGTCATTTGGAAGCAGGATGCTGATCATCCCACTCCCCAGCGCCCCAAAATCAACACGGACCTCATTATGATACCCTGCTTGAGTCGCCAATACATGGACAAGCGAACGATTACACAGCTCCAGTCACTCTGCCCAATCAGTTGGTAACCCCTGATGTGTCGATGGAAAACTATTTGCCTCCAGAGCAGCTGGATGCAGTAAACGTTGACGGCATGTCGGTGGCTTACGAAGGTAGGATGCCTATGCCACATGATGTCAATCGTATTGACAAGAGCAGTTTCACCAGGCACGGACCGCGAAAGTGGTATTCTCAGTATTGACGGGACATTCTTTCCAAACTTCATCCCGGATTCATTGATTCCATCAGCCCGATCTGGGGAGGCAGATCCCCCATCGACTATACCTCAAGATTACGCCCATTACGGTGTATTCGACCATAATTTACACCTGGATTTTGATCTTACAGATGTTGACTATGGACTGATTGACTTTTTCAACAATCGAGGAGCTGTCCCCGAGATACAACCGGATGCAGGTCGAGTCGATGGAAACAACGACCGGTTCGACGTCGACAGTGGTATAGCCATCGGAGCGGAGGCTTATCAACGCTCATCTTTATCCGCCTGGAAGCCTACTCATGAGGATCATACGTTTGCAGATCGGGTTAACCTTTCAGTTCCCAAGGCAATCAATAGTCCCCATAGCAGTCCCACATCGAGCCGCCAAATTCTTTCAGAACGATTATTGCCAAGTAGTCGCGACCTGATTTTCGGCATGGTTCTGCAGGGGACCCAGAAGGACGAAAATCTGACCCGCATAATGAAGTCATTTCCCAATGCTGAATTGTTGGATAGCCTGATTCAGAGTTATTTCGAGTGCCAGAGGCACCAAATCGATTCATGGATCCACGGACCGACCTTTCGACCCAATAGCGAAGAGCCAGACATGCTCGCTGCCGTGGCGGCTGCTGGTGCTGTCCGCTCACCTATATCGACAATACGTAAGTTAGGGTATGCTTTGTTGGAAATTGCGCGCCTCCAAATGTCGGTCAAGGTATGTGTGCAGGTTCTTTTGTCATTTGAACAAAAAGTTATTAATACCTATCTAGTTTGAAAACGATAACAGTAAAACGCGGGATCTACGGCCCTCACAAACCTTTGCCCTCGTGATTGAAATTGGCATCTGGAGTGGGAACAGACGGAAGATGGAAATCGCGGAAAGCTTTCAGCAGCCTTTATTGACGGTTCGTAAATCCGATGGAGTTCTTTCTAGGAAATGCCATTGACCTAGTGCCGGATAACAGATGCTTCGTCGAGGATTGCGTTTTCGACGTTCACTGTATTCAACCAATGCCCCCCATCCCGATGACATGGGGGAAACTTTGGATCGGAAATGGCACGGTTGGGTCGAACAGGAGTCGTTTAAAAGGTAGACTTGGCCGACCTCTACTGATTTAAAATGACCTGGTGCTGACCTTTTCCAGACTGGCTTACCACCTGTTCCTGCACGATGCCCAGTCGGCCGTAATGCTCAACATTAACCCCCTCATCTCGTATGCTGAATTGGAATTACCGTTTCCCGCTATCCGGCAATTATGGGAGGCCAAGACTGCCTACGAATGGAAGGAGGTATACCTGACAGTCGGAGGACTAGGTTCAGGTCGCTTGCCGTCGTTGGCAGATTCATTGCATGACATGTCTCAGCTGACTGCATTCCGAAACCGGATCGACCTGCAGCTGGCCACGTTTGTTGTTCTGCACGGGCTTTCCGCGCTGATAAATGAATATCATCGCCTCAAGTTTATCTCTAGAGGGACCTCTAAACACTGGCACGCTTTGGTAATAAACTCCCGACAACAGGAGCTGTCTGAAGCGCTGCAGCATTTCCGCATGGTCTACCAGCAATGGCCCGAGCCCCTGGGACCTGGGATCCTTTTGGTCTGCGAGGTGATTTCGATGTTTCTTTACATGTCACTGGAGGAGCTGCAGCTTTTTGCGGGGAAGGAAGACAAGCAGGAAGCGCGCCGTGTTTATCACCGCGCGATCGAATGGATCAACAGTGTTGATTCCCGGCGTGCCATATGGCATGCTGGACAGGTAATTCGAGCAGCGAGGTCCATGCCTCAAGGCTCGCTCACGGGGTTCTTTGCCATTGGGGTATACTACGCAGGTCTAGCTCTTTGGTCGTATAGTGTTGTTTCCAAGGCGAACGACGCAAAGATAGCTGCCGATAGTTCCCACTCACCATCTGATCTCGCCTGGCCGACTGTGTCCCTAGATGCGGAGGATATGACAGATGCCCTAAAATTTATATCATTAGGCTGTGGTTGTCCAGCTTTGCAAGGCCCTCGAGGTCCTGCCATGGTTTCTGATGCCAGCCTAACCATGCATGTGATCCAGGGAGTGCTGCGGACAGATGCCCCCCACGAGAACCTGGCTCCGTTGGTATTAAGTCTTTCGTGCCTGATCAGTGATTTAGGAAATGCAGTCCGATCCCACGTACGCTCGACGACGCATCCGGAGAGAAGCACAGGTGCTTTGGCCTTGTAGCCCGTGCCGGCAAGATGCAGGCGACATGGATGGTTGTATTTCGACGCTGTTGTATAGTATTCCTGAGACTTTTGCGATATGATACCCCTGTACTCGAGTATGATGAACTAGTGAAGTTGCATACTATGCCGATGATATTGTAGTTCAATTTGGCTTGTTTTTTTACCGCCTCTGAATCCCATCATCGAATCAGAGCCACCATCTGATCACTCTGAATAATCTGATATCCCAACTGTTTACTTGGCCGGGATAAGCGCGCTAAACACCTGACCTGACTCGCTCCTCCCATTCGGGATAATACGAGTGCGTTCCACTTGCTCTCCCGCTTCTCTGCGCTGCCAGGCAATCACAGCTCCGCGATGCTTTCTTTTTCTTCGTCGAGTGGGTCGGGCGTGGAGGAGTCCCCTGTTCATCTGGACAGGTTTCGCCTTGTCGATGAAACCAACAGCACGATGCCTCCCCTGAGTCGTCGAGGATGGTCTGTTCGCTGCGTGTGCTCAACTTCCCAGTTCCCACCCCCAACCCCGACCGCGCCATGATCAGCACGATCGTCCCTTGAACGTGTCTCACTTCTGAGTTTCGGCCAGCTCATCGTGACTTTATTACAATTCGTGATGCTCGAATAGAAATGAGAGAAATTCGAGAATCCACATCTTTCGTGGGGTGGTGGCCCATCAGATAAGATCGTTCGAGACTGGGAGAATAATATCGCCCAGGTGCCCTGCAACGGTGTTTCAGGCTGGATTTAAAGAACAGGCTGATCTCTTGGACAAGCTGAAGGATTTAATTAAATTCCTTTTGCACCGCTCCTAGTCCTGTTGCCTTTGCCTCTCTGACTGCCCCTCGTTGTGGTCGCTCCTGAACTTTTTGTCGCTCTTCCACACGCCCAGACACGATGCTCCTTTTGACCCAGTGACATTTGCTGGTTGATCGTCTTTTTCTTTTCCCCGACCGAGGCTGAAGCCTTTGCAATTTCCCCATGGCGATGGAGATGAAGCATCCGGATGCGTCCGAATCGCATATCGTATCGTCCGATCGCTCTCAGGACTCGGTCCCAGAGGTCGACAGTCTTGGTGTGAAGCGCGTCCAGCTTCTGTCGGCATACATTACTCCCGTCGATCGTATCTTTATCTTCTTCGGTGTCTTTATCATTGCCTATGTCTACGGTCTCGATGGTCAGGTTCGGGTGACATACCAGGTCTGTACTTTGCGATTCATCTATCCTCTGCCCAAAGACCATGCATTTGCTGACCTGTTCTCGCTTTTATACAGCCTCTTGCAACCGCCTATTATGATTCACACAGCTTGTTGGCTACGATCAATGTTCTGCGCGCTGTCATTGCCGCAGCTGCACAGGTACCTCGCCTCGTCAAAATTTGTCATATCTCGGCTGCTCACCATAATAGCCAACCGCCGCAAAAATCGCAGATGTGTTTGGAAGACTGGAATTAATTCTGCTATCGATTGTGTTCTACACTGTTGGTAAGGGGACACCATGTGGTCTGTTATTCCGGCATTCTGACAATTGTAGGAACCATCGTTGAAGCATGTTCCCACACTGTCGACCAGTTCGCTGCTGGTGCAGTTCTCTACCAGGTACGACCGTCTTCTTTCTGTCTATTATATGATACTAATACTTTGCCCGATGCTAGATTGGCTATTCCATGATAATGCTTCTAGTCGAGGTACTCGTCGCAGATATCACGTCACTTCGCTCCCGTTTGCTCTTTTCCTATATCCCAGCATCGCCTTTTATTGTAAGGACTTTCTTGAAATACACACTAGAGCTTTGCTAAAAAAAAGGCAGATCAATACTTGGATCAGTGGAAATGTCACCCAGGCTGTACTCGGTGTCACAAGCTGGAGATGGGGCGTCGGGATGTTTGCAATCATTTATCCTGGTAAGTAAATGCCAGCTAAATATATCACCATCTACTAACTATGTCTAGCCTGCACACTAACTCTTCTTATTCCACTGTATATTGTCCAACAAAGAGCAAAGAAAGACGGCGCATTTGATACACTCCAGCGCCCCTTCCAGATCCTTGGACCGCGTCGGTTTTTCCAAGAGTTGTTCTGGCATCTGGATGTAGTCGGCATCATTCTCATCATCGCCCTTCTGGCCTTGATACTGGTGCCTTTGACAATCGCTGGAGGAATAAACTCGCAATGGCAACAGGGCAAGATTATTGCCCCCCTTGTCGTCGGCGTTGTATGCATTCCTATCTGGGTAGTGTGGGAGCGAACATGCAAAAAGCCGATGGTCCCATTCAAGGTCAGAATATATCTCTGGGTGATCTTGAACTTTATTAACCGTTGTACAGCTGCTGAAAGACCGTGCTGTCTGGGGCGCCATAGGAATTGCCACTATGATGAACATGGGTAAGTAAATGGAACCATACGGTGCTTTGCCTAGACGTGTTTCTAATAATGTTTAGCATGGGCTGTTCAAGGAGATTATCTCTATACTGTTCTCGTTGTTAGCTTCGGCGAAAGTACCCTTAGTGCAACCCGCATTGCATCGCTTTACAGGTTCGCTGAATCATCTGATGTACCCGGTATACCTTGCTAATAGCTGCCAGCTTCGCCTCCACCGTCACCGGATGTCTCCTTGGATTTGTTGTCTTCAAGGTGAAGCGCCTCAAACCATTTATCGTGGCGGGAACGTTACTGTTCACGGTTGCCTTTGGAATTCTTATTCGATTCCGTGGAGGATCGGTGTCGTCCAGTCATTCGGGAGTCATTGGAGGTCAAGTACTCCTGGGTTTCTGTAAGTTCCAATTGCTTCATTGACCATGGCTATGAGCTGACTTAATTCCTCCCAGCTGCGGGTTTCTTTTCATATCCCGCTCAGGCCAGTATCCAGGCTGCTAGCAAGCACGAACGTAAGTTATTCTGTGCCTACCCAGAGATAATTTCTAATGAACGATAGATCTGGCTGTCGTTACTGGTCTCTATCTGGCGATGTACAATGTTGGAAGTGCATTGGGAAACACCGTTTCGGGTGGAATATGGACCCAAGTCCTTCCCAAAGAGCTGGAGAAGAGACTTGGAAACGCTGATCTTGCCACCCAGGCTTATGGTGATCCATTCACTTTTGTTGGTGCCTACCCGATGGGAACACCAGAGCGAGATGACGTCGTGGACGCCTACAAGTATGCACAGCGACTGCTCTGCATTACGGGTATCTGTCTGAGTGTGCCGCTGATGGTGTTCTCACTTTGCATCCGCAACCCTGTTCTCACGAAGGAGCAAAGCTTGGCAAATGCTGAGGAAAGCGACGACTCTTCTCGTTGATTTGTCTTTACTAGAGATGGAAAGACAAGATGCCTTGATGGATTTCATTGCGCCTTGTAGGTGATCTATCACGGGTAGCCTAGAGTTGGTTGTATATGGTCTTGGTTATCGCATAAAGCAATCCTTTGGCTAGTCTATATTTGCATGTCAGTGAGCTAGCACTATCTGGTTAGATAGGCTAGCTACAGACAGTTAATATTATCATGTGTGATTCTTCACATTCATATACACAATCAGTACTGTTTTCGAGTAGATACATATACGAAACAAAAAGCAATGCCACCGATGAGCCCGCTTAAGCCACTCGAAACTCAACAGCAATTCAGCACTCGGACAGGGGCTCGGTGTATTTGCAAGCATCACTCGGGCCAGATCCAATCTCACTTGGCTCCTCGCCAGTCTCGTTGCCTTCATACTCGACACAGATATCCTTGACATCGGTAGCGCAGGTGTCCTAGACAATGTTAGTGTGTACAAAGATAAAAGACTATAACATGCCGTGATGGTTGCAGTATCACCATAATTGCTGTTGATTCCAACCAAAGACTTGCCCTGGACAGCCGTGACTCCAGAAAGTGTCACAGTCCGTTCGTACATTTCATCGCAGTTTCCACAGGAGCGATAGAGCTTTCCAAAGTCATAGACGGTAAAGTCCTGGATGTTGACAGTTCCACCGGTGTTGTGCTATTTAATTAATAAAGTGTATACTTCATCAAGAAGAAAGACGAACCTGAATGACCTTGTCATCTGCACCTTGAGCACCACCACCGACGATGTTATACGTACCACTTCCCTTTTTGAGGGAGAGAGCATCTATATCAATTTTAGTCGAATATTTCCTCATGATGGATAAGAAAAGAGAAGGGTATACACACCCTCACAAACAGCCTCCCACCAGACATTCTCAATCGTACAAGAGCCCTGACAATGCACGCCCTCGATCTGGTCAGACCCGATGATGGCATTCTTCAGCGTTCCTCCTTCCTTGACGATGAAGACGGCGTCACTTTCCCCGCCCTCGTTTTGGCCGGTACATTCCACGCCCCGGCCAAAGGTCTTCATTCCGCCGTCGTAGGTTTCGCCTTCGGCTACTTCGTACGGCTCGTCGAAGGTGGTGCTGCCCTTGGAGGAGGGGAGGGGGAAGGTATATCCCATCGCGGTGGAGGCGAGGAGAGAGAGGATAAGGCTTTTTTGGTACATGTTGATGATTGAGAGCAGCTTCGTGTGAAGGAGAAAGATGATGATGTTTGATGGAACTACCTGACTACATGGCACTTCTACAGTTTATATACCTTTTTCAAATTGACATCTACACTGAAGATAATATAACTCTCTTGGCAGGTTTCAACATGACTCTTTCTTCCTCCAAGAAGAACGCAGAAATCAACGTGAAACAAAACGATTCTGTCGAATTGATGCCAAAGGAATAATGAACTCCGCCGGCAATTTGAGATAAACAAGTTCCTGGCGATCTTTGAAGAGTTGGATAGACGTTTATATTGAATTGTCTTATCCTTAGCCATCTGATTGATGCAAATACTTTGATAGTGGCTTGTCGAGACAAGCCAAGAGTCTTGGATAGTGGCGCAGCAGTCATGCCAAGAGTGTAGATATATACAACTCACAGAACTTATTTTGAGTAGCTTATTTAGTTATTACTATAAAATGACATTATAAGAGGATGATATAATCAGATATAGGTGATCATATGATTGGGATTGACTTGACTGTAGTGGACTTGGCCTTCTCTACCAATCACAAGTCAGTACTTGTTTGTATGCTGAATAACCTAAAATACCTTATCGATCTACATACTCAATTTTAGGTCTTATAAATCAATCACAGCATTGATAATTATAGAGCTGACTTGATGATAAGAAGATGGAATATTCCAGAGAATACCGTACAGTATCATACCATACAGGACAATACAGGACAATATGATAAATCATGCCAAGAGTGGATCTTTGGAAGCTCTCCCTATTGGCTAACATCCACCACTAAGGATTAACCTCTCTTAGCGCGTAAGCACCCTGCATTAGCGCGTGGATCGGCACGTCTCAATCTCGAATGACAGAAACCCACGTTCAGTGGCGATGGATCTGAATAGCTTCAACAGTTCAATTACTACAATCTGAAATGTACAGTAGATAGATTATAAATATCGAAAAATCATCTTCTCCCCCCGCTGCCTTCGCCAGTGATTCGTAGATACCATCAGCTCCGGACACCCTCGCACCACCCACGTCCACTTCCGCAGAAACTCCTCCGTCACCTCCCAGTTCTCTGGATTCGCCGGATCCCCCCACACCAGCAGACTACAGCCCCCCATCGCGCGATTCCAGAAATCCATTATGTCCAAACACAGGTCCTCGTCGTCGAAGGAATCGCCGGCTTTGAGGAGGTTATCGCGCATGCGCGGAAGCGGGAAGAAGTCGAGCCACGGGTGGTGGGAGATTTTCCGCTGGAGGGGGGTGGGGCGGAGGTTTTGGGGGAGGTTGGTGGATTCGATGAAGGCCGGGTGAGGGGTGGAGAAGGGGGAGAGGGAGTCGTCGTGCATCCAGTCCGGGCTGGCGTCCATGCCGAGAATGGCCATGTTTTGGATAAAGGCGCGGAAGACGTTGACTTTGCTGAGGGTGAGAAGGTGGTCGGATGTTGGGCAGCCGAGCATGTAGCTTTGGTATGCGGCTTCGCTGAAGCGATGGAGGAAGTCGAGGGCTTTGTCGGTTGCGAAGCACGATTGGCTGGGGGATTGATTGCGAGGGACGATGGCGGTTTCGGGGGAGCCTGAGCCGGAATCTGAGGTCGGTGGGGTTTGGATACTGGAGACGATGGCTTTGGGGTGGACGTCGAGGCCGGCTTTCTGGGCTTTTCTCCGTTGTCCTGAGGATCTCTTTAGCAGCTCATCTCACAATGAGGACTGAGTAGACATACTGTACGCCCTCTGATTGACCCTGTTTTGCCTCCTCCGACGTTCAACTGGATCTGTCAATCCTGACCAGTCATCCTTCACCGGTTCCACTGGTGATTCGTCGCGCTTCATGCTGGGTGCTCGTGTAGATTGTCGAGTTGGTGTGAGAGAATCGACGGACTGTGGGTTTGATGCAGGTTGCTGACTTTTGCTCAGTGCGATTCGGAGGCGTTTAAGAGGATCTGGCCGGAGTTTACGGATTTAGAGTGTGGAGATTGAGTGATGTATTGGGTTTGTAATCGTATGTTTGGTACTGTTATTACGTACCATACAAAGAAGAATCGAAGACGAGATAGAGAATTGACATGGTATATGCGAATAGATAAGTTTTCTTTTGTTGCTGCCTACACATTCATGAATAGCTTCAGTGGATCAAAACGCGGATCTAGCGGAGATGGAAGACATTATGAATCAAATTGTGCATAGAAAAGACATCTGCATCCAATAGAACACCATCCCATTTGATAGAGATGGACAATCACATCCATCACAATGACTTTTCTCCCCGCCGTCTTCGGTGCCATGACACTTGGCCAGCCCCGCATGGAAGGTGCCCGCGTCAGACCTCGCCGCAGCCACAAGGAGATCGACACAGCCTGACTCTACAATGCCGGGTCCTCTGAGTCTATTCTCGCCCAGGCAGAATGGGAGAAACGCGGTCTGGTCAGCCGTTGGCGGGTGGTTTCCTCACCTCCCGGTATAGGAGGGATATGGCCGATGGGGAATATGAGCCTGGCTTTTGGTTGGATTCGAAGAGATGGCAGGAGCTCTGCATCGAGGTCGGTACTGGAACGACTTTGATTTCGATGCGCTGGATATCATCCGTCCTGTTGCAGCCAAGCGTGGGTTGACTGAGGCTAAGTGTACTCTGCGATGACACAGCCATCGCAGTGGAATGGTCAGGGAAAACGAAGATGCTTATTGTCGGTGCCAGCTCTGCTAGTCAGTCGGAAACAATCTCATCGGTATAGAAAAGGGTCCTCTGCCCAATGAGATGGTGGAGGCACTCGAGGTGGCATGATTGAGGTCAACGGTGTTGTTCCAAAATATTTTCATTGATGTACTGAGTATATACGTATGAATCATGAAGATTCTGTTCGCCATGACGACCGGGTCGAGATATTATTCTGCTTCAACACCTCGAATGAATCAATGATAGCCTCGCGGTCTATCTCCGTGTCAACATGTACCAAATACCTACCCTCTCGGTGTCGTGCATTCACTATGTTCTTTCTCGTCTTTGACTTAATCGCCGCATGGATCGTCTTGCACAGTCCATGGCCTGGATATGCTACTAGGCCGAGGGCAGCTATGACTGTTAGTATGCTCCAAAGAATGATATAAAGGTCATACCGGATGAAACCATCGATCCAAGTCCAATCCCTCCCTTGGCAAATCCCTTGACCACGCCGATTGGCCCTTCTTTTACAGCCCCTTTATAAGGCTGCTTCAGAAGACCAGCGACTCCCTCCGTGATGCCGTGAGTAAAGTTCTTCCCACCAACACTCAAACCACTTCGCAAGTCCCGGATTGGTTCGTATTCTTTGACTTCCTCTCCGTACAGTCGGGGAACTGCCCGCAGTCCTTCTGTCGTAGCGAGAGGAACATCAACCCCCATACCCTTGTAGTATTTGCCGACCAATTTACCGACGCCCTTTGCAGATTGGCCCAAGGCGACTGCGGTTGTGTCCCAGCTTGGCTTTCTTTCTTCTCGTATTGCTGACTCTGGCATTTCACTCAGAGCCTGCATGTCTCGGTCTGTTGTAGACTGAGAGCGTTGAGATCGTGGTGTAGCAGAACTAGAGGAATCGGATTGACGACGGTTTATTTCTCGATATGGTCTGATCACTACATCTGAAGCTGACTTTACCATGTCTGCACTTGCTCCAACAAATGCCGACATGGTTCCTGTGACAGGATCCCACCGTCGAGTTTGTATGATAATGGGCCTTGCTTCATACCTTGGATAGTTAGCTAGATACTTGGCAAGATAGAGAGACTTACAATTGCAAAGCTTTTGGCTCCACACATGAATGATCAAGTAATATCTCGCCCGCCTTTCTCGATAGACACAGCGGCTTCGTTCCTGATTTCTTGTACGACCACACTGCGGGCTCGTTGAGAAGAATCTGACAGCGCATCTCATCGACGGGCAAATTCCGGTGAAAAGACTCAACAGCTGTCTGTACTCCCGTTTCTGCGCTCATTCGGTCGGCAATGTCTCCAGCCGCTGCTACAGTTTCGGGCAGACCGCAGAAGCGAATAGCGTCTGCGAGATTCTTTGCATCCAAGGAACGATTAGGAATCGGCGGTGGTCCAGCACCTGAAGCAGCGACCATATTTCCCCAAAATGTTTGACTGGATGGTTAGCAATGGCAACCGCAGAGCGAGATGTACTTACTCTCCAAAAAATGGCACAATGGTAGTAGGCCGACCAAACCGCAATCCGCAGGCGGTAGTTCCCGCACCGCCGTGATGGATAACGGCAGTAACATGCTGAAAGAGCCATTCATGGGGACAATCGTCTAGGTAAAATATATCATCTGTGGAGTCACCACCGAGTTTGCTCCATCCTCGTGAAATCACTGCTCGAACTCCGGTAGCCCGGATCGCTTCGAGGAGTATAGCTGTGACTCGTGGAGGATCGTCGATGACAATACTTCCAAAGCCTATATATATCGGTGTTGGTCCGGATTGTAGAAAGTGTGCTAAATCCGGGGGAGGGGAGTAATCCGGTGGATCACGGAAGAAGAATCCGCAAACATCTGTTTCGTCAGTAAACATCGACAAACAAAGAGGGTATCCTACCAATATGCGACGGCCAGTCTTTCGGCTTGGGCATCAAGGCCGGTGACCAGCAGTAGGTAAATGGTACCTTGAGTGTTTCTGCCAGGTTCGGACCTTCAGTCATAGGGACCGCTTCGAGATCGATAGTCGATCGGAAACTGTTGATAACATCTCCAAGACTAGATCAAGTCAGTAAACGCAGAAATAAAGGGTGGATTGAAATACCCCTGCCAAGTCATCCACTCAACAATCCCGTAGGATGCATAATTGGCAAAGTTGGGATTTGTGGATGAATATTTGAGGTTTGCCAAAGGATGAGCGTATTCCCGCGTGCTACTCCAAGGCATGGTAAACATCATATGAACCGGTATACCCAATGCCTGAGCGCAATGTACATGGGCAAAGCTAGGCGGATTGGCAATGATGGCGTCTGCCACAAACGGTGTCTTGGAAATGGGATCGTCCTCAATGCACGACTTCCAGCATCCTTGGAGGATCTCTGCGACCATCCTCCGTTTCTTCTTTATATCTCCCTCTCGCAGACTCTTCATCTTCGGTATCAAGCCCGGATTCTTCACCATGTATGCCATCAATTCTGCTGGATCACCGCCGACCGGGTAGAACTCCAGACCCGATTGCCGGACGAACGAGTCAAAAGTATTGTGGGTGGCCAAGCGCACGCGATGGCCATATTTCTGCAATTCATTTCCGAGGGCGACAAACGGCTGGACATCACCGCGGCTTCCGACGACTTGAATAACGATATTTAATTTGATATCGCAGGTGGTGTAGGGGTCGAAATCGGCGACGGGGGGGACGAGGACTTCTTCTTCGCTGGGCCAGTTGATCAACTTGACCACGGTTTGGCAGGCGTGGGAATCGAGATCCAGATCGATCCGACCATCCTCTGTGGTTGGTTAGAGAAGAACCGTGGTTGTGCAGAAGACGTACCTTGGACATCGGTGCCGACATCTGGGATGTCATCTGGAGGGGTGTTTTCTGGGGGGTCACGATGCGATGACGACATTGTCGGGTGGGGATAAGATTGGCAGAATTGGACCCAGACCGGCTGGGAGATGGTATTAATATAGATAGGAGTATATACAGGGGATCATAGTTCGATGAAACGAGATGAAGCGATGAAATGATAAAAAGATGATGATGGATGGTTGAAGGATTGTTGTTGTCGATGTTGTGGTCGTGTTGGAAGATACTAAAGTGGGGTCATGTGTCTCCAATGATCTCCAGCCAGTTGAAATACATAGTAGGATAACAGATTCTACAGTCTGATGAGATATCATGACACGAATAATGCGCTAAGATATAAACAGATAGTTAGGTAGTTAACTACTACAGTCTATCATATAAATCATGACAATCCATATTTGTCTGAGTGCCAACCTGGGATAGCACTTTAATATGGATAGCCAATACATGCATACAGTACCGAATATATTAGAGTGCAGATATCTGGTGAATGAAGGGATTGAAGTATATTCTAGACAGCCCCTTGTACTACGTTCTATTATGCAGTTGTTCTGTGTGGAAAAGATCTCCTTGACTGACAGGAATTCTGCAAACTTTACGGACGGAAATGATGTCATACTATTTATATCTCCTACTCGATTGGGCTGTGTGACCCTTGTAGAGGTAGTAGATTATAACAATAATATTAATTGACTATTGCTACTATATATTTCAGTCTGCCATCAGTAGTATGATTAATTTCAGCACCTGTGTTGAATATAATTCTAAAAAGATCAACTGCAGTTAGCTCTTTTGGCCTCAAAGTAAATCTCAAAAACCTAGATTCGCATTCCAATATGACAAATTGTGTAGCACAAATGTAGATTTCAGGTTCTGATGAATAGTCATACAGTGCATATTGTCCTACCATACTGATAATGAGGCAATCTCACTCTGTAAGGCATAATTATTCTATCCTCGGTCTGTCCATAAATAGCACCTGTCAACCACATTCTGTCAATCACCACTCTGAATATGGCAGCTATCATCGACTATCTGCTATATGCAATCGCCCTCTCAATATGCTACACCACCTCTCTCATCCTCTATCGTCTCTTCTTCAGTCCTCTGGCCAAGTTTCCCGGGCCCAAACTGGCTGCTGCTACCCAGCTATATGAGATCTACTACGACATCATCAAGCATGGCCAGTTCATGTATGAGATCGAACGAATGCATCACCAATACGGCCCTGTCGTCCGTATCAATCCCTTTGAGCTGCACGTCAGAGACCCTTATTTCTACGACCAGCTCTACGCGGGCCCATCCAAAGTGCGCGACAAATATGCTTCGTTCGTCTTCAATGGAGAGACAGGCTCGTCCTTTGCCACTGCCCATCATGCCCTCCATCGAACACGCAGGGGATCACTAGGACCTTTCTTCTCCAAGAAAGCCGTGGCCAATATCGAACCACTGATCCAGTCCAAGGTGAACTTGCTTTGCTCTCACTTTACCCGAGCAATGGACACAGACGAGGCAATTGAGTTGCATACAGCCTTTGCTTGTTTTGCTGCAGATGTTGTCTCTCAGTATTCCTTTGGCGCGTCACTCTGCTTTGGCTATCTCAACCAGCCTCGCCTGAGTGATCAGTGGAAGAAGATCATCAATGGTATCTTTGAGCTGCTCATCATTCCACGATTGATTCCTTCGGCTTATTTCCTGTCTCACCTCGTTCCACGGGTGGCTTGTATGATCAACCCTGTCTTTGAGCCAATTCCCCAGTTCGAAAAGGATATCCACAACATCGTCAAGCACCTCTCACAACAGAGTTATTCCGCAGAGAAGGAAATGCCCATCTTCCAATCCATCATGCAGAGTGAAAAGCTCCCTGTGGAAGAAAGGAAGCTCAAGAGAATTGCGGATGAAGCCGCATTCCTCGTTGTCGCAGGCACCGATGCGCCATCGCAAGTCCTGGCCATCACCATCTTTCATCTTCTGTGGAATCCTTGCACTTATCAGAAACTACAAGCTGAACTGGTTGCTGCTCTTCCAGATTTGCGGACTGATCCATCCTGGAGTGCAATGGAAGAGCTTCCTTATTTGGTACTACCTTACCCTAACTATGCTATAGTACATGCTGACTCTGTATAGAAAGCAGTTATAAAAGAAGGGCTCCGTCTGTCCGCCGTGGTGACATCGCGTCTTCCCCGTATTGCACCTAATGAGGTTCTACGAGTCCAAGGATGGGAGATTCCACCGGGTGTATGTCCATTTCTATCTATACTAAAGCTATACTGACTATATAGACCCCCGTTGGCATGTCGAACCACTTCATCTTGCGAGATCCCAACATATACCACGAACCTATGCAATTCCTGCCTGAACGATGGATGGGATCGCCAGAAGAAGTACGAAGACTAGGAAAGTATCTGGTGCCGTTTTCCAAAGGGAGTCTGGGATGTTTAGGGCCAACGTAAGTATTTCACCTTATGGATGTAATCATACTAACCGTCTAGAATGACATATTCGTGGCTGAATTTGGCACTGGCAACGATTCTCCGTCGATTCGAGCTCGCTTTATTCGAAACAACAGACAGGAATGTAGAGATTGTGCGGGATTGCTTTAATGGGCAGACTGTGCCTGGTCTGAATAACGTCAAAGTCAAGGTCAAGCATTATAATCTATAGACAATTCCTTGACTACGAATGAAACTCTGCATGCTCAAAATCTGCCGGTACCAAACACCTCTGCAGCTCTCCAAACGCATACAGTCCCAGCATCATACCTGTGAACGGTGCTCCGACCGGTGGTGCCTTCGTCATCGTTCTGTTACTGACCTGTCCAACCCACTGTGTCTCATTCGAAGCCTCTTTGAATCCAAATCGATAATTCTCTCCACATTCGATGAAGAAGATAACATCAGACTGTGTGTTTAATTCATGTTCGACCACATTCCCCTCTGCCGATCGAAAGCGAATGATGCGTTTCCCCGAAAAAAGACGGATCCCAATACTGCTATACGTGAAGTAATTCCACCACACCACTGTCCCTGCTTCAGTCTTGTCCGATGTAGGATGGAAGGAGAGTCGTGTTTCCCAGATGCATGAGCGATGGGTTTGTTTTCGCAGAAACAGAGTTGGACAGGTTGGGGTAGACAGATTGTATGGACCGCCATATAAACGCAGATAATTGGGACGTTCTGAGAGCGAATAATCCACCTTGACGGGTGTATCTGTCTATGTTAAATATTGTCATAATCAGGAATGGGGAATGCACTTACTCTTTCTATACCATCCCAGCTGCAGATCCGGACTTGAGAAATCATCTCGCCAGAACACAGGCAGTTGGAATGGATACAACTCTGGTCCTGTAGACTGCAGACCAATCTTCTGTCCACCATTAAACACAGGCCAGTCATTCTCCCACTCGACAGGCACGAGAAACGTTTCACGGCCCAGGACAGACTCTTCCCAGTATCCTTCTTTTCTGGTCGGTCGGACTCCAAGGAGAACAGCCCACCATCGGCCATCAGCGTCCTCCACCAGGTCTGCATGGCCGGTATTCTGCACCTCGTCATCTGTCCCATTCCGCCAGAGGGGATTATGAGGACCTAGTTCCCATGGGCCAAATGGGCCGGCCTCACTACGACTGACCCATTCGGAATGGCCACTCTCGGTGCCTCCTTCAGCGGTGAAGAGATAATAATACTTTCCTCGTTTGAGGATATGCGAGCCCTCTGCTACTCCAGAGGCAGATTCCCGGATAAGTCGAGGTTCTGAAGTCGAATCCCCAGTTTCCAAATCGATGGTGCAGATATGAATGGCGAAATCTTTTAGATGACTGCCAGCAGTGCGATTGAGCTTACGATGGGTGGACGAGAGATGGACAGTGCCATCGTCATCCCAGAACAGCTACAACATTAGCGAAGAACAGACAGGGAAAGGGACAAATACATCCTGATCAAACCCAACTTGGTCAAAAAACACCGGATCTGACCACGAAGTTGAGTCCCAGATATTTTCTGTCTGTACGTAAAAACCCCGCGGCCAGACACGATCATCGTCCTGAGGCCGATATCTCTCGAAGCTGGCGGCAATCACGTAGAAGACGCCCTGGTGGTATCTGATGGTGGTAGCCCAAACACCACCGCCTGGTTCCGGAGTGTGGATTTGGATCTGGCTGGATCGAGTGAGGGCATGACCGATGAGGGACCACTGGATGAGGTCTGTACTGTGGTAGATGGGAGCAGCGGCGAAGTATTCAAAGGAGGAGGAGACGAGGAAGAAGTCGGAGTGGACACGGATGATGGAGGGATCCGGGTTGAAGCCGGGGATGATGGGATTGTTGTACATTCTGCTACTGAGTATGACGGATTATCATGGATGGGACTGAGTTTATATATTGGATGGATTGAGGTTATTGGTGGAAATAGCACTCGACAATATATCACAACAACATTATTATATCCACCACCTACAACATACCATGACTCCTACTGATAAACCAGATATTCCCACAGATAAACGTATTTCTCATTCCCTCCGCATATCCTATCCCTCTCCAAAAGACGAACCGTTCCTTAGTCCTTTTCCAAACTACCCTGACTAAATAAGCCCATCCATCAATAAATTTGATTATTACTCTAGCTGATCAACACTCTTTAGCCGATAATGTCTGAACGACAGACCGGAAGCGTGAAATGGTTTAACAATGAAAAGGGTTATGGGTTTATCGCACCTGACGAAGGCGAGGACTTGTGTACCTGCCCAAGCGATTGGAAGTGATGAGTTTAAAAGTCTTTCAGAGGGGCAGTGAGGATCATTTAAAATAGAGAAGGGCCCGAAGGGCCAACAGGCAGTTCACGTGCAGGTGAAAGCATAAGATGATGGCATCTATGTATATATCATTCTATTCTATCTATGGACAAGCCAATCGCCATGTTGTGATATCGATTGAAAAGCCGCATGTGAAAGTGGACTGGACGGAAATGAGGCATCATGTGAATCCACGTGCCATCTTCATGTGAAACCATGATTGATCTACGGATAATTCAATTAGAATTTAGAATAATGGAACAAGATAGATCTTCGATCTATCTATCTAATATCGATCAATGCTTATTGATACTCGTTGACCGCAATGAATCCTTACTGCCGAAGATCAGCCGAGTTCCCCTCATCCCCGCACGGTGGAGATACGGAATACGACCTCGTTTGTCGTATGCAGATTTTTATAATAATAACACATCCAGTCATGTGCATCGTTGCTTTTTTTTTTTTTGCTTTAAGACTGCCGATGAGTCTCGATGAATTGATCCATCACCAACAACATGGCTTCCGAGACTCAACCACTGCTGCAGCCTCCGTCTGACCCGACCGAGGTCGAGCAGGAGAAATGGAACTCGTCCAAGGCGAATGTCAGCCGCACTGTGGCCACTTTTTGGAGCTTTCTGGTGATGGGAGCGAATGATGCGGCCTATGGGGTATGTTGATCCTATATTCATATTGATAGAGCTGTACTGACGAGATAGGCATTGATTCCATATGTAAGACTCCGACCGATCGAAAGATAAAAAGAAAGACTAATAGAATAGCTCGAATCGTACTATGATCTCTCCTACACCGTTGTCTCGCTCGTCTTTCTCTCCCCAGTCATCGGATATCTTCTGGCTGCCGTTCTGAACAATCCCATCCATACCCACTTTGGTCAGCGTGGTGTCGCCGTGCTCTCTCCAGCCTGTCATCTCATCGCGTACGTCGTCAACTGTCTCCACCCGCCGTATTATGTCCTGGTGATTTCCTTCATGTTTGCTGGATTCGGAAATGGCCTCGAGGACTCCGCCTGGAATGCATGGATTGGCAACATGGCCAATGCGAATGAGATGCTGGGATTGCTCCATGGTCTGTATGGCGTGGGAGGTGTGTTGAGCCCGCTGGTCGCGACCTCGCTCATCACCAAGGCCAGTCTGCCATGGTATTATTTCTACTATATTCTGATCGCCTGTTCGGTCGTGGAACTCGTCATTTGCACGGTCGCGTTCTGGGAGAAAACCGGACAGGTCTTTCGTGAAGCGACCGCGCAGTCCCACGATGCCGACCAGGGTGGACTGCGACAGGCGTTATTCCGCCGCCCGTCTGCGCGAATCACCTGGATCTGTGCTGTTTTCCTGCTGGGATATGTCGGAATTGAAGTTGCTCTGGGTGGATGGATTGTGACGTTTATGATACGCGTGCGCCATGGCAGCAAGTTCGCCAGTGGAATGGTGGCGACCGGCTTCTGGCTGGGCATCACGATCGGTCGGGTGGTGTTGGGGTTTGTGACACCTCGCATTGGAGAAAAGAATGCTATTTCGGTGAGTTACATCGTATATCTGGTGAAGAAGTTCCAGACTGACCAGACAGATTTATATCCTCTTCTCCATGGCCTTCAACCTCGTCCTCTGGCTGATCCCCAACTTCTTCGTCTCCGCCGTCGCCGTCTCTTTCCAGGGTTTCTTCCTGGGCCCATTATTCCCTGCGGTCGTAGTCGTCACCACGAAACTACTCCCTCCCCGTCTGCATGTCAGTTCGATTGGATTTGCCGCTGCTTTTGGAGGAGCAGGAGCTGCTATTCTGCCCTTCTTGGTGGGCGCAATCGCGCAGGCCAAGGGTGTTGCGGTGTTGCAGCCATTTATTCTTGTGCTGCTGGGGGCGATATTTTTGCTGTGGCTGGGATTGCCCAAGGAGAAGAATAGCGCATAAATATAAATATCCAGATAGATATCTAGATAGACATAAGGTAGATATATGTAGCACTGAATGAATTCATGTCGATCGATCAGATAAGAAACACCTCGGATGATAGAATGCAGGGATGCAATCAACCGACATCGGGATGTGTGCTGGGATGACTCGGCAGTCCAGGGTCCGATGCAAATTCCCAATACCTTAGCAAAGGCAATATCACAATCCACAATCCTCCACGGGGCTCCATAATCCATACCCCATGCTCTGCCCTTCTGACCCATTCTTTCATCGCTTGGAATCGCCGTAGCCGCCGCCCCGTGAGCCTCGGCTATTACCGCTTTGGGAACCCTCGGTCTCGTCAACGTCAGCCGCTGCTGCGTCTCTCTTTAAGTCTCCGATTCCTCTCTCTTCTTTCTTTCTCTCTCTCAATCCATTCATATCTTTCTAATTACTACTATCATGCCCTCTCCACCCCCAGACTGGGTCAAGGCCCTTAAACCCTCCGACCCTCAAGGCTCCGAAATCCTCGACGAGGAGCGCTCCCAGTCCTCTGTCGCCGTTGACCGACTTGGAGAATTGCTGCACACAAAACAGGCCCTCGATCGCCAGCAGCGCATCCTCAATCTCATCCAGCATGAAAAGGTCTTTGACAAGTCTCAGAACCACTCTCTCGGCCGAGTAGACCGGATCCAACGGTCTCTGGCCAAGGGGAAGCGCCTCCAACAACTCGCAGAGCAGCACAATTGGTCCCAGGAGGACTATCACCAGGCTAATGAGCTGATCGGAGAGCCCACTCCATATGGTCTTCACGCGACCATGTTCTTGGTAAGTCTGCTCCAGTCGACCGAACTGGTCCGGCTAGCTAACGGTTTAGGTCACCCTCCGAGAACAAACTACCCCCGAACAGAAGAAGCTTTTCCTCGAGCGCGCAGAGAAATACCAGATTATCGGATGTTATGCACAGACGGAATTGGGTCACGGTTCGAACGTGCGTGGTCTCGAGACCACCGCTACATGGAACTCGGATGATAAGACCTTTACCATCCACTCGCCTGCATTGACTGCTTCCAAGTGGTGGATTGGATCGCTGGGACGCACTGCCAACCATGCAGTTGTCATGGCGCAGCTGTACATCAATGGCAAGAACTACGGTCCTCATCCGTTTGTGGTGCAAATCCGCGATCTCCAGACCCACCAGCCTCTGGAGAATGTCTACGTCGGAGATATCGGACCCAAGTTCGGCTACAAGTGAGTGATCTGCTGCGGTTTTATGGATGAAGCTGACTTTTCTAGCACCATGGACAATGGATTCCTCCTGTTTAACAATGTTAAGATTCCCCATGTGAACATGCTGGCCCGCTTTGCTAGCGTCGACAAGAACACCAACAAATACGTGCGTCCTGCATTGGCCACTCTGGTCTACGGAACCATGACTTGGGTCCGATCCAACATTGTCCTCCAGGCCGGTGGTGTGTTGGCTCGCGGTGTGACCATTGCCGTCCGCTACTGTGCGGTCCGCCGACAGTTCCAGGACCGCGATGCGACCGAGCCTGTGGGCGAGAATCCAGTTCTCAACTACAAGATGGTGCAGGTCCGCCTGTTGCCATTGTTGGCTGCCATGTATGCCTTGCATTTCACCGGTCGCGGTATGATGCGCCTGTACCAGGAGAACCAGAACCGCATGAAGCAGGCTTCTGAGCCTGGCCAGGAGAAGCGCGGTGCTGGTCCTGAAGAGTTGAGAGCGGGTGCTGATCTGCTGGCTGACCTCCACGCCACTTCTTGTGGTCTGAAAGCGCTGGCCAGTACCACAGCCGGAGAAGGTCTGGAGGTTTGCCGTCGCGCCTGTGGTGGCCATGGATACAGCAGCTACAGCGGTATTGGACCGTACTACTCCGACTACTTGCCCACACTCACCTGGGAGGGTGACAACTACATGTTGACCCAGCAGGTTGCAAGATATGTATGTTCAGTTCTCCATTTTTATCGGTTTCATCGAGAATACTGACTTTTGCAGCTCCTCAAAGCAGCCCGTGCCGTGCTGGCCGGAAAGGGCACCGACAACGACACCAGCAAGATTCTCCAGGCATATCTGGCACGCCGCGACAAGGGTGCTTCGTTCGACGTGTTGGAAGACGATGGCGACATTGTGGCCGCCTTTGCCTGGCGTACTGCCCACCTGACATTCGAGGCTCTGAAGCACCGCGATGTCGAGAAGCGCTCGTGGAACAGCCTTCTGGTGGACTTCTGGCGGTTGTCGACCGCCCACTCTCAGTACCTGATGGTGAAGAACTTTTACGACGCCGTGACATCTCCTGAGTTGGCTGCCGAGCTGGACCCTGAGACCCGAGGCGTCGTGCACAAGCTGTTCCGTCTGCATGCGCTGCACACCCTGGAGCGCGAGGCCGCCGAGTTCTTCTCGTCGAGCGCCGTGACCACCCGACAGATTTCGCTGACCCGTACCAACGCGGTCATGCAGCTGCTGGATGAGGTCCGACCGCACGCGGTGCGGTTGGTGGACGCATGGAAGATTCCGGATTGGCAGCTGGACAGCAGTCTGGGACGGTCCGACGGACAGGTGTATGAGGATTTGTTCCGACGGGCGAGTCAAGAGAACCCGGTCAACGAGCTGACGTTTGATCCGTATCCATGGAATGCGTCGGTGTTGAAGGAGCCGAAGAGCAAGCTGTAAACTCATGTAATTTAATCGATAGAATACAGTGTACAGACACAGACAGACTAGACTAGACTGAATGAACAAAAAAATAATAAAAATTCTAAAACTACAACTACCCAAATCTATAAAAAATCAAAAGAAAAGGTCCTGCCCGGGATCGAACCGGGATTAGTGGAATCAGAATCCACTGTGATGACCATTACACTACAGAACCGTATATTTAACGGGCCCCAAATATGCTATATAGAGCTCTCCTGCTTCGCTGTGTATTCTAAAGCACAGCCTTGTCAACATCATACGACAATCTCTCATCCGTCGACATCCCAAACCAATTCGAAAACACCAACCCCCACTTGACCACCATCTCCTTCATCCATAATCCCCACGACCCTGTCTTTCCGACATGCGACGCATTCGCCATGGTCCACTGATAAATGCTCTCGACACGCGGTCGACGAACCCGATCGTATCGATCCCAGCATTCGCCCAGGTCGACGTCGAGCGTTAACGCGCGGGATAAAGCGAAGACATCCTCCAGCGCCATGGAGACGCCCTGCGACGCATGAGGGGGCATAGCGTGCGCCGCGTCACCGAGTAACACGCACCGTGACCCTTTGCGCCAGGTTCTTCCTAGTGGAAGGAGGTAGACGGGGTAGAAGTTTAATGAGGGTGTGGCGGTTATGATATCTCGCAGGAACGAGCCCCACGGTCCCTTTGCGTCGGAGATGAGGGATAATATGGTTGATTTGGAGTTGGAGAGTTCGTGCTGGCGTTTCTCGACCCAGCCGTCGCGGGAGTCGATGGCGGCTGCGTCGGGGAGGGCGACATGGCGGTTAAAGAACCAGAAGAGTTCGCTTTCGTCGGGCTTGCAGGGGAGACAGGCGAACATGCCGTCTGTGGTGAGGGTGCTGTGCATTCCCTTGAGAAGGAATTGGTTGTCGGTGGAGAGGGAGGAAGTTGGGAGGACACAGAACATGCCTGCGTTGCCGCTGTATTCGGGGTGGGTGTCTGGGTCGACATAGGTGGTTCGCACGGCGGAATGGATGCCATCGCAGCCGAGGAGGAGGTCGGCAGTGTCGGTGGTGCCGTCGGAGAAGGTAACGGTGATGCTGGAGGAGTGTTCTTCGATGTGCACGAGTTTCTTGGAAAAGTAGATGGGGATGTGGCGTGGCTCGATGGCTTTGTATAGCACGTCCATGAGCTCAGCGCGCTTGATTCGGATGTACTCGAGGGAGGGTTCATCCGGAGGGGTGATGCAGTAACGACCGAGTTCATCGCCGTGGCTGGAATGGAGGACGATAGAAGGAGTGGCGCCTGCTCTGGCACGGATGGTCTCTAGTATACCCAAGCGGTTGAGGAGACGAAGCCCGTTTGCCGGGATGCCAACCGCACCGCCGATGGTCGAAGGAGCACTGCGGATTTCGTAGATGGCGATGTTGGAGATGTGGTTGGCTTGGTGGAGACGAAGAGCAGCGATAAGGCCAGCAGGGCCGGCACCGATGATAATGACCTATCTTGTTAGATATATAGATGTAGGGAGAGGAGGTGTATACCTTTTTGATGTCTGGCATGGTGGTATTACAGTAGACGATATTATAACGTAAGATAAGTATAGAAAGTGTATAGATAGATTGAATATGAGTCTAATGATACATGGGGACAGACATCTTTATAGTAAATATATAGACCATACGACGCATCGGCTTCTTACAATCGGATCGGATAACTATGCGAGAGCGAAGGCACAGCCCCGAACACCGACTGAGTCAGACCCAGCCACAAGAACAACTGTCATCATTTATCCATGCCGTCATTGTCACTATCATTAAGATGGGAATCGATATTCTCAAAGTCCATGAATGGGAGAAACGTGGCATTTTCAACCAGACCACAGTGTTGGAGACGCTGAGTGCGGATGCAGCAATATCCGGGTTGAAAAGTACCTGTATTTATCGGACGACAAGGGGGAGAGGATGAAAGAGACGTTTGGCCCGATAGTCACAGATGGCGTTATCGATGATGGGATATTTCTTTCTCATATTGGTATTCCTGATGCAGGCATTCTATGAGGAAAGCGAAAGCCTCGAATGAGAACATCAGCCGATGTAGACGAGCTCTATCTCAAGTCTGGCTACGGTTGAGAAACGTCCAGTTGACTGAGAAGAAGCACGACGACACTGAGAGACGGGCATTTGATATTCCCGACTTGGGGCATATGTTCAACTTCCCCGGACGAACTTTGACGACGATGGCGATGAGACGTTTCATGATATGCTGTTCACGCTGTATGCGACGCAGCCGGAAGTGCCGATCTGGATGGCAGACGTGGATGTGGATTACTTTCGATCAGTTGTCAAAGAACTACATGGAAATGAAGTTAAATTGCACAATTTGGTGATTTCACAGGAGGACTTGCGATGTTTGTTAAAGGTATTGGTATCTGCGCAGTTTGGACAGAAGGTGGAATGAAGTGGTCGAGTGCATGATGAGGGCATTCGGAGAAGAGTGAATTACCTGGGAACTGTTCGATGAACCAGTGGCCAAATCAGTATGTATCCTGATGCTATCTTGACTCTGTTGGTAAGTGAAAAAGCCATTCTTATTCAATCCCTTTTACCGTCTGTTGTCCTCGTTTATCACAACCCCAGAAGATATCATCGACTGCCCATCTGGAAGAATAGCAACACCTGCCCGTCTATCCCAACTCAGCACGATGGTATTCGACTGCATCATTTTTGAAGATCTTCGGATCTATCGTAACTATATCTCTGGCAGATCATTGCAGCTGAACTGGAAAAGCAACTCATCAATGCCCCAGACGCAGTGGTATTGTTTATATCAGGACGAATGGCCGGCAAAACAGCCATCTTTGGTGCATACATTCCCAGTCCGATATTAAAAGGGCTGAATGCAGATGAATACGATACATTGCTTGATTTCAATTGGAGTGTTTTGTTTGAACTCAGTCCGGTACATGATTGTTATAGAGGAAAAGCACAGGCCGGATGGACGATGGTGATGGAGGGATGTGGTTTGGGAGTCGAAATGGAGCGGCAATGGTTTTGTCTTCAGATATAAAGAGGATGGTGTTTATACAGAATGAAGAAGTGGAAGCAGAGGAGAGAGAGATGTGGATAGAACAATCTGAGCTATAGTTGTATCCGTATACTCTGTCTATATTCCATTCATCTATTATGATGACATCACATGTCGATCCGAGGGGTAATCTGCATTTTATCTTCACACAACCACATCTAGATATCTACATCTGCATTATATCTATGTTTATCTTAGATACGAATTATCTATCATGTCTTCCTATCCATTCACCTTTGATTCCCCCAAAACATCACCCGCATCTCGTCTCCGTTCTCTCATGAACGACGCATATAAAGATCCCACCAAAATCCTCGCCTTCCCATGCACGTATGATGGCCTGTCATCCCGTCTCGTGGAAGAAGCAGGCTTCCCCATGCTCTTTCTCTCCGGCTTTGCTGTATCCAGCTCCTATGGACTCCCAGACACCGGATACATAGCGATGGAGGACATGTGTCGCAAGATCCAAGAGACAGTGCGCGTAACGTCTCTCCCGATCATGGCCGACGGAGATACCGGATATGGCAGTCCGATGAATGTGCGACGGACGGTGGAGTGTTTTGCCAAAGCCGGGGCGGCGGGGGTGATGATTGAGGATCAGACGTGGCCGAAGCGTGTGTTTCCTGATGTATCTGATATGATATGAGCTAATGATTAGGATGCGGCCATACCAAGGGCAAGTCGGTGGTGTCGAGAGGAGAAGCATATGCGAGAGTGCAGGCAGCGGTGGATGCCCGGAATGAAGGCGACGACATCTTCATTCTCGCCCGAACGGATGCATTGATTGAAGGGTGGGAGGAAGCCATGACTCGAGCCAAAGAGTTCAAGAGGCTAGGGGTGGATGCGGTGTTTGTGGAAGCATTGCCGGATCGAGCGGCGATGAAGAAGTGCGTGGCAGAGCTTCAACTGCCGATGCTGGCGAATATCATCGAAGGGGGGAAGACGGAGAACCTGCCGGCGAGTGAACTGGCGGGATTGGGATTTGCAGCCGTGGCGTATCCATGGACGTTGGTGGCAGCGAGGATCAAGAGTATTCGACAGGCCTTGGAGGAGTTGAAGCAGAGCCTGACGGTGGGAGCACCGCCGATGATCTTGGGATATGAGGAGATGTGTGAGGGAGTGGGATTCACCAAGTACTGGGTGAGTATACTATATTGGCTGTATAGTGAAGGCGCTAACGGAATAGGACATGGAGGAGAGATACCGATACAGCTGAGACGGCAGAGACGGAGATGATCAACAGGATCGATACCCAAGAGGAATGATTGGTAATGGACCTGTTATTGAAGCATAATGGAGCTATGGAGACGGCGGAGATGGCGGAGAAGAATCAGAATACGAATGAGATATACAGAATATAAAAAGAATCAATCAGTATATGACGAGTAATCTACTTGTCCTTGCTTCTCCATCTCCGTCGCACAGCACTACAACAATAACCCAGGACAATAACAACAAGCACTGACCAGGGGGAATCCCGGCATCTGTCACATCATATTCTTCACAGCTCTGCCTTCTGATTGGCGGGTCGCCCGCGCGGAGATGGCGGAGATGCAGTGGGCCTGTGGAGTATAGAATGGAATATCAGGATATAAATGAGCATAGAAGAACAGTATCCTCTTTTCATTCTATCATCATATTCAGTATCATCAGACAAGATGGCCTTCAACTTCTGCGCCTTCTACACCAACCGCCCTCGCATTGGCCATCTCCAAGATGGCTCCATCCAGCCTCTCGCCTTCTCCTCGGGCACGCCTCTCGACAATCTCTACCAGGTCATCCAGGCCAAAGACAGCATCATCCCTTCTGGCGATGCTATTCCCCTCTCCTCCGTCACGCTGCTCCCTCCCATCTCCGGCCGAGACATCCTGGCAGTAGGCAAGAACTATACCGAACATGCTGCTGAATTCAACCGGTCTGGCTACGACAGTTCAGACAAGGTCGATCTGCCTTCTCATCCGGTCATCTTCACCAAGAGAGCTACGTCGATCGTGTCTCATGGCCATCCGATTGCTTTTGATGCCTCGTTTACCCAGACCCTCGACTATGAGGGTGAACTGGGTGTGATTATCGGCAAGGCTGGACGGGGCATTAAAGACGATGCCATGGATTATGTCTGGGGATATACCATCATCAACGATGTGACTGCTCGTGAGAGACAGCGAGATCACAAACAGTTCTACATTGGCAAGTCGGGCGATACATACTGCCCGATGGGCCCCGTGGCGGTTCCTGCATCTCAACTGCCAGACATTCTCACAATCCAGACCTTTGTCAATGGCGAAGAGAGACAAAAAGCCACCACCGACCAGCTCATCTTTTCCATTCCCACCTTGATCCAGACTCTTTCTGGGGGCATCACTCTGCAGCCGGGCGATGTCATTGCCACTGGAACGGTATGTCTACCTCATATGCTTCTATACACTATATCTAACTGAATAGCCCGCCGGTGTTGGCTTTGGACAATCTCCCCCCGTCTTTCTGCAAGCTGGAGATGAAGTCAAAGTGAGCATCACCGGTCTAGGATCGCTGCTCAACCCCGTCATCGCCAGTGACGCCTCCATTGCCTCTGTCCCATCCGATCTCACTCTCCCTCTATCCAACGCTCGATCCGGCTGTCTCACCTCCATCAACAACAAGTCGCTCTACTATAAGCAGACCGGACAAGGCTCGCCCATCGTCTTCATCCACGGCCTGGGCGGATCGATGGAGTACTTTTCGCCTCTCATCGCTTCTCTGCAGCTGGATCAGTCGCATCAGCTGCATCTGGCGGATCTGGAGGGCCATGGTCTCTCGCCAACATCGCCTCTATCGACTGTCACTATTGAGTCGCTGGCGGTCGATGTCAAAGGTGTCTATGATCATGCGGGCCTGTCCAAAGCCACCCTGGTGGCCCATTCCATGGGATGCATCGTCGCTTTGCAGTTCGCTCTGCTCTATCCGGATCTCATTGAAAAGCTCGTCCTGATCGGTCCTCCTCCCAATCCCCTGCCAGACGCTGCCATCAACGCCTTTCACAGTCGAGCTGGTTTAGTCCGAGAGCAAGGCATGACGCCGGTGGTGGATGCAGTGGTAGGAGCAGGGACATCTGCTGCCACCAAGTCGAGCAATCCTCTTGCAGTTACAGCTGTTCGATTGTCGCTGTTGGGCACGCATCCAGAAGGATATGCCAAAGCATGCACTGCACTGGCGGGATGTCAGCAACTGCCTGTGGAGGAGATCAGCTGTAAGACGTTGATCATCACCGGAGAAGAAGACAAAGTGAGTCCAGCGACAGTGTGTGCCTCCTATGCAGAGAAACTGCACACCGAGACGGTCATTCTCAAAGATGTAGGCCACTGGCATGTATTCGAGGACGTTTCGGGCGTATCTGAAGCCATTCGGGCTTTTCTGTAATTTAGAGAAATTATCGCCGACGCCCGAGATCCACTCGGCGACGTGGTTTTCCTCTTTCTTCCATAATTACAATATCCTCATCACCATGGACAATCATGTAGATAAAGATAAACCTCGCCGTCGCCAGCCCATCAGCTGCGATCCATGCCGTCGCTCTAAGCTGCGCTGCGACCGCCACCGACCGTGTTCTTCCTGTCGCCGCCGCCGCTGCGAGGATTCGTGCCGCTACAAAGCGTCATCGTCGACCGAGTCGTCCCCCGCCATTCCATCGCGTTCATCCGTAGACCATCATGAATCAACACATGATCGCTGGGATGCAGTCCTGCAGCGACCAACTATCGACCATCACGACTCACTGGGCAGCACCGACTTTCCCTTTTCCTTTGGCCATGTCTCCATCGACGAGCTGCTCGCTCGTCTTCCGCCGTCCAGCTGCTGCGACTATCTCATCACGCAGTATTTCATGAGACTATCCCCGATGTTCCACATCCTGCATGGCCCGACCTTCCAGAAACAGTATAATGGCTTCATCCACGATCCCTCCTCTGTCGATCTCTCCTGGCTGGCGCTGCTCTTCCTCATCTGCTCCGTTACCCTCAACACCATGGCTGGTGACGATCCAACCTTAGCTGATCTCTGGATCAAGTATCCCAATGCCAGAGATATCCCGTCCGTGTCGTGTCAATTGCGATCAGCCGCCATGATCTGTCTATCGCAGGATCAGTTTCTCATCCGCCATCGTCTCACCATGCTCGAGGCCCTGTTGATTCTCATCTACACCATCAGCCATAACGAAGGCGTGGAACGCAGCTGGACTCTCCTCGGCATCGCACTGAACATGGGAATCGCCCTGCGCTGCAATTCAGACTCAGCCCAGCTCAACTGCATCGAGAATGAGCGGCGTCGGCGCTGCTGGGCCGGCATCCTCATGCTGCATACGTATCAGGCCATTCTCTTCCGCGACATCGACATGTCGTCGCTGCTCGACATTCCCGCCACGATGCCAGCAGACGTCAATGACGCCGACATCACCCCTGATCGCATTCTCCGACCGTCCAGCCAGCCCACGCAAATGTCCGTGATGATGTTCAAGATCCGTCTCTTCCAGCTCTCCAGCCGTCTCTGTCGACATATTGCCAGTCCGGCCAAATTCGACGAAACAGCCCTCACTCGCTTTGACGCCCAGATCGAAGACGAGCAGAAGCAGTGGGATGCTGTCTTCCTCCTCGACGGGTCGCCCAGTGTCTTGGATACATCCAGTTACGCCCACTGGTGTATCCTGCAGCTGTACGCCCACCAGCTGTATCTCCTCCTGCATCGGCCATTCTGTCGCTCCCAGTCCAATCCGCGCTATCGGTCTGTATCACGGACAAAATGCATGTCGTCCAGTGTGGCGTTGTTGGACCTCCATCGACAGCTCTGGGAGCTGCCCCGACTACGATACTATCGCTGGTTGATCTACGGGATGACGAGTTTCTACGCTCTCCATGGGGCAGTGGCATTGGCGTCGTGTTTGCTAGATGGAACGACCATCGACTCGACATCGTATCGGGAGACTTTTGATTCAGCAGTCTCGCGCATTGAAGTTCTTCGAACCCACAGTCCAATCTGTCGTCAAGCATATCCAATGCTACTACATTTACAGTACGTCCATCAGAAACAACTCAGATTAATACTAATGATAGATCTCTTCTCTCCCCCGGACAATCCCAATCCAGTCCGCGTGACTTTAACACCTTTGATGAATGGGTCGACGCGGTGCAGTGGCTGAATCCAGATTCGGTGAATTGGGTATGTTCTGTCAACTTATCAACTACGATTACTAACTATATAGAACTTTTGGGGCATGAACGAACCGAATATATGATTATCTCCGTCGATGAATATTCAACTTCCGTATTTCCGCATCAGCCCTGGCCAGGCATTTACTCGCTTCGACTAGCTGTATCACATTGATATATTGCTTAACCAGCATGAAGACACTAGAAATAGCGAGAGGTAATATAATGCTATTGATTGTCAACCCAGTTCTGTATGCATTGTGTAACCCACATAGTCTCCGTATCTGCAAAAGACAGCAGATAAAGCGCAATAAGAAACATCTCATTCAGAAAACAAACTGTAAACAACACAGTCTACCAAATCAGCCAACAGCCAGCTCAATTGCACACTCAACTCACTGTATTCGAATAATACACCCTCAAAACCCACAGTCTCTCATCAATCTCCTTATGACTCTGCCCACCCATCGCCGTCGCAAACATATGCGCGTAATGGCTCGCCATGTCCAAACTGATCAAGCCCTGAAACACAATCCCCCATTTGGGAAATGCACCGGCCAGAAAGACACAGAGACAGGCTGTCGTGCAGCGGTCGATGACCATGTCAAGAATAGCCCCGAATCGGGTTGTCTGGTTGAATCTTCTTGCTGCGGCGCCGTCGAACGCGTCGAGTAGACAGGATATACTGTACAGAGTGCAGCAGGTGAAGGGATGGAGGGGCATGTACCATAGTGAGGCGATCACGAAGAGTATGCGGGCGTATCCTGATGGTCAGTATAGCTTAGGAGGAATATTTTGGTCATACCTATTAGATTGGGAATGAAGAGAAAGATGTTTTCTGTTTCTTCATCTTGAGGCATTCTATCAAGGGATATTGGCTATACTGTAGGTAGTAGTGAGATGAATGCTGCAGCTGGAATAATATAGAGCATCTATTTGGCTGCCTGATGGAACCGAATCCCTGTTATACTATGGATTATATAATGATACATATAGTTGAATCTATATATCCGGCTTATAATCTACTACATTGTTTAGATAGTCAGTATGCAGTGACAAGAATAGTAATATTACAGTATTATTATATATTATACAATCTAACCCCTCTTGATATTCTCCAACAAATTACTCTTCGCACCCACCTTGAGGTTATCAAACTTGAACGTCCCCTCCTGGTTCTCCTTGTTGACAAAGTGCAGCTCTCCTGTTCGTCCATTGCTCAGAGGCGCATGGCCCTCTTTATATGCGATATTCTTGAAGAACAACGAAACCGAGGCATTGCTATCATACGGCCCGCCGCAGAGACCTTGGATTTCCAGACCGTTGACATCATCGAATTCTGGACTGTTAGATAGATCAACTAGCAGGTAATGAGCACTTACCCTCGCAGTTACCGTTGTTGTTATTGGCAATGGCGCCGGAGTTGCCCGTGCAGCCGTGCAGGTTTTCGACGTGGACGTAGCATTTGCCTCCGTCGGCCTTGAGCTGGGCGTATGTGTTGGAGTTCTGGGAGGAGCTGGTGATGGGCCCTGGAGGAGGATAGGAGACGACCGTCGAGCGAGGCTTCACGGGGCCAGCAGGAGTGGGAGCAGCCAGTGCCACGGCGGCGAGGGGAGCAAGGAAAAGAGCGTTGAGATGCATCTGTATGATATTTCAATTATTAGTGGCGGCCCGACCACCCACCGCCTCCGCTAGTGGGTGGTCGGCGGCGTAAAGGAATTTTCAGCGTAGAGGAAAAAAATGAATATTCAATATTTTTGAAGCTATACAAACCGCCCAAAATGCCTAAATCATCTGAAAATCGCGATGAACGTGTTAATGAGGCATATGAAGCCGCTTATCTTGAAAAAAAACCAAATATTGCAAAAATCGCGTGAGAATATGGTGTTCCCTACCATATACTATATGGCTGCCTCAATAATTAAAGAAAGCCTTGAACTGTTTAAATCCCTCTAAATAAAGTGCTTAATTAGTACCAGGAGGCCGCTCTAAGAGACTGGGTTGCCTATATGAATAATATATACCTTCCTATCATGATTATGTTGCTTTATAAGATGGCAAACCTCACTATCCAGTGTGTTAATCCTAAATAACACCTTAATTAGTCATGGGCGTATTGCTTCACTAAAAGGCTTCCTCCTAAGCTTAAATTAAGACCAGTGATTTAGAAAATAAAGGAGAAAAAGTGGCTGGAGGTAGAGGACATTAGATAGCTTTAATTTTAGTATAATTAGCTGAAAATATTACTTTATAATATCCCTACTCACCTGGTATATAACTTTAATGAATGCAGCTTTCAACCAGGCCAGGGAAAGGCATAAAAAGTGCTTAGTATAAAGGGGAAAGTCCATGATCTTACTGGAGCTAAGTATGTAGAGAATATAACTATACTTAAATATATTACTGTAGATAGTTGGATTATGACTCTATTTTTTATATTTAAAGGTAAGAAAGTTATGTAAAGAAGGGCTACTAAACTACTATACTGTAACCTCTAAGAAAGGCTATATATATAATGAACTCGCAGTTAAATGGCTTCAAAACTTCTATAATAAGATAAAAGATCATATGAAAAAGGGGGAAAAATGTATTCTTATCTTTAATGGCTATATAGCTTATTAAATGGTTGAATTCCTATAGCTCTGTGAGACCTATAAGATCCTCCTATTCTGCTTTTAACCTTATATAACTCATCTGTGTTAACCACTTGATGGAAAGCCTTTTCTTATATATAAAACATATTTTTATAGTATGAATAACCTCATCTTGCAGTGGAGTGAGGTCCCTAGAGATAAGGTAAATTTCCTCTATAATATTATGGCTGTATAAGAGAAGACCTTTACCTTATAAATTATCTACAATTCCTTTAAAGAATGGGGTATTTTCCCGCTAGATGGGTCTTCTATTATTAAAGCTATTTAGAATACTTTACCACTAATTCTAGAGATATTAATGCCAGATACTACACCTTCTCTATATCCTTAATCTTTAAGCATTAAAAACACACCTCTAAAGACTGCTTAATAAGCTGAAAAGAACTATAAGAAGGTATTCTATCTAATAGATAATATAGAAGCCTCTCTATGGCTTGAGTGTGGCCTAGATCACATATTTTAATAATAAAAATATTAGTCTGAGCAGCTTACTATCATAAACACTACTCTTAGCTAAATTAAGCAAGCCCAGGCACCTCACCAGCGCAGAACCACTAAGTAAGAGGTTCAACGCCTTGGAGATAGTGGGATACTAACTGTATAGGATGTAAATTGCTCTATTGCTGATAGGAGGGCTAAAGAAGAGGTAGCTAAGAAGAAGAAGGCGGATAAGGCTTATAAAGAGGTGTATGGCTGTCTCCCACCCACACCTTTAGAAGAAGATAATTCTACAGCTTCATATAGAGAATTGGCAGGAGAATCGGTTGATCAGCTTTATTTTATGGACTCTACCAGAGTTTAGTGATAAAAATGCAAATAGCTTCATTTTTTTCCTCTATGCTGAAAATTCCTTTACGCCGCCGACCACCCACTAGCGGAGGCGGTGGGTGGTCGGGCCGCCACTAATATTTTTGGATTCTGTTTTTCCAATGGGAATGATATTATTTATGCGGTTTACAATGGGCTATGGGGGTAGATTTGGCCCCCAGACGGAACAAGGCTTCAACCCCTGATCTGGTGCTGTTTGGCCCCATTATCCATTTTGTATCCTCTGGGGCTGTGCATAAATTTGAAATCAAGCCTTGTCTACAGCAGGATCCGCGGAGAAGTCAATGAAAATAGATTCAATTCTTTAATCCATTCTCGGCTATGATTCATCCAGCGGGAAAGAGTAAATAGAATCATGCCTCTTCTTCCTCTTGAAATGGGCTTTCGAGAGTCTCATCCGGCCAGAGTGTCTCGTATAGTTGACGGGCATCAATCCACTCTCGTTCATCCCAGAATCCATCCGACCTATCAATTAGCTCCCTATCCTCTGTCATGCTGGCGACAACTTACGAGAGCTTAAACTGCCGTGGCGCCAACATGTATGCTCGCAACAACACACACGCAACAACCGCATCGTACGGCTTTCGTACCGTCTTGACAAATGAAAACCTGGTCGCTTCCTTCTTGTTGATCACCAGCCACTCATGGCCACCGTCAGCCACCCCGTTGAGTTCGATTCCCTTGTCGACGTCTGCCAGGGGTGGTGTGACGGTGTCCTCGTCTTCCCCGTCTGGGCCGGTGATGGGGACATCTGCTGCGTCGACGATGGGCTGTACGTCTTGGACGAGTTGTGGCCATGCGGACTGCCACTCTTTGCTCCTCCAGTCGCGGACCCGGAAGTAGTGTGTGTAGCTATTTTGTTAGCTGGGCTCATACTCAAAATATAGACTTCTTACCCCATATTATGAAATAGCCAGGGTTAGGTGTAGGGAAAATACAAGTTGTAATGCGATGGTCTATTTGAATGTCGTATGCATCTAACATGTCATACTACCATCATTTTACACATTATGACGGAGGAATTGCACCATCGCAACTACCATATACTGTTTACAATTAACTCCAAGGAACGGAAGATAGTTTATATTGGATGTTACTGTTGAGAAAGTGCATCGAATAGCATCAGATGGGGTATTTCAGTGTCATCGGTAGCCTCTTTTAGAGCCATTGCTATTGCATTAGCAACGTAAACACCAAATAATAGATAAATACCTACCATAATCAAGCAATCATGACTTTGACTGCGAGATACCAGAAACCCGTTTCTTCATTGACCTCCAAAGCCCTCGTTTTTCTTTGGGCTCATCATTCGACTCTGGTTTCTCAACCTCGGCACCTTTTTCCTCCGAAGCTGTCGGTTCTGCAGTATCATCGACAGCAGTCGTGGCCAGCGATGCACCGTCATTTTCTGCCTGCTCCTTTTCCTTGGCCTCTCTTGCTTGTCGTTCGAGGTATCGTCGTGCAGCAGCTTCGAGGCCTCTTCCACCAGGCCGAGTGCTGCCTTCGGGGGGGAATCCGCTCCAATCGACCACGGGGACTGCCGTGTTGATAGATATGAAAGAGTTATAAGATTATTGAGATGATAATATTCTAATCTTAAGATATTGCGTTCTTATATCCTTTGAGGCAGTGCTATGCGTCGAATCCATTGGGCAACAGACCCACTGCGCCCGACCAGTTGCCCCGAAAGGAAGCTTACCATTCTGCTATATCATTATATTGGCTAGAGTATCAACTGGGCGATGTTAGTCCGGAGAAATTTTCGCAATGTTTTAGACCCCATGATATGCTGACTGTTTGTACATCATGCTGTACAAAAGCGGTATCCAGTGCGGGCAAATAGTATGGCATGTTAAGGCACAGTATAGAGCGTTGTCTATGTTGGTCCATAGTATGTACTTAGGGTATCAGCGTTGGTTCCCTTAAAGGGTGAAACACATGAGCCTTTGACTAGGATCTCTAGATCTCAGCGATGAATGAACTGAACGAACGATGATTCAAGGAGGCTTCGGGTATATAACTAAAGACAGACAGTCTTCAGCCAATATTAATGGCTTGCTTCCAAAGACATCACCCTATAGAAGTTTAAGGATTTTGACCCAAAAAACCAGTAAACAATAATATTGTAGTAGGGATATACCAAAGATCTGAAGAGTACGGCTAACAGGTGGAATACTTGACGGGATCAACTTCTTGCACACTGTTGGGGCTCATACTCTATTCGAATTGGCATATGGGGTGAACACACCATGATGTGCTCCTGATGTTTAATATCCCCGCAGTGATAACAATTAAAGTCTAAAGTAATGGCATTGTTGGTATAATAGGCCATCTGTCTACGGATGATGTCATTCTACATGGATTACATCAAGTAATAAAGGGTTGTGATCCATCTCACATGCCAAGGGATAGTCTATGCTGTTCTAGATTTTATCATGTTCGAGTTTGAGACATCATGTATATGTGTAGAGAAATACTCGGTAAAGTCCGAATGGCAATTTGTGAAGATTTTCTGCGGTTACATTCATCTTGTGCAACTACCCCAGATCAACCCCAATTTAATATAGACTTATGATGAAGAGGCCGGATGTAGAGAGAACACGCAATAAAGATGAATAAGTGACGAATAGGCTGTTACAGGATGATGCAAAGTACGGATGCATCTTATCAATCCGTCTATGCTTATTCTTTATACTATTCTTCGTACAGATAGTTAAAAATGCTTGCCATGCTTGGCTATTACTGCAACAAAGATATTAATTATACTGACCATGCCATTGTGAATAACTTTATTCCATAAATCTCATAAATCTGCATAATTAAAAATCTGACGATCGAGTGGCAAGTGATCTGCTGGATGTAACATATGACGCAGGCCATGCATGGATCATCCCATGATATCCCCAACATTGATTATTCACCAGGCACGAGGAATGTCGGCACATGATGTAATGCTTATTTAAGTATTTATTGCTTCTTCTCCATCGTTCATTTAACTTCATTTAATTCCTCCATTTAATACATACTGAATATTATATTAAGTTTATTGCAATATGGATCTCCTTCAGAAATACGGACATCTCAAGAGTGAAAATGACTACGCCACGACCAGGCGACAAAGCAGAGATGCCACCCACCAGACTGAACAGTGTATGTTGATATTCACTTGAAATATATGATAAACTGACAATATAGTCCACTTCAACTCTCTGTTGGGAAGCTTTGGTACGGCCCAGAATGACCACCCCGAGAGAAGATCCAGTGGTGCGGGGAACAACATGAGCGATGCTATTAAAAAGGCTCAAGAATTAGTCAAGTATGTTTCTTCCACATTAGAATGAACGATTCTAATGATGTAGAAATACGCCCGAGTCAGCTACTTGATTGACATTGATGGATAAACTGGAGGCTATGATTGTTCTATCTTACTGTTTGATTACGATAAACTATACCATTTGCTATGAAATCAATGATGAATAAATACTTGAATACAATCTATATACAAAGAATTTAATATTTATAACACAACAACCCCGACTGGGTGTCGATAACATCCGAAACCGGTGTATCCCGTGACAGTCCATACATGGGAAGAACGTCTAGAAGTGATGCCATCGCATTTGAATCGCCATTCTTAGGCCCATTGTACTCTGTACTGTTCTGTGGATGATCCTTCTGCCACATCCACCATAATCGATCGAGTTGGGCATAGTGAAGAAAGGATACCGGGTCTGAAGGTTAGCATAGTTCAGATAGACTAGTGATTAAACCTACCATTCGGTGCATCGAATGACAAGAAATCTCCACCAACTTGATTCGACATGTTATTATATGGCCCAGCTTTCAGTGCCATGCTAAAGTTGAAGAAGTTATGTTCCAAGCTAATCTGCTTGACAACCTCTGGAGAGAACCATTTCCCCTCGAATACACCTGACTCATTATGCCGCCCAAATCCACGCGAGAGACAATGTGGCTTGATTGCAAGGTCAGAATACAAGATTTGATAGTCAGAAAACGGGCCTGAATCGACACAAGATCCAATTTTCATGTTGTTGCTGGCTCCATCACCACCAAAGCCTGTTTCAGGGTCCCATATAGCTGACTTGGCAGGGTCTTCCCAGTCAAGAGTCCAATCCCAGTACCTGAGATGTCAGAACAGTAAGATGAATCGGGAGGGAACATACGGGAGGTGGCCAGTATATCCGCACGACTCTTTGAGGGCAGTTTCATACACATGGATGAAATAGCGATGCCAGGGCAGAAAGGGAGCAGCATCACTTGCTGACTGATGTTAGATTTAGATATAGTATATTTAAAGTGGTTCTTACCAAAGTGTGCATTGGACCGATACGCCCAGGGGAAATCGTCCGACAGCTGGCCATACGGATGTCTGGCGGATGGCTGACTGTGCAGGCACTTTACGGCATCAATATAGCCCGTTTTTTCCGTGGCATTGAGCTGCCGCCATTCTTGTCGCTGAGATGGAGTTTTGCAGATGGGCTGTAGGAGTTCTGCTATCAAAGTGGGATCTTGGTCTGATTGTGGTTGTGGTTCTGATTCCGGGCCAGTGACCATGTCCCTGAAGGTGAGGCATATCGTGATGACAGCTCCTAGTGTGAGTATAGAATATACAGTAACAGACCATGAAGCTGCACGATTGATCCGGCTGTCTTGGCATTCAGGGTCAGCAGCGAGCCCCTCGTATTGTCTTGATTGCTTCATCTTGCCCTGATTAGTGAATGAAAAATGGAAGTCTCCTGATTGATCTTCTTCTTTTATTACTCTGTCGATCTGAAACTGCCATCCACTCTTGGCCGTCTTGGCGGGGCTGTGCTTATATGAGCGCTCAGACCGACAGCCTTACAGCCTGACAATGCCACGAATATATCAATTTATATTTAGAAGTGCATACAGTTTATTGATTGAATAGATTAACAGCCAAAGTAAACCTGGCAAAAGTCCATCTTGACCGCGCCATCCACATCCTTCATATGGCAGTATGCCGCAAAGTCTGTCGAGTCTCTTCCTTCCGGATACACCAGCTCCAACACGCCAGTCACCATGGCGGAATCAGAGTTGAGGCCAAAGGGGAAGACTTGATTCACTCGATGGACTCGCTGGCATTCATTCAAGACGGTGGTATTACATGCGAAAATTTCTATTGTGTCAGTTGGATACGTAGATGATGTAGATAGACACACCATTTTCACCTGCGAGTTTCTTCGCACCCATGATGACAGTCGCATCTGGAGTGAAGAGACCTTTCCAGTCTTCTGGGTCGGGTTTGTCAATGTCGGTGAAGAAGGTCTGCAGATACTGTTTGTAAGATGGATTGAATGGGGTATCAGGGTATTTGGCGATCTTGGGACTGCGCATGGTGGATTCAGCCTTGGCTACTTTATTAGCATATATACATTGGCACGATAAGTGGATTTACCCTGAGTCAAAGATGGAATAGCCTGAGTGGTTGACATTGTGTCTGAGAGTGGAATTGTAGTCTTGTTGAAGATCAAGGGAAATGAGGATGTTTATATAGCTGTCACTCATATTGATGAAATCATAAACTATCCTTGTATAACATGAATATTGTAGGTGGTATAGAAGGTTCAAATGAAGTCATAATATTCATCTTCAGATACAGATCTACATAGAAGCTGAAGTTCAGATCTATTCGATAAACTTTTGCAGGAATGCTGAAGATTACACAGAAGGGATTGATATGATGCGTGCAACTAATATTAGAGTGGCATATAGATAATCTATGATAACTGAATACAATTTTAGATGAATAGAATTCTAGATACGAATAACAAAATACAAGAACAAATGACAAACGAAGGAAGAACAAATAGCAACAACAGAAGAATAAAGTCTAAGTCTATCTGATGCGATGCAGATGCAACAGAACTCAGATTACCCACAGTAAGCGATATTCAGAACCACGAAATGGTCCTTCCCTTAGGCCCCCCATGATCATACACAGCCAGGAACCGGTTGTCGTCCAGCGTCATAATGCCCGGCCAGCTACTGATGGCTTCGCTCGCCAGCGATGGCTCAGTCCACGTCAGCTTCCCGTCCACGGGAGGGCCAGCAAACACAGCCTTGACCGAGGCACTGGTGGGCCAGTTGATGGTGCTAAGGTCCTCATCGGTCATGAACACCACGGCCAACTGACCATTCGACAGAGAGGCAATCTGGGGTGCACCGGCGTTGTGGCCTTCAGCGGGAGTGTAGATCGCCTGGCGCTCCGACCAGGTCTCGCCGTCATCGTAGGAGATCAACGCCTCGATGTTGAACGTGTTGTGCGGGTTGGTCTCAAACACCATCACCAGGGCGTCGCGTCCCTTGTCCTTGGTCTCGGCGATGCCGTTCATTCCATCGCGCACCTTCTGGTCGGCGCCGTAGAGATTGCGTGGCGCGGTCCAGGACGAGCCTTGATCAGTCGAGGTGACCATCATGGTGCACTGGTTGTCCGAGGCGAGTTCCTCCGAGTAGGTCAGCTGCACCTCGCCGTCCTTGCCCAAGCGCATGAACGGCTCCCACAGACCGTTGGGAGCAGACTTTTCATACGCCTGCGACGCAAACGACCAGGTCTTGCCGCCGTCTTCGGAACGGGAGACGGTGATGCGATAGTAGGTGTAGACGCCGTCTGCGTTCTTGTCATGGTTGCGGAAGGCCGCCAGGACGACATTGGGCGCGATCTCGAGAAGGAACATGTTGTCGGTATCGCCAGAGCCGCGAGTGACTTCCGCGTAGTCTTCAAAGGTCAGGCCATCGTCGATGCTCTTGGAGACGCGCAACACGCGGTCTCCGTCTTCGGTTCTGGTGAAGCTGCCGAGAATCGAGCCGTCGGCCAGACGGGCGGTACGGACATAAGTGCCCGAGTCCTGAGAGGAGATGAGGCGCTCATCGTTGTTGATGGTGCGAATGCCGGGGATATCATCACGCCGTTCGAGACCGAATTTGCCCAGGATCCGCTGGCCGAGTCCCATGGTGATGATGAAAAAAACGAGGAGAAGAGTCGCCGATCGCGACGGAGAGCATGGCGAGCGCATCTTGCAGAGCATGCCTGAGAATGCAAAGAATGCAAGGGATGAAGCAAGGGGGTGTGCAAGGGATAAAAAAGGCGTCAGGCGAACACGTCGTGACAATCCCCGATCTCACATCTCACCATTTTCCAAATTCGGAGATCAGGAATGTGGCTGAGTTGAAGGATCAGCGCGGCTGATTCGCGGGACACTCGCCCTGCGATCCACCAGCACGAGCTCCGACCAAGCAGCTGCAGCCACAGATGGAACAGAAGCAGCGCTCGAGGGTCTTTTTGCAGCAGACGCAGACGGAATGAAGGTGGGATGCGAGGCCCAAAGGAGAGGAGAGAATCGGTGGAGGGGTTGCGGTGGAAGTGGACGAGCAGCTGGAGGGGGACATAATAGGGGCTGTCGGAGTGTGTTTCGAATAGATCCTGCATCTGAGGTGAGAGAGATGATGATAATGAGTCTATGAATAGAGGATGAGATGATAGATGAGATGATACAGATAGAGTATTAGAAGATTGAGATGAGATGAGGGCATCGTGTTTGATCTGCCAGAAAGAGTGGGGGAGATGCTGTTGCAGGATGGACGAGAGATGGAAGAGACCCTGCTGCATCATGAACCAGGTAAAGGCAGCAGGATCAGACTGGAATATCCACGAAGGAGAGTCATCTGCAAAAGAAGTCATGTTGATGACCAGACAGGCAGCGTAGAGATGGCTGATCTTGTGTGGTCCTACATCGTCGAGCTGTTCATTCACGAGTCGAGCTGCTTTCTGCGCATGGACGAGAGATGCCATCTGATGCGATCGACTGGGCTGGAGATGATGCAGATGGCGAGCAGAAAAGGCCAACAGACTGTGGATGAGGAATGGATATGAAGCCGAATGAGGGAGGACGAATTGGGCGAAGATGGACTTCCCAATAGGAGATGCGAAAGAGACGTCGATGCAGTGGGCAAAGTTCTGCATCAGATGGGGGGTTGGAGTGCCGGCAGAGTCGATATCGACAGACTGGAGAGTCGATATCTGAGTCTGGCTGATCTGGTTGATCTGATAGACACAGTCTGTCTGCTGGCGACAACATCTGCTGCACACTGGATGGACTTCGTCGCATTTGACTCGGGCGTGTTTGCAGGACAGACATCCTCGCCGAGACTTCCAATGCGACCGTCGTTTTATGGTTGGTTTGGGTTTGTCGAGGGAGAATCTATGATACATCATATGCAGATAGATCGTATATTGTCTCGATATCGTGACGTTGACACTTTGGATGCAGAAAATGCGGACCCACATTTCCCAAACAGGAAATATCGTATTCAGTGGGGCAACTCTATCTATAACCTTCAACAACATTCATTTTTTTCCTTTCTCTCATTCTCATCTATTCTCTATTCTTCTATCATGGTTAACGTGGCAGTCGCAGGTGGCACAGGAGGTGTCGGTCGAACCATCGTCGACGTTCTCCAAACCTCCAAGCATGAAGCTTTTGTTCTCTCACGAAAGGTATCTATCTACACAATATACTATATACAACAACTATAAAGTGCTAACAGATCAGCCATCAAATGGAGTCATTCCAGTTGATTATAGCAACCTTGACGAGCTCTCCTCCACCCTCGAACAGCACAACATCCACACCGTCATCTCGGCCTTTGCCGTCACAGGCGATTCTCTCGCCCATGCCCAGATGAATCTGATCAAAGCCGCCATCCAATCGAGCCAGACGAAGCGATTCATCCCCAGTGCTTTTGCCATTCCGTATCCTCGCGAGTGAGTGTATCTTCTCCTTGATCTATCTGTCTAACCTGATAGGGCATTGCAACATCTGCCTCAACTGGAAGACTACTTCAACGCCATCGAATTGCTCAAAGCATCCAACCTGGAATGGACTGTCTTTCTGAATGGCATCTTCCTCGACTACTTCATTCCCCCCTCCATGCCATCCTATCTCAAACCCAACGTCTTTGTGATCGACATGGCCCATAAGGTCGCAGCCATTCCCGGCGATGGCAGTGTGCCTGTCACCTTTACGTACACCTTTGATCTGGCTCGATTTGTCGTGGCTGCGTTGGATCTCGAACACTGGCCGGAGGAGAGTAGAGTTATTGGCGACGAGATGAGCTGGAATGAATTCGTTGCGTTGGCAGAAACAACTCTAGGTGAGTTCTATCTCTGTATGTCTCATCTCACACTAATGAGTAGAATGCAAATTCGACATCCACTACGATCCAATCGACAAACTCAGGCAGTTTGAGATTACCGAGCTCCCAGGCCATCAAGCGTTGTATTCTCACTTTCCCCAAAAAGCATTCCAGTGGTTCATGTCCATCTTTGAATTGTTCACCACTGATGGAAGTGCCTGCATTGAAAAAGAGGGATGTCTGAATGAACGGTTTCCAGAGATTCACCCTCTGACTGTTGAGGATATATTAAAAAGATGGAGGTATTCATTCAATTCAACAGCAGCTAGATAAATTATATATCAAATGACCCCGTCAAGTCTAGATCTCTGCTTGACTTTCCCACATACACTTGATACGTCCCCTTCTGCCACTTCCACTCCTGCGCATTCACATCCCACGTACTCACGTCTCGTCGATTCAGCTCAAACCGTACAGACTCTTGCTGTCCAGCCACGATGTGCACCTTTTCAAACCCTCTCAGCTGACGGACTGGACCGTTGGGGATTCCCAGATACAACTGGGCGACTTCATCGCCGTCCACTGCGCCGCTGTTCTCAATAGTAGCAGAGACAGTCGTGACAACATCCCACAGACGGGGATTTCCACCAGATTCAATCGGGGCGGATGGGGGATACTCCGAGTAGTCGACGTTCGACTGGCTGATCTGCAGGTTGGAATAGTTGAACGTCGTATACGACAGTCCGTATCCGAATTCATACCGCGGCGTGATATCTTCCTTGTCAAACGCGCGATAGTCGATATACACGCCTTCGCTAAAGTTGGACTGCGGGAACAGCCAGTATTCGCCTTCTCGTTGATCAGGATGCAGCAATGCTCCATAGTCAGACTTCTTCTTTGCCACGGTATATGGCAGTCGCCCGGATGGGTTGGCCCGGCCGTAGAGGAGATCAACAACTGCTCGACCGGTATCCTGACCAGGAAGATGGCCAAAGATGACAGCAGTGACATTGTCATGCTCAATCCACTCGTCAACCAGCCGGATACCAGCGTTGTGGATGACCACGATGGTGTTGCTGCAGTTGGCTGCGACATTCTTCACGAGCTCATCGCTATACTCGTCTGTCAAAGACGGACGATCATAACTCTCGGTGGCATAGGCGTTGATAAACACCAAACAGGCATCGCTGGTGGGATTCACCACCGGGTTCTTCTCATCAAAGTTCCACGACAACGAACTGCCATCTTCGTATGCTTGACGCTGAAGAGCATCAATCGGGGCATCGACATACGCCGGTGAATTGGCACCAGAGCCACCAGCATTCCATAATGTGTGGTTATACTGGGCGGCAGGGCTGGATGAGAGGAAGCTAAACTTGACAATCTCAAGGGTCTCCGGGCCTTTGGCATCGTAGCCAAACACAGACACCATCCGGGGTGACTTGAGGGGGAGAGCTTGGTTGACGTTCTTGACGAGGACATGGCCTTCGATGGCACTTTGAAGGAGGACATCTTTGGATGCGGGCGATCTGCCAATGATGCGTTGATGCTCGACGTTGACGTCTTTTGGCATTCCAATGCCTGGCGATGGGAAGGATGCATCTTGGCCGAGGAGATACCATGTTGCCATGATTCTATCTGGTCAGTATTGATAACTGTTAAAAAGAGAGGATACATACCTGGTAGCCATGTCATCCAGTCTCGATGCCTCAAAAGACCCGTTGGATATAGCCGTCGTGAGATTCGATCCCCAATAATCCGAATATGGCATCGCCATGTCCAGGCCAGCATCAGCCGACGCCAGTCCTCCATGTTGGGCATACCAGTCGGAGATGACATATCCTATCTAGTTAGAGATATTCCAGATAGATCAAGACAGATGGCATACCCTGGAATCCCAACTCCGTCTTCAACAGCCCGTTCAATGTCTTGCTGTTCTGGCATCCATACGAGTTGTTGACGCGGTTGTACGAACACATTATAGACGCCGTGCCTGCTTTGACGGCGTCTTGGAAGGGCCAGAGATACAGTTCGTGCATCGTCTGGTCGTCGATATTAGACGATACAGAGGCTACATTCTCGCCCTGGTCATCCACCTCTGGATTGCGGTTGGTTTCTTGTTCGTTGGCAATAAAGTGCTATTCCATCAGCCCATATCAATTGTATAGACAATATCAGTAACATACCTTGGTGGACGCTCCCACTCCTACTGACTGCACGCCTTCAACTGTCTCAGCCACTAGCAGCCCACTGTGATACGGATCGACCGAGACGCCCTCCCAGTTGCGTCCTCCTTCGGCGATTCTCCCAATCGGACCAACCACCGGGCCAAGCAGGAGATTGACGCCTTTTTGGCGGAATTCCCGGCCCATGTGGATGCCCCGCTGGCGTGCCAGATCTTTGTTCCAGCTATATCTGTCAGCCAAGTTCTTTCTCAAGGAGAGTTACATACCTGGCACCAACATGAATCCCGCTCGACCATCCGTTGACATAATCAGTTGCTCTCTACTATGGTCAGACATGTTCAATAGAGAGTATAAAGACATACCAATCCATTGCTTGCATCACTGACGCAAAGCCCCGGGAATCCCAAACGGGAAATAGCAGCAATCTCTCCTGAACAGCCCGAGTTGACGGTGATGCCCGCAGTCAAGTTGACTTTTTCTTCGGCTGTGAGGTTCCCCACAAAAGCCTTTGCTTTGGCAAATGCAGCAGACCACGATCCAGTTCCGTTTGCCTCGGCTGACTGGTTAGTCTCGTCTGATACTTCTGGTGAGATGACTTACGCGAAGGATAGACCGGAGGGGACTGTCCATAAAAGTACGCATCGTTGGTGATGTTTTCTCCAGAAACAGCAGACAACAGAGCAAGGCCAACCAGGCCAACTAATGATGTCGAGGAAACCATCTTCTTGCTGATTTGCTCAACAACACAACTCTATGGATTGATTCCCCTCTTTATACCGCTGAATACCTCAGTATGAGCGATTTCACCGGCTAATCTTCGGTCTCTAGACAGAATATCTCCATCGAGCCGGTGACAGCCAAGCTTACAAAGGTGGGAGACGTGGGGTCTGGTATGAGGTCAAAGCCACTGTTAGTATTCAGAGTATGAGTACACAAGTGTCAGAATGACAAGTTTTATCAACCTCCTAGGAACTATTAATCTATTACTTATTTTGTTATATCTACATGGCCATGAACACTACTATGTTGAATGAATATCATCCTGTTATTCAAACCGCTATACAGGTATACACATATAGTAATCTGTATAGACACCTCCACATCCCTATCTGTGGGGACCCCCGCAATCCGGGGTACACATGGTTGCATCACTACAGAACCCCGCATTTTGTATAGAATTACTCTGCATATCTCGGGAAATTACCGGACAAAGGTTACATTTGACATCTGCTGACACTGTCTCCACATCCGGGATCGAACTCGACATTTCAGAATGATTCATACCTCACCATAAGTATTATGCATCACGAATGTGCATTAGAAAGCTAGCCAGGCATACCCCTCAATTTATCAGGCTATGTGCAATGATAGTATCTACTACCATAACATCCTCTTGAATGGCGTAACCAGTGTAATTATCCACCAATGACTTGGGGTATAGTTCGGGATGATTCTCTCAACTGTTCAGTCCGAGATGTCATGTATACAACTGGTTTGAATATATATTTCAACTCGATGGCGTTATTTTGGTGGTTATGCACACCATAGCTCTTTATACATGCTATTAGTTTATACAGCATCCCTTTCCATTGGCAGAGAGTAGATCGATTGGAGAGCGATCTACACTGCCGATGATAACGATTGAGGGACTCTATAACTCAACAGGTGATAAAAGGTATGCTAATGGTACAGAGCATTAAGAATGCGTCAGATTCTTGATGGATCTATAGTCCATTAGTCTATTCTTGAACAATTTCAAGGTGCTATGCCAAGTAGAAATATATAGTTTGTCATTAAGTATGGTTTAGCAGTGCAGGTGGAATTATCTGTTAAATGAATAACTGCAGGTCAATCTTCTACAGCTGAACTAAAATGCTACTACATAGACATGAAATCTACCTGACTGAAGAGTTCTGGATATCAGAGGTAAGTAGAGTGCTGACTTGTCTGCGAATTCTGCTTGACCCATGACAAATTGACTAGCATGAATTATTGATGTAGTGTGTTTGCCCCTCAGCCATAAGCAGCAGTGATAACGCCGAATGTGGAATCTCCATTAGAGCTATATAGCGGGGCAGTGGGTATTCCGGATATCTCGATATCTCACTAAATACAAAATTACAAATTCACCCTTTGAAATACCCCTTTAACACTGCAAGTGACATCTTTGAAATTAACTAAAAAGTAATTATACAGATTTCTTAATTTAATGATTCAATAAGACTCTTTCAGCTGAAAGATCGGATCTACATACTCGAGATCTACTACCCCTGCATGAACCGAAAACAATTTTTTCCGATGTTTAAAAAAGCAAACATGCAGTACTATTTACACTCTATCTATCAATCTATTAACCACAAAATGAGGAACAAATGAATGTTCCACTGACCGCTCTCCAACGACTTTCGAATACTGCAAACAGCCTTTGGATCGGCATTGACTATATGTGATGAAAGTCGGATCACCTACATACCGTAGAAAAAAGCTCCTTCCTGAATGGGACAGATCTATAAAGCTAGTTATATAAAAGGACTGAATATCATTACATGTTAATCCGCATCTCTAATCAGACAAAGATGAAATTCACCGACTGTCTAGTGTCTGTAGCCTGTCTGGCCAGCACTGTGTCGGCATTTGGCAATCATGCCCACAGACATGGTCTTCTCCAGCTTCCCAGGGCATTCTCGCGAGAAGGGATCTGGCTATATCCTGCTCTGCACCCTGACCATGACTCGGATGACCTCCGACATCTAGACCCTCAACTTTCGAAAACACTGCATTACTCTCAGGAGGGACACAGGCGTGAGTAACCCTGACGTTATGAATGATTATGCTTGATTCTAATTTGATATATCGCAGCTGCCTTGCATGGTGCAAAACACGCGCAGTTACAGTCGACATTTTCCGGCCCAACAGTGGCATTGGAACACTCGAGTCACGTCAAGGATGTTGTCTGTGATGGTAAAAACAAGACCATCCAAGTCTGCTTCAAGACCCCCGAGGCGTTGCAACGGGTGCAGACGTCATGGAAGGACGAGATTGATTCCGACACGTTCAACCTGGTTACCTATCATATGGGATGTGGAGATCAAACTGGAGATCATCGCTCTTTCTTCCGTGCATCCAACCCAACTGTTGATGATGAAGAGTGCATGACCGTGTCAGCTGAACCTCTGAATGAAAGACAGGCTATACACGCTGGTGATCTATCTTGGGGAACCTTTTTGCACCCAGAGTACCAAAAGCGACAGCCAGCCAAAGGGCATGTCAAGACTACAATGCCTGAGCAACCAACGGGAGAAACAGTTGATATCACGAAAGATCCCGATGCAGTCCAGGCTTTCTTCGACACCACTATTAACACCGACATACCAGACAAGGAGACCCAGCCCCTGGATTTCATGGACAATAACTATAATCAACTGTCCAAACGAGGTCTCTTTTCCTGGATTTTAGAAGGCATTCAATCCATTGTCAAAGTAAGTGTTCACATCTCCTTAACCCTTAAAACCAGGTGCTCACGGATTTGTTCACAGATTATTCAAGTTGCCACCAAGATTTGGGTCCGGGTTGTTATCCTAAGGGTCAGGATTACCATTGAGTATGCAATCGTGGTGGCCAGCCTTATCATGGTACCCTTTGGGCGTCCTTTTGATAGAGCCTACCATGCCGACCTTCCCTTTGACTTGCATACCGCAACCAATATAGGAATCGGGTCGGATGCTGCCAGCTTTCTGGGGGGGCCACAGAATGGATTTGTGCTCGCTCAAGAAGGAGTGGCATGGAATGTTCAATGTGTGGATTGTGGCGCTCGAGGGCATTTTTCCTTTGATGGAAGACTGGCCTTCAGTACTCCCAATGGCCTCACTGCGGCTGAGATCGCACTCACCAACCATGAGCCCCTGGAGATCGATGCTGTGTTTCGCATCAACCTGAATGGAAGAGTGTTGAAGAACAAAGGCAATTCAAAGTATAAAACTGCATTCACAAAAGAGTTGTACAACGTTGGGCTTCCTGGTCTCTGGATTCCCAAGATCGTTGCCATTGGACCCATGGTTACTGTTAGTACAGGGGTCAGTCTCTATTTTGATGGTCACATGGAGATTGTGACCGGTGCTAAATTCCAAATCGACAAAGGGCTTGTGACATTGAACTCAACCAAAGGAGGTAGGAACGAAGCATCTGGCTTCCACCCATCTGCTCAATGGGTGATGGCGGGCTCCCAGGGGAAGGAAAAAGTCGATGGCGGCATTAAAGGAAACGCCGTGGCAACTTTTGATTCCAACATTCCTGTTGGCCTTGAATTCGGCATCAATGTCCTGAGCGGGTTCAAGGAGACACTGGGCGTGTTTTTCGATCCGTCGGTCTATTTCACCGCAGGGATTTCCGTCAATGAAGGGCACAAATGTGATCAAGGCATCGAGATGCGAGCCGGAGCCAAGGGCCGAAGCTACTCGTCCGGGCTGGGGATTTGGGAATACCAGTTCGGTGAGTGGAAACTAATGGAAAAAGGGCTGGGCTGTCTGAGGTGGAACCACGGCTTCGAGTTCAAGGCCGACGATGTTGAGCCGGATGTTCAGCTGGGCCAGGAAGTGGCCCAGACGCTGGGGGAAGTTCCTTCGGATAGGAATGCGACGGTGAAAAAGCCCGGTGCGGTGCTGGCCGCGAGCGCCAATGCCAGCCAGCATGAGTATCACGACTATGAACAGCACGACGGGCAAGGACAGGTTCCATTGCCCTCGACGCAGGGATTCCGAATGATTCAGGACGCCAACCTGACCTCCACCTTGGTGTCTGGCACCGATGGCAATGTGTATTTGGTCAACAACTCGGCGGCGTACGATATCAGCGCACCGTGGGGTTCTCTGGATCTAACAAAGAATACTTTCAATTATGATGTGTTTGGTCGCCTGATCCATTATAACCACACTCAGACCCGCAAATCCGCTATGGTCAAGGTAGGTGTCGCCCATGGTGAAGCAATGCCCGTGGGCCACCGACAAATGTAAGTGAAACCACCTGGACCGACTGGACTATTTTGGATATTGACTGCGCCCAAACAGGTCCTTCACGTTGCAGGAGGGAAAGGACGAGGCCTACCTGCTCAGCTACAAGTACGATCCAACCGCAGAAGACCCAGACTACCAAGCCGACCCCGGTCTAGCCGATGAAAATGTCATGTTCTGTTTCCCTACGGTATGCCAAGTTGCCGATGGACTGCAACTGTATGCATCTCGATATGTGGTCACCGGGGATGGAAAAGCATTGTTCATACTTAGTGATGGTCTTCGGGCAGATGTGACAAAGGCATACAAGATAGACTTGAAAGCATTGGGACTCGACATTGAGCCAACCCAATGCCGGACAGTGAGGTTGGTCTCCAACTTTAACAAGTCAATGGCAGGTTGAGATAAATATCCTATCTGGATCTAGTGACAATCTAGTCAATATTGAATTCAAGCAGTTATCAAGATTGGAGAAACTGATTCGGATATCATTGCCGGATACAGATACTGACCAATCACAGCGCGCCATTCGGGCCGATTATTCAGCTCGGAGACTTTTTGCCTCGGCCTTGCCTTCCACAGAATTATCCATGTTTCGGAGCAATTATTCAGACGGAGAGATTCAGATTTGAAATCAACCATCGTCTCCAATGGGGACAAGTAGAAATACCCTGCATATCCAGTCCCTGTAGAGTAGATCATTAACCAGACAGACAAGAACAATGGCCGACATCGACAACACCCCCGCCGCGGGCATTTCCTACTTCACCCCCGCGCAGCCCATCCCTGCCGGCACTGCTGCCAGCCCGCAGTCCAACGGCCAGCAGCCTCCCAAGCTCTTCCAGCCATTGACCATCCGTGGCGTCACTTTTCAGAACAGACTGGGCGTAAGATCCCCCTCGCGACGATTACTGACGAGTTGTGCTGACGAAGCAGTTGGCGCCCCTGTGCCAATACTCCGCCCAGGATGGTCACATGACTGACTGGCACGTGGCCCACCTTGGCGGCATCGCCCAGCGCGGACCCGGCCTGATGATGGTCGAAGCCACCGCGGTCGTGCCGGAGGGCCGCATCACGCCCTGGGACACTGGTCTGTGGAAGGACTCGCAGATCGAGCCCCTCCGTCGGGTCATCGAGTTCGTCCACAGCCAGGGCCAGAAGATTGGTGTGCAGATTGCCCACGCCGGCCGCAAAGCCAGCACCTTCGCCCCGTGGATGTCTGGCGCTGTCGTCGCTCCTGAGAAAGTGGGCGGATGGCCCGACAATGTCAGGGGCCCCAGCGACATCCCCTTCGACCCCTCCCACGCCCAGCCAAAGGCCCTGAGCTTGCAGGAAATCGACGAGCTCAAGACCGCTTGGGGTGACGCCACCAAGCGCGCGATCGCCGCCGGTGCCGACTTTGTCGAAATCCACAACGCTCACGGATACCTTCTCTCTTCCTTCCTGGCCCCGTCCGCCAACAAGCGCACCGATCAGTACGGTGGCTCCTTTGAAAACCGCATCCGATTGCCCCTCGAGATTGCCCAGGTCACCCGTGACGCCGTTGGTCCCAACGTCCCCGTCTTCCTGCGTGTGTCTGCCACCGACTGGCTGGAGGAGACTCTGCCCGAGGAGAGCTGGAAGACAGAGGATACAGTGCGCTTCGCCCAGGCGTTGGCCGAGCAGGGTGCCGTGGATCTGATCGATGTCAGCTCTGGCGGTGTCAATGCCGCACAGAAGGTCAAGTCGGGTCCTGGTTTCCAGGTTCCTTTCGCCGTGGAGGTGAAGAAGGCTGTCGGGGACAAGCTGGCCGTGGCCGCCGTCGGTTGCATCACCGATGGTCGACAGGCGAATGAGCTGCTGGATAATGGATTGGACGTTGCTCTCGTCGGTCGTGGATTCCAAAAGGACCCTGGATTGGCGTGGACCTTTGCTCAGCACTTGAACACCGAGATCGCCATGGCCAACCAGATCCGCTGGGGATTCACTCGCCGCGGAGAGACTTATTATATCAACCCGACGGTCTACAAGCCGTCCATTTTTGACGCCTAGATTATGATGATGAACTGTATAGACATAGAATAGATTTCCTTGGTGATATCAAACACACAAGTACATAAATCACAAGCCTTATGAAGTGTGAATACAGACTTGCAACAATAATTTACCTGGTGCCTTAGGCTGCTGTTCACGGGCTTTATTGGCTATTCCCATTCCCATGTCTGTAACCAAACAATCAACATCAACGTTGCTGTCACACTAACAACTCAGAACTAATCTATCAGCAGATATTTATGGCAGGTGGTCACAACTCATGCCTCATCGATTCGCAATATCCCAGACCCATCGAGCCCACGACCCGAAGACATATGATCCCTGAAAGAACGCCCCTCAGCGACGGTAGATCACGCCACCGCGCTGGAGATAATCAGCATTCGCGACATCACTGCGTTCGTTCATGAACTGGAACTGGCAGATGGTGGAAATGGAATAGACTAGATTGTCAGTTGAGAAGGGACCGAACTCGGCCGTCAGAGTGACGAGATTCGAGTCTGTTCCACGGCTCGATCGTGCTGTTTGGATGACTTCGGTGCTGCCAGCAGGGTCTGTAACCCATAGCAATCGCCTGCAGGTTGACAGAACATGCCTTATGTCGTTATATTGCTCAGAAGAATTAATCAGCGCTCCCTCTGGCAGATCCAGAAATGAGATACACACACTGCTCGCCAGATCTCTTTCGTCCACATCATCAAGTTGCATAACAAGGCATGTCCCGATGTGAGGATTCTGTAGAAGCGCGCTCTGCAGCTCGGATATCTCAGACCCTGTGTGATTGTCCTGACAGAGAATGACGACCTTTTCCTGCCAACTGCTGGCTGCGACTGCAGTGGACACCATAACACTTTCGGCATTCACGGTCCAGTCCTGCGAACTGGGCATCTCAATATCCACACCCGAGAATCCGCACTGGCGAAGAAGAGTATCCCACTGGGGGACAGTGATGAAGGGACACCACCGTCGCACCGGTTCGATCGCATTCCACCATTCTGGGAATTGACCAAAGGTCAACGGAGTCCACAGTAGATCCTGTCTGATGCCTTCTTGGACCACCAGCTTTCCTCCGGGCTTGAGAAGTGACCGGGTATGTTGCAAGGCCTTTTGTAAATCTGCTGCTGTATGAAGCGTATCTGCAGCGATAACCATATTGTATGAACCGGGTGCAATCCCCTGGACAACAGGGTCTTCCTGTATATCCAGTTCCTGGAAGGACAGAAGATCTTGCCACTCCTCTAGGTTGTCTTTAATCTGCGAGAACTCTGCGTTCGACACATCTGTGAATGTATATTCTGCCACAGTCGGCTTTTCAAACTGTGGGCAGAGCGACTGTAGACAGCGCTTCGTGAACCCCCCAGTTGCACCTCCCACTTGGAGGACTCGCAGATCGGCACAGCCTTCCCTCATGATGGAGAAGTATGATGCCAACGAGGCCGGGATATCGCCTAGCCCAGACAGCGTGTCGCAATACAACTTCATCAGATTGTCTTTTTCACACATCAAATACCGCGGGCTGACCTCTGCATGTAGAATGGCAGGTATATTTGTTCCCATTCGCACGAGGAGCCGCCCTTGAGGGGTTTTCCGTACGGCTTGATACAGCCTATCCTTGGCTTTCTGCTCTCCTGTGAATAGACTCCATTGTTCCAGAGGCACCAGAGCCAGTGAATCTGTGACAAGATCACCAGCGACTAGTTTCATCCACTCATAATACCGCTGCAAATGCCCTTTGAAAATCCTCGCTGGGCGATCTCTGAGTTGGCCGAGGGCGTCTGTGATCAACAACACCGATGCGAGTTGCATTTGATGGAGGTTCTGTGGCTGTATTCTGGGAGCTTGTGCCGGCATTAAGCTGTGGAAGGAAGAGTTGGTGAGCATGTTGACATCTGGTTTCCATTTGTTCCGTAAATGTTCTCGACAGTATGTCTTGCTCTGTTTTTCAACGATATCTGCTCCAGCGAGGTGTGGGAAGAGGTCTGTCAGAAACTGAGGGTTATACTTTTGGTGGCTGTGGTTGATTTCGTATAGACCGACAGAAGCTGACTTGGTGGCCAGATTTCCAACTGTCTTCAAGGCAGTTTCCACCGTAGAATCCTTCCGGTCAAGCAATGACGAGTATGAAATGGGAGATCCAGCAGTCTCATTGACTGCACTTCGCATGGCCGCGTGTGGTCCTATTTCGATAACGTCTATCGATGGACCAGAGAGCATTGCGCGCACACCATCGATGAATCGGACAGGGTTAATGACATTATCCACCCAGTATGAAGGAGGCAAAGAAGGGCTCGCAATCTTCCCTGCGGTGACGGTGGAAAACATCTCAACTTCGGGGTTCGAGACGAAGAACCTGCCCGATGGCAATGGGTCTATTAGTCGCAAATATTCGTCAGCAATGGGCTTCATGTGCTTTGACGAATGATAGGCATTTTGGACATTGATCTTCCGTGCAAAAATTCCGTCGGCATCGAGGAAATACTTCAGCGCGTCAACCATCACTTTGTCGCCAGAGACGGTGCAGTTGTATGGACTGTTTAAACATGCAAGCACTATTTCGCCAGTGTATTGACTGCGGACTGCATCCAGGTAATACTGCAGCTTCTCCTCCTCAAGCCCAACGGCCATCATGGTTTCTCCGAGGGATTTTCTCTTTACTGAAACATATCCACGACAAAATGCAATCTTCCAGGCAGCTTCACGGGATATTCTTCCTGCACAGTATGCGGCGGCAATCTCACCGGAGGAATGACCAACCACATAAGAAGGGAGGATATTCCAGGTCGCAAGAAGCTCTACAAGGGCAATCTGAATGGCCACTGAGGCCGGCTGGGAAATCGCGGGATTGTGAATGTCACTGTTTGGGTTGTGGAAGAGTTCATCTATCTAGTTAGATGACGCATGGCCATAAGGGGCTGGTCTTACCTGTGAGTGACCATAGACTGCCTAGGCTCTGCATATACTTTGCCGCCTCGTCGAGGGATTCTTTAAACGCAGAGTATATTAATAGCTGCTGTCCCATATGTCGATACTGGGCTCCGGAGCCAGTAAAGATAAAGCCAATCCTCAAACTCTGTTTGATCGTTGTATTGAAAATATTCTGGTCTGATAATCGATTCTCCAGCTCATCAAGCGACCTAGCGAGAAGATAACTGTTGCAGGACAACTTGGGTGTCTTGGCAAGAGTAAAGGCCAAATCGTCCATTAATCTTTTATCGTTTTGCGGTAGGAGATAGTCTTGAAGTTGTGATGCGGTTTTTCTGAGACTTTTCTTGTCCACAGCAGACAAGACGAAGAGCCGTGGTGTTTCTTTACCCTGGTTAGCCAGGGAGGCTTGCTGTATGTTCATCGCCATTGATTGTACTAGTGTGAGCATCTGTGACTTAATTCAACAGACATAAGTATTGGACTTATATATCCATCTTCATGCTACAGAATGATACAATTCTATGACGGTATGCAGCGTTTAGTATGGTTTGACAGCCATACCTTGTGTAACCATTATACTACCTATAATACGCTGCGTGTACATTCCAAATACGCCATATACCGAAACAGTATACTTGATGATGATAAAGAGTTCTTTGCCATACTTAGTATGCAGGATGACGGATTCGGTATACTCCAATAGCTTTGGTCGGTCATACCAACCTCCTCTCCTCTACAAATAGACTCATCTACATCGATACACCGTTAAATTTGACTAACTTTTATTTAGTCTCTAGACTCACAATCTTCAAAATAGTAAGTAAATCAACCATCAGCCAATCGCGGAGTCTCCGCAATGCGAAACACATACTTGACCGCGCTTGCCCTGTTGGCCTTCAAATCCTTCATCGCCTGCTCAACCCCCTCCAGTCCATTCGCCCTTACCTCGAATGGATGACCGGAGAACGACCCGACTTGCAACGCGCGCGTGAACCAGCGTGAAAAGACAAAGGCCAAATCGCGCGAGTCCGCCGTGTCACTCTGGCCATGTGCACCGCCAACCCAGGTATTCGAGGCGATGGCGGGTGACACATCATAGGAATGAGGCAGCACAAAGTTTACTTGGCCGCCTGCTGTCACGACATTGCAGAGGACCTCTGTGCTGTCATACGAAGCAATGGTATCAAGGGCGTGGAGAACTCGAAAGTGATTGGTTGCGTTGAGCTGGATGTCGATGTTATGCATCGTCGCTTCCGGCCCATTGCGGTAGTCGACGATGGTGTCACCCTTACTGGGATCGAGGAATTGCTGAACATAGCTTGCTCCCTTGCCAGCCACAGCGATGATCGGATGGACGTTACTCGCGCGGGCTAGTTTGATGGCAAAAGAGCCAACAGCAGTGCTGGCACCGTAGATCACGAAGGGAATAGACTGGGAAGCAGGGGACCATGGGCATGGCAGTCTCAGATGCTGATAGAGCGCGATGGCGGCTGTGAGGCCAGCAAGGGGGATCGTTGCTGCTTCTATATGGAATTAGTCTGCGTGAAGCTATAGAGAGGGGGCGAAATACCCTCAAAGGATGTGTTCTTGGGCAGGTGAAATGTCGTATGGCTCCAGGCAACGGCATACTGGGCATACGAGCCTCCAGGGGCAAGCATTTCGTGGAAAGCAGCAACGCGATCACCGGGCTGGCAATTAACATCTCATCCCATTGAATCTAGGAGAACGATCATACCTGGAATTCCACTACGTTCTTGCCGACTTTCTCCACAACACCAGCTATATCATCACCCTGATTGATTCCTTCGCGCACCTTTTCATATCGAGGAATCGACGAATCATCACTGGCAGCCAATTCCGGCACTTTCCAGTCTTTGGGATTCGAACCCGAAACAACGACTTTGATGAGAAGTTGATCGTCGTTGAAGTCGGGAATGGGAGCGTCAACGATGTTGGCTCGGGGGCCGGGGACGTTGATGACTTGCTTCATATTGTGTAGAATTGATAATTGAAAATGAAGCAAACCAATTTTTTTAGTGCGATTGTCTTTATTATATTATTGTGCTCGTGCTTGATAATCATTGATAGTCGGTGATGTCATGACTCGAAAGTGCGGAGATGGATCCACATGTGAAGTCAGAGAGTATCTACAAGCTGTGATGATTGATTCACATTCATCTGTTTGCTTTGAGTTATTCCAGAACTTGGATATCCTTGGATTGCATTGCTGTGGCTTCCACTTTCCGTGAGATTTTATCACTAAGCAAAGTTTCAGCCAGACAAGCACAACTTTATGTTTTGTCATCCCAGTTTCTTGCGTGGGAAAAAGTATATATCTAAGAGTTATTAATGGAGTATAAAAAAGGCATAAGCTGAAATAACAGTAAATACTCGCTATCAGCTAATATGCCCATCAGCCTTCCACAGAAGCTCAATCTTGCCTAGATGAATTTACAATCATCTGCGATCTTTCTCTCGAGGCTGATGCGACAGACTGCTTCATCGGATTTACCGGTATCAAGATTGTATTGGTCGTTGGAATCGGTGGAGGTATTCCATTTTCACCTCAAAGGTACAAAAGAAGACCATCTAGTGTGCAGCAGTTCGAGGCATCTTACCGTCATAGACACTATCCGCGTGATCTTACGGGACGATGCTTAACAGGAAGGCAGTTGGGCACCCGGACCTTCTCAGTCTCAATACACTGGCTGGATGTTCCAACAACATGGGATATCCAAAAGACGGAGATGATGCATCAATTGGCATAGAAGAAGAGAGAAGCTTCCGGGCTGACCATCCAAACACGCTGATCAGTCTGGGTGACCTAAGATCCGCACTCCAAGTTCAGTGTCTAGAGAGGTAGAATAATGGCTGTCAGGACTAATTGATAATTTTGAATAAATGGCTAAGGGAAGAAACCAGATGGAGGCAAGAGACACCGCTAATTCTCACAATGGCCCATAGCCGAGGCCATGTATAAATTACCCTATTGGCCGTGGTTGAAGCTGGACCCACTGGATTCTGCAATGGAATCTCCAGCCGTTAACCCGATTAGGCAAATCGGCTGAGAATTTGTGTTTGTGGATTTGACTGATCTTCTAGGAGAATTTTCTCCTTTCACAGCATGTCTTGTATAAATACTTTATTCTGGATGATTTCTTGGTTGCTTGGCAGATATCAGGTACAAGACATATTAAATCTCTAAAGAATGTTCACCAATGATGGAGCCACAGGTACGTCTATATACCCCACATAGGTACCTCAGTCATACTGATCTAGATAGACATTAAGATTGTCGACTGGAATGGCCCTGATGACCCCGGAAATCCCTTCAACTGGTCGACAACCAGAAAATGGATCATGACATTTGCTGCCGTCTTCACCACGTTTACAGCGCTGATGAACGGCACCATCATCACCGTCGCCCATGATGCTCTCGACCAGCAATTTGCCGTCAGCGAGACATCATTCCCCAACTCGTACTGGCCCGTCACTTCGTGGGCTCTTGGAGGCGCCTTTTTCTCGCTGATCGTTCTGCCTATCATGGAGGACTTTGGCATCCGAACCGTCTTTCTCCTCACTCACCTTCTATTTCTGCTCTTTCTGATACCGCAAGCCGTGGCCCAGAACTTTGCAACGTTGATCATCACCCGCTTCTTTGCCGGTGGATGTGTCTCGATCATGGGCAACACCGCCGCCGGCGTCATTGGCAACGTGTGGGAAAGCGAAAAGGAACGCACAAAGCCAGTTGGTCTGTGGATTGTTGCGTATCTGGCGGGCAGCAGCATTGGGCCTGTGGTTGGGGCATCCATCTTCCAGTTTCTGTCGTGGCGATGGATTTCCTACCTGCAGCTGATCTGGTTTGGGATTATGTTTCCCTTCAACTTTGTCATCTTCCAAGAATCGCGAGATACGGTGATTTTGAAACAACGGGCGAAGAAGCTTCGGGCCGAAGGGGAACAGAATGCATACACACGGCATGAGCTCGAAGCAGAGCCAGTGGCGCAGATTCTCCTGACGAGTATCCAGAGACCGCTGAAGATGCTGCTGACCGAGTCTGTCGTGTTCTGGTGCGCCATGTGGTCTGCGTTTACCGTGGGCACGCTGTATCTCTTCACGCAGTCTGTTGAACAGGTGTTTGTGTCTCTGTATGGCTGGGATCCGGTCCAGGCTGGATACGTGCAGGCAGCGGTGGTGATTGGCCAAGTGGTTGGATGGCCGTTTTCGTTGATTTCCGCACATTTATACTTCAGTTCTGCCAGTCGCAATACCGAGATGCCCGGCGTGCCTATCCCTGAAGCCCGATTGTACATGTCGATAGGAGGAGGGATATTCGGGATGGGTGGAGGCATGTTCGTGTATGCCTGGACCTCGTATCCCAATCTTCCCTGGATTGCACCGGCTGTCGGGCTCTTCATGGTCGGTGCGGGCTCGGTGGTGGTGGCGATTGGCATCATGGACTACATTGTGGATGCATACAGCCAGTATGCCGGCAGCGTGATGGCGAGTTGTGTGCTGGGCGAGAACACCTTTTCAGCATTCCTGCCTCTCGCCGCGATGAGGATGTACAACACGCTGGGCTTCCAGTGGGCGAGTACATTGCTGGGTTTCGTTAGTCTGTTGCTGGTGACTGCACCGGTTTGTATCTTGATCTGGGGGAGGACAATTCGACAACGAAGTCCGTTTATGCAAGCAGGAGAGAAACGGAACTGATGATTCATAACAAGGATTGTCATTGTATATTCATGATAAATCAACCCTAATAATAGACTCATTCAGCCTAAGAGTTACAAAATGCCACCAAAAATTCCACCTATTCTTCGTGATCAGACAAGGAAGAAGTAATATCAACGCCCAATGGCGGACCCGCATAGTTCCTATATCCCCATACCCAGTACCACACTGCCGCAATAGCGATGAAGCCAACAAAGACCACCGAGGCGTAGTTCATGCTTTCCAATGTAACGGTGCTGTATGAAGGCATCGAGAAGAGCGGGATAGCCACCAGGCACCATGCTAGGAGAGTCAACACAAAACAGACAGACACCGCAGAGACAGGGCCTCACCGAGACAGACTACATTGCAAAAGACACCGAGCACACCCAGATCGAAAGCACCGCGTTTGATATGCCTGCGACGGCAGAACAGCAAAGACACCGCAACCGGACAGGCGTAACTGAGCGTGAGAAAGATAACACCAACACCCGAAAATGCATTGTACGCGGCTGTCGATCCAAAATAGATCAATCCCAGCAGCAACTCTATCACCATACCTAGTATCATCGAATTCAGAGGAATATTCAGACGGCCATCGATTCGCTTCAGCCATTTGGAGCCGGGGATTGCGCCGTCACGCGCAAAGGCCCAGGTACATCGGGACGCGGCCGTCACGCAGCCAGTGCCGCAGATGATGCCCAGAATCAGCAACGGGATGAGGAGGCAGAAAGCACCGGCGGAGTTACCGGTCGCGTACTTGAATATGGTCGGGACGGGCTGGCCGGAGGGGATTTGCACGAGCATGGAAGGGTCAGGCAGGACGAATGCAATCGGGATCAAGACGACGAGGCCGGCGAAGGCATTCAGCAGGACACCGCCGATGATCGCTCGGGGGACTTGGATGGCTGGTTTCTGGACTTCTTCGCACATACTACCATGGTGGGATTGTTAGTGTGTGATCGGTGGGCTGGGTAGAAGACTTACGAAGTGACCATGCCAGACGCAGAGAGAGCATAGGCCGCTTGGAGGAGACCGATGCAAAAGGACCAGCCGGCCGGCCAGCCAGCCTGTGGTTCGAAATCGGTGAAGACGTATTTTGCAGGTCGTCTGCCATGATGCGCAACGACCAGGATCGTCACTACAATGGCCGTGACACCGATGAGCGTCCAGAACATAGCGAATGTCTGCGTAACGGCCGATGGTTAGAACATGTACCAGCTATAAGCGCACAAGAATCCGATACCTCCAAGTGAGTCAGCCATTTATTGCCAAAGACCGGCATCGCATGGCAAACCAGGGTGATTCCCAGGAAGATCAAGTAGGTCTGATAGGCCTGAAAGTTCTCCGCAAGACCAACCCCATCCGACTCGAAGACATTGAGGCTTTCGACCAGAAAGAGAGCTGTCGCAAAATTCACCGCCAAGGTGATGGTGATGTTCCCCGCCACAAAGGACCAGCCGCAGATCCAGGCTGTGACCCGACGACACCATTCTGGAGACAGAGCAAATGTCTGATAATAGACGCCACCCGCAGTCGGATAGACCGAAGTAATCTCAGCCAGGGAGCCCGCCACACACAGCATGATGAGCGAGACGATAATCCAGCCCCAGACCATGTTTGCGGAGCCCCCCTCGGTCAGCGGGTAGGTCATGGTCGTGGACAAGCCATACGGGACGGCCGCGAGGATAAAACACATAAACACGACCTGCCATGTTGATCGGTTGCGGGCGAGCTCTGGCTTGTATCCTAGACTCTCCAGGTTGAAATCCGAAGTTGGCTTGGCATCATCCGTCATGCTGGAGATCGGAAAACAGAAGAGCGAGAACCAGAATCCGAAGATGTCGAAAGACATCCTCACCACATGGACATCTGCTTTATGTATATCGAAGCGAGCCAATCGGATAATAGACGCGGCAAACCCCCGACGCTAGGCTCGAAGAGGAAGCCAAGATGGGGGGATAAGCTTCGGCTGTGGGTCTGGCACCCACTCGCTTACTATAGCAGAGGATGCCATCCAGATAAAGCACACAGTGTCGCCTGCTTCGACCCAACCACCACGAATCTACATGTCAATTGAGTTTCCGCCTGTCCGCACTGCAGCAAAAGGTACGCACTCTGCTGTCCATCTTGATATCAATCTAACATCAAAGGCAGACTGCCCCAAATGTAAATCTCGACGAGTGCCATGCGACCGCACTCTGCCCCAATGCAGAAAGTGTATCAAACGGAATGTCGACTGCCCTGGGTATGGCATCATCCTGCGATGGAACCAAGGCGTTGCCAGCAGAGGCAAGTGGGCGGGGAAGACGATCCCGCAGAGGACGCCGATAGAGAACTTTGCCCATCCGAACACCCTCTATCCATGCCATCTAAACGGACTTGACTTTCGCTTGATCCACCATTTCAATCAACACATCGCGACGAAATTGGCCTGGGTGGATGGCCCTGCCAACCCGTGGCGAAACATGATTCTGCCGCTGTCGTTTGCCTCCGAGACGGTGCTCTTTTCCCTGCTGGCGCTGGCGGCGGAGGATTTTGCCCACAGATACCCGGCCGACCATGGGTGCTTCCGGGAGCTGCAGGCCGTGTCGCTTGGCTGTCGAGATAAAGCAGTCCCCTTGCTGGCCAACAAACTGGATGTTCTGCTGGAAGTATCCGACCCGAGCACGCCCGTGCACCACCACGCCCGATGTGTGCTGGCGTCAGTGCTGCTCCTCTACAACCTCGAGCTGCTCATTGCAGAGGAATCCCGGTGGCGGATCCACATCCAGGGTGCTCGCGCGGTGATCCAGTGGAAGACACAGGCCGCACGGAGCTCTGCGCCCATCGACAAGGCGGATGTCTTTCTCCTCTACGAATACTACTTTACGGCTGTGTTTATCGGGCTGATGTCATTCGACCCGGCCGATGAGATCGAAGACGACATTCCCACCGACGACAGCGTCACCATCTTTTGCGATTTCGTCCGCATCATCCACTCCGTCACCAGAGCCGAACGCGTGATGTATACCACCGGCTCCCAACCAGACCCAACCAGCCTCGCCGATATCGTAGCGGAAATCGAGAGGGCCAAAACCCGGACCACACAGTCGGGCCAGGCGGTCCTGTTCAAATCCCACGCAGCCCAGTGCGACTTTGTCCATCTCGTGTCCATGTACTACCACGCCAGCCTGATCTACAGCCACCGCGTGCTGTCCACCGATGACGGTGCATCTGAACCCCGTATCATCTCCTCTCGGGCTTCCATACTCGATCATCTCTCTCGGCTGGTGGACAGCTCGACCTTTGCGCATGATCTCGTCTGGCCGCTGTTCATTGCCGGGACCGAATGCAGGGGCCTTGTGGCCGAGCAGCAGACCATTGAGCAGGCCCTTCTGAATGTCATGTACGTAAGCGGCTGTCTGGACCGACGGCGTGTTTTGTCGTTTCTCAAGCAGTTTTGGCGGTTGGATCGAGATATCACTTGGTTTGAGATGGCACGAACCGTGCCCCGTGAGAGTAAATTCATCATTATCTGATTGGGACTGTAGTTGTATTGATAAACCGGCCAGGGATTGGAATATACTAATAGCCGTAGCCCCACAGAAAGCTTAACCCTACGGCTTGGCTTCCTGTTTGGGATTTTATACCTGCCAGCCATTCTGATATAAGTAGAATCCCCAGCCCCCCTCTGCATCGCCATCTTCCATCAACATGACACCACAGTCCCTCTCCCTCTCCGCCCACGACATCACCCGCACTCACATATCCGGCTCCGCGTCGATTGCAATCTCCCCAAATACCAATTCCACCGTATATCCCGCAATAAGCATCAGTCTCATCCGAACAGTTGTCTTGGAACAGTCCAGCACGAATGTTGGTGAAAATAAGGGCGGGTTCTTCGAGCGCCTTCGATGCCGGCATTCACCCCGACAACGGAAATCGCAGTCGATGATAGAGAGCAGCTCGAGTGAAGAAAAAGTCATCCAATCCAACCTGTGGCATCAGCCAGAGCTCGTCGAGAACCATGTCCACAGCGAGTGGAATTTGCTACGATTTCCCTTCTCCATCCCCGTACCGGAAGATCTTCCCGCGACGACAGAGACGGTCCTGGGGAAGGTCTCGTATGTGATTGAAGCACAGACAGACTCGGGGATCTGTACGAGGCAGCCGGTTGATATACAGTGTAGGAGTATTCAGGATGGTCAGACAGTGGACTATGCTCGTGCTTTTCCGGGCCAACGGTTGTCCACGCAGACGTTTCTTACCCGGATGAGACCTGACTCGAGAGTCACGGCCAGGTATGCTGCGAAGGAGGTGGTTTATCAGACCATCACAAAGGGCATACGTGCCACGGAGACAAAGTATGCCACGGTCAAAGAGCTGAGATGGCGAGTGGAGGAGACCGTCAACGCGGTAGAAGTGTATCCGGATACAACCCGGTGCAAAGGACAGATTATCCGGCAACTGGCTGCTGGGAAACAGACTGGACACTGGATAGCGACAGGAACAGATGGGCAGGTTGCCGTTGCATTTGAGATTACAATCCCCCAGAGTGCAAATGCAGCAGATGAGATTGACATCTCGTCGTATTCTCGGGGACTGGCCATCACGGTCAGCCACCGACTGATGCTGGACGTCATCATCGGAGAAGACACGTTCGATCAAGGCACAGGCAAGTTGGTGGATCGGAAGCCTCGAGTGAGGTCGTTGAATGCATCTTTTCCGATTGCTGTGGATAGAGCACAAGGCGATGAGGGCTTGATCACGCATGGTCTTCCACAATACGACGAGACAGCCATGCCTCCTGATTATGAACCTAAACGATGATGATACGATATTTCTTAATTCTACTGATCGTGTGTTTCCGCTGAATTGTGCCAAATCCAGCTGAAAAGCGGCTGAGCACAGAGGTAAATAGACCATCTCCAGCCTTTCTCTTTTCCTCACTCTCATCTTACTATCCTACTTTGCTTTACTTGATATAGAATTCATTACATTTCTGACCACTGCAAAATGCCTGTTACCCCGATCAACTCGTACGTACTGTCATAGACTAGTCATAGTATTCATGCTAATAAACCAGACACGCCGAGTTCCAAGAACTCATGGACAGCGATAAGCCTGTTATCATTGATTTCTGGGCGCCCTGGTGTGGTCCATGCCGGACGATCTCGCCCTTTGTCGATTCCTTCGCCGACAAGCCGGAATGCAGCAAGATTGGATTCTACAAGGTTGATGTGGATCAGCAGCAAGAAATATCCGAGGAGGTGGGCATCAAAGCAATGCCGACCTTTGCTCTGTTCAAAAAAGGCTCCAAAGTGGATGAATTTATGGGAGCCGATCGCATCAAGCTGATAGAGATGGTTAACAAGGGCGTTGCTCTCTAATCATCAGCATGTTTGTGGACAGGGAGTTTTCAAGGAAAACTGATTGTATCTAATATGAATTATCAGATATCCTCGAATGTACATCCATGATGGGACCATTAATATTGAATGCTCGATACAAATTGGCTGTGGGATAGATATCAACTATGCTATTCGTCGGAAAATACTCCCGGGCCATTATCCAATCAGATAGCCATAGTAAATAGATTGTCATCGACTATATGATTAACCAATATCTGTCTGGCTTGTAGATAGACTGATCAAAGTTGTCACTCCGATTCAACTGCACTCACACCACTTCTATATGGTTGCATGTTGAATCACCAGTCTTAGATGCTTTAACCTCTTCTTGCTTATCATGAGATGCATATGCCACTTGGTAGACTATATACTAGGGCTTCTGGAAGAGGTGGTCCAGTGCTTTAAGCAGTCTGCTGTTATATCCTACTATAATTAGATATATACTGTTTCCCCCTTTATTCACTAATAGAGTCTGTTTATATAAGCTGGTAATAAGTAAACTGTTATTAACTATAAGTAATATATATAAGTATAGATATATTATTTAATTAGATAGCTCAGCAGACAGTTCAAGTCCATAAGATATCTTGATTAACATGATAGAAAGCTCTATTCTAGATCTTAGAGATGAAAATTAACTAAACACCAGGGTTATCAGGAGACATGGTAAAATGAGTGCTAAGGAATAACGATTCTATGTGAAATTAAAATTGCAGTATAGAAGAGCGGAGCATCGCGAGTATAAATACATGCTGAGCCACTCTTAGTGCTGATGTTTCTCAAATAGGGATCTACCCCGCACATGGCTGACCTTTTCGTTTTCAAGTATGCTTATTGAACACGTAACGGCTTATCATCTGTGGTGCCTTTTGAGTTACTGATTTGTCTACATCAACACGTTGAGAAGAATTATAATTTAACCAGTGCATTTCAGTGCCCCGCACCATGTCGGATCTTGCGAGAACTGGCTGGTTGGTCATAACAACATACTCGTACTTCACATCGTTCTGACACTGTATAGGCTTTCTTCAAAAGATCAGCTCCATACCGCATATGGTGAAGCTCTACAACGCCTTTGTCAAAATCGATTCGAGGATGCCCACTGTTTGCTCAAGGATGTTTTTGCCGCACGTCAAATTGTATATCACGAGAAGCATCATCAAGTCAGTCGGTTTATCAGTTCTTTGTTGATGTCATTCTGTGTGGCATCTCGTGACTCCATTTCCATGGCCAGAAGAATGAAGAATCCCGACGGTAAGAAAGCACCCGTGACTTTCATCGATGATCTACTCGAGTTCTGCGTCGAAACCTCGAGATATGATGAATTGGAGGGATTACTCCAGGAATGCCATTGTCCAATCAAGAAGACCTCGGTGAACTCACGTACAAAGGTATTCTGGAAGTGGAACGAGGATGAGGGAACTACACCACAGAAGTTACTGGTCACACTTCGGCCTCCAGATGGGGATAGTCGCTGGGAGTACATTCTGAGAACACCATTGACCAAGCGTGGCATGTGGGAGGTGGTTGCACATCCTGGAAGGCATTTATTTTGGGAGGACAGTCGCATGTATTGTAAGACATGGGACTCAGCAATCATGAAGAGAGTCCAAGTCGGCGATTCCGGACGGAACCAGCCCTTTGCGATTATTTTGCACCCCGATCGAATTGAGTATCAAAAGGCAGAGCACCAACAACGACTGAATGGCTCGGAGATGAAGGCAGTTCTGTTACGGAAGAGGGAATCGGCAGCATTGGGATCGCTTCTTTATGACAGGGAGAGGGAGAGGGAAGAACATGAAACCTTCACCGGCAGCTATAAGGTCTGGATATTCCCACAGGATACCACCAAGCCAAAAAGACAATTGACTGTCTGTATACATTCTCTCCTGGAACCTGATGTGTCTCGGCTTGTATAGTGCTGACAAGTAATCCACAGAGCAAATACGGTCTCTTCTGCCGAGAAGACTTCTATCGATTGATCAAGCTGGATACGGACCAAAAGGAGTTCATGTTGATCCGCTTTCCATGGTCGAGAGCGCGCCAGCTGTCGTTTAATTGCTACTCGTTAGAGAGTCGTTTTTACGGACTGTCACACATCCGAGAAGATCTCAAGACCCTGTTTGATACTCTCTGGCATGGCCCTAATGAGATGACCAGTGGTTCAAACATCTCCTACCTCAGATGCATCCAGAAACCGTTTTTGGCCAAAAAAGAGAAATACACAATTCGTGAAATCGATGACTGTCTGGTCCAAGTCCATGTTCCGTTCGTGCCATGGGAAGACTTTGAAGCCTCATCATCTTACCAAGCTGGCCTGACATTCCTGGATTACATGGCCAGTTTGAGAAACGGTATCGGTCCTAGGCAGCACGACATGGACAGACTGGCTTTGTTATGCAGAGACTTCAGGCAGGGTGAAAGCCCAAAATTGGACGTTTCGGACACATTGCACCAAGCAGAAGTTCGGGCTGGTTTCTTGGGCTGCATTCCGTCCGGAAAGGCACTGGTCGGCGCAACTGAGCTTCTTGGATGCAACAATCTGGTCTCTTCCAGATGGCGCGATTGGCAGAATTTTCCACTTGCATCACCCCCAGAATCACACATCGCCTTTGGGTCCGGACAGATCATACCGTGTCTAGGATATATAACGGCCAATTGGGCATTTGAAGAAGCCGTTGAGCACCAGTGGCATATCCAACTCTTAGTAGTTGACGCCGTGTTCGTTGATGACATGGGCAATCCGTGCAATTTTATACTGTCCAACGCATCCCTGTCGCTAGCCAAGAGCCAAGTTCGTAAGTTGACTCTGCGGGGAATATATCTTGCTTTACAGAATTCCTAATGCTTCCTTGCTCAGTGACAAGCCCCAAGTTGCGGTTTTTCAGCGCAGCCGTCAGTCCATATCTCTTTCGATACGCCCCGTTCCACCGTTTCCGACTGAAGTTTGCTTCCGTCACGTGGAGGAAGTTTGAAAATCAAGGTGCAATGGGCAATCCAATTGAATGATGCTCTATGGAACAAACACTCATGTCTTCCGATCTAGAGTATTCCGACAAAGAAATCCGTCAGTGGGAAGAGACAAACCGTCGAGAAAAGTGGGATCGTGGCTACAAAAAGCGCCTCCATGCTTGCGAATTGCAGGCCAACCATGCCGACGCCGTGGATGCATTGAGAGCAGAATATGATCAGGAACAAGCGAATCGTCGGGACTGGGACAGTAAAAACCAAGTACAAGATGTCACTCTCGCGAGCATTTCGGGGTTATCAAGTACGCCTGTCATTTCCCAATCAAAGACGGAGCAGTGCAGTCGGTCTGTGAAGCCAAAGAGCGCTCTTAAAAGGCTTTTTGGTAGGGTCTCGAAATAAGGGTTATGCCTTGTAAGACAGGGTCTATTTTGCGAAGCTCATCAATGGATCAAGCCATTTGTTATTCGCTATCGTCGAATTATTCGTCTCTTTTGGTGTTCGTTATATTGGCCCTTCATATATAACCCGAGCTATCGATTTCTCTATTCCCTCCAAAGATGAAGACTGAAGGTTAACTTCCACTGACAAACACAACTTGAACGGCAGCATATCTATTTTTATTAGTCCAACTTCCATAATCCACCGCTATAAAACAGAAATTTAGAGTACTTACGCAGCAGTCACTCCCATAATCTCTGCATTTCTTGCCCCGCTCATCGTCGCCAGTGCTGCCGAACACAGGGCAGAAAACACGACTACGAGACCAAGTCGAATACTTTGGCTCTTAACAACGTACAGGACAATAATAGAAAGGATCGGGAGAACCGACGAAAGAATGATCATCGACACTCGTACAAACAATTGGATCCGCTCATCAGATATGATGGATAACTCTCCGGAGTGGTTGGTTATGCGCTGACAGCGACGGATATCAATTTAGAATGATGGATTCGAATGCTAAAAACCGGATCCTCGTACCTTTTCTTCAAACAAGCGGTACAAGTACTTTGCAAGGAATCGTGACAATGCCTCCTTTTCCTTGACCAAAAGAGCAATCAGATCGTCTCTGTGGGCATCTTCTAAAATAAAGCTGGCATCCAGCCGGGACATATGGGGCTTATGGGCATCAAACATACCCCGAAGGGCTCTGTATGCTCTGCTGCTCGGCGGCTTCTGATCTAGCAGCCAAGATTGTGTTTGAAGGGCTTTATCTATTTCACATTAGTATAATTGTCATCCGATTTGAAAGGAGAATAATAGAACGCACAATACCCCTCGGAAACTCTCCTCATTCGAGTCACAGTATCCAAGTATCTTCCCCCTTCCTTGTTCATGGCATACCAGCTCCGTGGTATACTCCAGGTATCATTACCCTTTGTTTTATCATTGTAGAGTTCGTCGAGGTCGTGGAAAGTCTCCTCAAGCTCTGCGAGCTCAGACTGGAGGTAAAGGATGTTGCGGGTGTTCAGCTCCTTGAACGCACGAAAGACGTTTAGTTCAGTGTCAGAGTTTACGAGGCTGGAAAAGAGGTTGTACCCAATTTTGGGATCATTAGTAGACATGGTCGAGGATTGTTTCAATAGGGATTGTCTTGGGTAAGTGGGAGGTCCTTTGGCTTATATTATGTGAGACTGGGACTGAGGCTAAGCCAGGTTTGTCGATCAAGTGATTAGCGGTAGAATACACCAATGGCAGGCAATGCTTCATTCTTTACTAAGTTGGTATATCAAATTTGAAGAAAAGTTCGCAATCTACATAATCAATCAAGATGTAATTCTCTTATCTGGGTTATAATCAAAGCATGTTCACTTGATAAGATAGATCTAGCTGCTTACTATTTAACAATGCTGCAGTAGTAAGCCCTGCACATTTGATCCATAGTATCTTGTATTGATATATGGTATGACTACTACCAGGGTTCAGTTTTAGTAATATATAGCTTAAACAGAATGAACCATATAAATCACACATACATACTGCACATGGCATAGGGATTAACTGACGGCTCTTATAATGCCATAATCATGTCAGCGGTCTTTCCAACAGCTTCCATCATATACGGCTGGAAGAGCCTCCTTACAGCGACTCAGCAATTCTTTCAAATAGTATGCTACTGCTTCTGAAGACTATGGATGAGATCGAGTGAGAAATCGCTGGTGATAAATCATGTTTCTTTATTCTCTGACTGGCATGCAGCGCAATCTACAATCCGCAGATACAAGACATAAACAACCATTACAATTTCTGCCCAGGAATAGCTGAAAGGCTGAAAAAAAAAAAAAAAAAAAAAAAACGTGAATAGTGGCCATTTTTCGGTCTTTAACCCGTATTGCTGAGAATTCATCTGGTTCTACTTCAAAAACCCTGTCACCCCTATCAACTCATAAGTACTTCCCATGGATGAAGTATTCTTGCCAATACTGATAGTCACTCCGACTTCAAACAGCTTATCAACGGCGATAAGTCTGTGGGCATTGATGTCTGCGCTAGATAATCTCACTTATCTTTAATTTATTATTTAGTAAGATCAGATATGATAAGGTGGATGCTAATATGCAGTTGGAAACTATTAAAGAAGCAGGTATCAAAGCAATACTAACCTTTGCTCTATGTAAAAATGGAGCCAAAGTGTATGAATTCTGGGGAGCTGATAATGTCAAGCTGAGAGAGATTGTCAATCAGGGAGTTGTTCCCTAAGGAAAATGGCTTTTGTGTGGCTTATGGAAGGAATCTGATTGTACATAATATGACATCAGATATCGTCGAACATATCCATAATTTGATGGTTAGTAAATTTGAATTACTCCATATAATGGCTGTAAATAGAGATGAGTTGTATTAGTCGGTAGGAAGATACCATCTGTGTGCGCAGAGACTGCCCTTCGAACGACGCGTCCAAATGCTGCAAGCCCTGGGGTAGCCATGGATACTGTGTTGATGGCCGCTGCTACTGCGGAAACAAATGTTTTTAAATAATCAACTGGGGATAGTTGAAGGTGGGTCTGGGCTGATTTCTGGATCACAGGAGTTTTTATGATGTCTATATATTATTTCATTTTCATTCCTATTTTCCATAGATGTATTGTTTAAGACATAATTATAAATCTGTTTTATTCAATCATACCCTGGTTTATACTTGTGATGAGTAATAAAAAAGTATCTGCTAGTCCTGAAACCATCTATCCTTTAACACGTGCGATCTCTACATATTGCTCGGGAAAAGGGCCAAAATAGCGGCACTGCTCCGTTAGAACTTCCAAGATGTATTCTTTATGGCTATATAGGACAGTGAGCAGTCTGAATAGACTAAAGTCACCTCCATATATGAGACTGATTAACTACAGTAGAAAGTTAGGCCTCATTCTGAAGATGAGAGCTTTTCTAACTCACCACTGCACTGAAAGACCAAATATCTGTTACTATATTCTAAGGTATTTCCATAATCACCTCTGGACCTGACCACATGGCCGCTCCTACAGGCGTACCATGCTTCGCGAAGGGACTGCCAGCAGGGCAACAGCTGCCAAGATCACTGATTTGAGCTTCTGAAAACCTGTTATCACTGCGATCCTCCTTATAGTTAACAAAAACATTGTCTGGCTTGATATCTAGATGGCCAGTATACACGTTCTAATGGTCTACTTGAAAACTAACCTGTATTGATGTATCCATCTTGATGGAGGACACTCGATGCGTCTAGTATGCACCTTGTAACATACTTCAACTCTTTTTATTGCCTTTGGAATTGTGACGTAAGGAGTCCTGCCAAGATATCGGGTTCGGAGAAGCCTATAGCACGTGACTGGTAACCGGACGTGTGATCTCAAGGTGGGGTATGCAGGCTCAGCTGAGCTGAAGAGCTGAGCTGAGCTGAAGAGCTGAGCTGAGCTGAAGAGCTGAGCTGAGCTGAAGAGCTGAGCTGAGCTGAAGAGCTGAGCTGAGCTGAAGAGCTGAGCTGAGCCGTGCCCCCCAAATAAATACCCCTCCATTTCTGCAATTTCCTCCGTCCCAACTGTTACCGCAATATACAGCAGCCTTCTGTTCATCATGTCTGCCAAAATTTTTGTTGGGTAAGTTCTCTGTCATCAATTTCCAGTCAAATGACCTCGCATTAATTAATCCACAAGAAACCTTTCCTGGAACACCACCGATGAGACCTTACGCCATGCCTTTTCTGAATATGGCCATGTTCTTGATTCCGTAAGCGAGCGTTACCTGCCGCTACATATCCAATATCAGTTACTAATCCAGCCAGATCGTGATGCGAGACCGAGACACGGGCCGGAGCAGGGGATTTGGCTTTGTCACATTTGGCAGTGAGCAGGAAGCAAGCGGAGCAGTCGATGCGCTGAATGAGCAGGAGTAATTGTTCCCTACCTGGCTATATATATTTCTCAGAAGCTGACAGGACTTATGTGCCATAGACTCGATGGTCGGCGCATTAAAGTGAACATGGCCAATGCGAGAGGCGGTGGCGGTGGCGCTGGTGGTGGCAGCTATGGCGCTGGCGGTGGCAGCTATGGCGCTGGCGGTGGTAGCGGCTATGGCGGTAGTGGTGGCAGTTATGGCGGTGGTGGTTATTCCAGTGGTTATGGCGGCTATGGCGGTTATAGCCAATAATACAATGGAATGGAGACGGTTATACTGGAGGTCGTCAACAATAGATCCTCCTGGATACCCATTTTCCACGGGTATAAGTTAGAGTATAGTAGGCGAAATGATGGTGATGTTCAACTAGTGTGTCACATGAGTTGAGTTTGAATAGGGATTTAGGACTTAAACTTATTAAATCCCTACTTAAACTTACCTTTTTACTTATACTTTTACTTATTACTCATGAGTAGACTCAACTTATGTGACCCGAGCCAGTCCAACTATTTTAAGGTGACTAAAGTAAATATTGTGATAAGCTATCAATAATTATCTGCTTGGCTTGTATATAGACTGATTCAGGGTGTCTATAGTTCAGGATTCTGATCACACCACTTCGATATGGTTGCGTGTTAGATCGCCAGTCTTGGATGCTCCAACCTCTTCTCGCTCATCATGAGAAGCATAAGCAACTTGGTATACCGTATACCAGGGCCTCTGGAAGAGGTGATCCAATGCTTCCAGTGGCCTGCCAGTGGTATCCTACTACAGTTAGATATATACTGTATACCTCCATGGAGACTTACCGGCATGGCAAAAAACACATATATCAGCGACAGCAGACAGATCAGGCCGAAGAAGAGAAAGGCTCCCCATTTGTGCGTCGCAGTCAACAGACTCGGCATGGCACGCGAGCATCCAAAGTAAAACGCCCAGTGAAAGGCCATCGAGATGGACACATTCAGCGAGCGGATGCGAACCGGAAAGATCTCTGACCCGACCAGATACGGAATGCTAAACCAGCCAATGCTCCAGGCCACTGCATGTAGGAAGATGGCGACGATGGCTGCTGTCGATGCACGGGAAGCACTGGGACTGGCGCTGACCTGTTCGGGGGACATGTCTTTGGTGACACCGAGATAGGCGCCCACAAAGATGAGAGTGGTCAGTTGGAGACAGATGCCGGTGATGAGAGACTGCCGACGACCGACAAAATCCACAATGACGAGGGCAAACAACAGGGTGCTAACAAACTTGACCACGCCGTAGATCCCCGTGGCCAGAAAAGTCGCTTCATCGCCCTTGATGCCCAGATAGCCAAAGATGGTGGGCGAGTATTGCGTGATGGCATTGGCACCGGACCATTGCGAAAAGACCGTCGCCATGAAGATCAGGAAGAAGCGGCGTCTGTTCTCGACGGGAATAAAAGTCTCTTTGAGCAGATCCCATTGCGAGGCGTCTCCTACGGCCTCCATCTCGTGGAGGATCTGCGCATCTATCCCAGCCAGCTCGCTGATCACCACCGGATCATCGCGAGTGAGGTTGCGCAGTCTCGACATGGCCACAGCCGCTGCTTCTCGCTGTCCGGTGGAAAGTAGCCATCGTGGAGATTCCACGCAGAAGAATGAACCAAACAGCCAGATGGCAGCTGGCAAAAGCTGGAGCAGAGTTGGCAGCATCCATTGTGTGTTGCCGGAAGGATGTCGCTTCGTGACGCCGTAGTTGATGAAGAATCCGAAGACAACGCCCAGCTGCTGGCAAGCTGCATATTGTAGGGTAAGAAGACCGCGGATGGCTTTGGGGGCAATCTAATAGATTAGCATAGACTGACAGTAGTGTGGATAGAAGTACCTCTGTGATGTAGATGGGGGGAACGATTGTGAGTGCACCAAGTCCCAGTCCGGAGATGAATCGGGATGCATAGAGGCCAGACACGTTTCCATCGCAGAGGCCCTGGCCCAGAATGCCAGCGATATAGATCAGAGTGAAGATGCGCAGTGTCCAGCGGCGGCCAAGTTTGTCATTGATGGGCGAGCACTGGCAGTATTAATATCATGTGGATGATAGAGATTGGGATACATACTCCAAGACATCCAAAGACAGCACCGGCAGTAGCAATGGAGACAATCCATCCTTTGGTATTGGCATACTCGGCAGATGATTGCTTGTCGAGGCCAAACTTGGCTTTGAAGTAGGATTGAGTGACGAGAGATGCAATGTTGCCTTCATCGAATCCTTTGGACACTCCAGAGAGACCGAATATCCACGTGCACATCAAGACATAGGCATTGAAGATGTTTTTGGGGGAGTTGTGGATGGCATTTCTGGTGTCGGTGATGAGGCCCATAGCTAAGCTGTTGACTGTCAGATGAAGATAATTGTCCAAGGGATGTCTGAACGGATATACATTCAGAGGTAAACAAGTATAACAGGAGGCCCGAGAGCTCTTCGGAGAATTCCCGATGCACACTGCAATATATACAACTACGGTTCACAAACCACTCAGGCCGTACCAACTGATTTCATCATAATGAATTTCTACCCTGCTCCTCCAGTCATCCAGGCCAACCTCTACGCACACATTCCCGCCTCGTTGCGATGCACTGGACAGCCGACCGAATGGCGTGGCGGATCGACACTGCCAGCGTCAGACATCTTTCTCGAGGGTCCGACCTATACAACGGATGGCGATTTGTATGTGGTGGATGTTCCGTATGGACGAATTCTGAAGATAAGCCCAGAAAAGAATGTCACTGAGTGTGTGCGCTACGATGGAGAACCGAATGGCCTTGTTGTTCGAGAGGATGGGTGCATGGTCATTGCCGACTACAAGCAGGTATTCTCATCTTCCTACGATTACAAGAGTCATCGTTAATTCTTCAAGGGCATTCTCCTCTTCGATCCATCGAGTCAAGCGATATCGCCCCTTCTCACTCGACGCAATCTCGAACGATTCAAAGGCCCCAATGATCTGATCGTCTCCTCCACCAACGACATCTACTTTACGGACCAAGGGCAGACGGGCATGACCGATCCAACAGGATGCGTCTATCGTCTGTCCCCACCCGGGAAACTGGACTGCCTCGTCTCCAACGGAGTCTCTCCGAACGGTCTGGTTCTTTCGCCCGATGAGCGCTTTCTCTACGTCGCCATGACTCGGTCAAATGCCGTGTGGCGGCTGCCACTGCACGCCGATGGGACCACGTCCAAAGTAGGACTGTTCTTTCAGTCTTTTGGATGTGCAGGACCTGATGGACTGGCGGTTGATGAGGAGGGAAATCTGTTCATCTGTCATCCCAGCTTGGGCTCTGTCTTTGTTGTTGACGCGGATGGCATTCCGAAGGCGAGGATTATCACGGCCGACGGAGGGGGCAAGAACTTGACCAACTGTACTTTTGGCGGACCAGAGGGGAAGACGCTGTTTATCACAGACAGCATCAAAGGCAACGTGCAGTATGTAGACTGGCATTGTGCCGGAGTTCCAGCGGCCAAAAGTGCAAAGACAATAGAAAGCACTGAGATAGCGAGTAACTAAGAGGAAAGAAGAATGACATTGACATTAACGAGCATAAAAGTAATTCAACTCTAAGGACTTTACAACTTGGATACAAACTGATGCAGGTTATCTATCGCAGCCGTCGCACTGGCGAGTTGCGCTCTCGATGTTGCAGCGCCAATGTGAGGCGTGCTCACGACATTCAGGTTATCCCACAGTGAGCCATATTTCTCCCGGCTCGGAGGCTCCTGCTCATGGCAATCAATTCCAGCGCCCCAGAGATGGCCCTCAGAGAGAGCTCGGGCGAGGTCATCTTCATTGACGATGCCCCCTCGCGCGGCGTTGATCAGAATCGCATCCGGCTTCATTCTGAGAATCTCCGGGTACGAGATCATGCCCCGTGTTTCCTCCGTCAATGGGATATGCAGCGAGATGATATCCGCCGTGGTGATGACCTGTTCGATGCTCGTTGCGCGGGTGTGAGGGATATGCGACCATGCATCGGCTGGCAGATAGGCGTCAAAGGCGATGATCTCTGCGTCGAAGCCGCCCCGGAAGATCTCCGCGACCGTTCGGCCGATGTTGCCCATGCCGATGATGCCCACTCTCTTCTGGAAGAGAGTCACCCCGTTGCATGTCTCCTTGGGCACTGGCTTGGTCATTTGGCGGGTGGTGATGGACCGGATGGTGCGCGCCACGGACAGCGCGAGAGTGACGACGAGCTCGGCGACATCGCGGGCATTGGCGCCAGGAGTATTAAGGATCTTGATGCCTCGCTTGTCGCATGCATCACGGTCGATCTTGTCGATGCCCACGCCGTGCTTGCCGATAGCGAGCAGGTTGGGACAGCTGGCGATATCGTCGGCCGTCATGTAGGATCCTCGGATTAGCAGGAGGCGAGCATTTTGTCGCCAGCTCTGGAACTGCTCGTCGTGGGGCTGGATGACGTTGAATAGCTTCTTCGCGTGTTCGATGGCTGGGGGAGGAAATTTATCGAGAACATAGAGGGTTGGCTTCGTGGAGGAGCCACTTGGGAGGCCGAAGTTGTCTGTTCGTGAAGGTGCCATGGGGTATTATCTTGACAGAAAGATAGTTCCTGGATGTTGGATGATACGAGATGGGTGATTGTATATAATCACAATGCGTTCAGGGGCATCGGATCCAGTCCGGGCTGGGTTCGGAAAAAGTCCTTCAGCAGAGATTGGACTGTTCCAGGCACGATGGACGGTGGATTCTGCAGGATCTGCGATATACTTGTCAGTGTCCATCTATATTGTCTTGTAAAGCACAGTGCATACTGGATCTCTTAGAAGCCCTTCGGACAGAAAGCTCGACAGCGTCCAGATGATCCTACAAAACACTCGCAGCGCTGGAAATCTTTCGCCGAGGATCGTCAACAAGGCAGCGCATTTACTGATGATGAAGCTCTCGCCGACTACTGCAGACACTTGCTTAATACGGGGGATGCAAACGACAGCCACTCCAGCAGCGAAGATGTCAAAAGCATCAATGAAAGACCCAGGAAAGGTCCCTTTTTCGGATCGTTGGTAGGCCTCGTCGATGAAATCCCTACTGGTTGTGATCAAATCGCAATCCACGGTTCCAGCTTTCCATATACTCGAGCGCATCTTGACCTTGCTGGTCTGCAGCAACGCCCGTGATGCCAGCTGCTTGATGTAACTCGGAGCTTTTCCCTTGCTCCTGGACACGGCTTCTACGTAGCTCATGGCTTCTCGCCACTGATTCAAGTTGCTGTAATGGAATGTCAGTCCTCGAGATTGGTATCGTCGCCGGCTAGACACGAGTCTAGCGTGTGCAAAGATTTGAATGGCAAAGTCCGCTGAGTTGGAGTCGTCGGCTGAGTACTATACAGTGTTATTGAATGGGAGAGGTGCTTTGACCGGGTATCTTACTTGTAGTGAAATATCCGCATCTTCAATGCTAAAGGGTCGATCCATGACACTGCTGATAGTCCTGCACAGTGTCAGTCAATCCTCTCGTTTCTATGCTGCAACCTACCGATCGAGGGTGTAGAGACTCCAGAACAAGCATCGTCTGTAGTTCTGCGTAGATGGGGGAGTGTCCATCGGTGGCTCTCGGTGGAATCCGAATGAAATGGACTTTTGCATTGCAAGACCAATCAGGTGCCATGCTGAGCCTCCCAGGGGGCTGAACAAAGAGTATATCACCAGCGACAGCATGCATTCCAGTATCCTTTCGGGGTCGTCCGAGTCCATCACCATCTTGAAGCTATTCATTGCTGCAGCATGCAGACTCCCAGCGACCACGTCCACCCCGGGCTCTCGAGATAGTAGCATCCCAACCGCTATATTCATGTAGACAATAAAGTTCCTGAACGATTCATCTACGGTCTGCTCCCGTGATTCATCATGTGTAGCGAAGAAAGCATCCCACTGCTGCCTTGCTCTCGTGGGCTCTATATGCAGGAATATGACAGCAACGTGGTCGAGAAATCGATCCAGATATGGAAGAGCAAATTCTCTGTTGAGAATGTCTGTCTGGCGGATCATCGTTGCAATCCGACGGCTATGGGGAGCTGCATACGACGATCGTGATGGATCTTCACCCGAGATGTCGAGAGCAGCCTGGACGATGTTGCCCATGGCCAGCTCTTTCGGGTTATTTGTCTTATCGCGAGGCTCTGCCATGGCATTGCGGGACAGCAGGCCAATTTCTCCCATGGCAGCCTCGACTGATTGCTCCCTGGCGCGCATGTCATCGGCCTGCGAGACAGCGACATCCGATGTCTGTGGAGTAGCAGTCTGGACGGGAATGGGCGAAGCATTAGATACGCGCAGTCGCTGCTGCTCCCGTTGGTCATGCAAATCATCAGCTTTGCGCTTGAGTGATTCGATATAGCTACAGCATTGTCAGCTAAGCACTACTTCATGTGTGACACAGCATACCCCGGCAGCGCAGCATGGGAAAGGCCAGTGCCCTCTTCCATGGTGAATTCGACCGACACATGGCGAGCAGCACATTCGGCATTGACCTCGATGCAATTGCCGCATGTTGGCAATCGTCGGTCACACTGTTTCATCAGCATCAGCCACAGTCCTCGTTGCAAAAACAGACCCACCTTTTGCTTCCGTTTCCAGCATCGCTCGCAAGCCTGGGGTCGGCGGACGGGAGATTCTGTTGTCATATTCGGATGTCCGATAGACTGGAAAGCGATGAGTGTCAATTGTTAGAAGTTTTACCGGACAAAAGAGGGGGAAGAAAAGAGGAGGAGAAGGGCGCATGTCCGGGGTGGAGTCATATTGATTGATGGCCGGAGTAATTCCGGTAACAATACAGAAGGTCCGATGGGCCGGAGATGAGTCCGATGGGGAAATAAAGGTGTCCAGTGACTGAATGACTGTCTGATTGATAATTATCTTCATCATCATGTCTTTTGCCTTCCCCACTGGAGCATGGGACAGCCACATCCACTGCTTCGACCCTGAGCGTCATCCTTTCAAGGAAAATCGAGCGTATACTCCACCACCAGCAACCTTGGACAAACTCCTACAGCAGAGTCAAGTCGATCGCTTGATGCTGGTGCAGGCCTCTGTGGAGAATGGCTTTACTGGAATATTAAGCCATATTACGCGATGTCGGCAACAATCCCCCCACATGACTATTCGCGGTACAATATGCAACGAGCCTGGACTCTCCCAGGTAAGCGAACAGGACTTTGATCGTCTCCATGAGATCGGAATCAGATCCATCAGACTACATGGCACTTATGGGATGGATGGATGTGATTTGGTCTCTGTCAAGGAGACACTTGAAGAGTTGTCGCAGTGCATCGGCATCACCAAGCATGGATGGACGATATCTGCCCAGCTGCCTCTACCAACATGGGCAGCCCTGAAGGATTTCATCATCCACTCTCTAATCCTGGCCAATGTTACATTCATCGCCGATCACAATCTCTCGGCGACTCCAGACGATATTGACAGTGTGGCGTTGGATGCGGTGGTGGAATTGCTGAAGGCTGGGAAGCTGTATGTCAAGGTCTGCGCTCTCTACCGTCGCAGTGAGGACATCAGCCAGATGAAGCAGATTGTCCAGATGTATGCCAATGCTGCTCCACGATCTCTGCTTTGGGGAAGTGACTGGCCTCATGTGAGCACCAAAAAGAGGGCGACAGTAGTGGACATCAACAAGGAACTGTTGGCACTCCAAGACTGGCTGTCTGAAGAACAATGGCAGCAGATGTTGGTAGAGAACCCAGAGACAATATATACTTGATGTAAACTATTCATGCTTATATCCATTTCTCCAGTTCTCTACTAATACTCTACCACCGCCAAGCTTTAAAGTCCTCTGTAAGTCTCGGCGGTTCCCCGAAATCTGGGGCCGCAATCCTCCCCAGACTGCATCATGCAGAGTATCCTCTATAGACAACTCACTCCGACATCAAACATTCAATCCCTTATCATCCTTCGACCTTCTGCCATGCCTCCATCTATCTTTTCAACCAAACGCCAGAACCGTGTGGCTGATGATGCCAAACAAAAAGATGTCTGGGTCGAGGATCGCAGCACAGAAACCTCGGATGTGATGGCCACCTATCGTTCCTACGATGCAGACACTCTCAAGACGATCGAAGCCAGGCTGCTGAAGAAGATTGACGCACGAATCCTCCCGATGGTGGTGCTGATCTATCTGTTCAATTATCTCGACCGCAATTCCATCACGCAAGCCCGTCTGTACAGCCTGCAGGAAGACACCAACATCCACGGCGCCCAGTATCAGACCATCATCTCCATCTTTTCAGCCGGATACATTCTCATGCAAATCCCCTCGACCATGCTGATGACCAAGCTGCGTCCGTCCCTTTATCTGGTTCGTCGTCCTTGTCCTTGTATACCATAACATGCTAATTCTCATAGCCAACATGCATCATCCTGTGGGCCATCACCAGTGGCTGCACCGCAGCAACCCACAACTTTGGCAGCATGTTGGCCGTTCGTTTCTTCCTCGGCTTCGTCGAAGCTCCCTTCTTCCCCGGTGCGATGTATTTTCTCAGCTGCTGGTACACCAAACGCGAACTTGGTCTCCGAATGGCCTTGATGGTCTGCGGTCTGTTACTGTCCAACGCCTTTGCCGGACTGATCTCGGCGGGTATCTTGACCGGGATGAACGGAGTTGGTAGCATTGCTTCTTGGAGATGGCTGTTTATCATCGAAGGGCTGGCAACAATCGTCGTGGGAGTGACTGCCATGATTGTACTCCCCGACTTCCCCGGAACAACCATGTGGCTCACAGAGGAGGAGAGGATGGTGGCCCAAGGGAGATTGAGTGACGATGCTGGAGCGACCGAGCTGCTGGACGAGGAAAAGGTGCCTCTGATGCGTGCCATCGTATGGGCTGCAAAAGACAAGCGGACGTGGTTGTTCGCATGCCTGCAGATGGCCACCACCGCGTCCATCTCGTTTTCGCACTTCTTCCCAACGCTGATCAAAGAGATTGGCTTTTCCAACAACACCATTGTGCTGCTGCTCACCTCGCCCCCGTACATTGTGGCCTTCGCCTGGGCTCTGAGCTGGGCGTGGGTGGCCGACAGACGGCAGACCCGATCGATTCCCGCTGGCTTGTCCCAGGCTGTGGCTATACTTGGATGTATCCTGCTGATCTTCTTGTCTTCGTCCCTCCAGTGGCCTCGATATGCCATGACCTTTCTGGTCTGCAGTGGCACATTCGGAGTGTATTCCACCACGTATGCCTGGCTGTCGTCCACCATCACACAGCCTCCTGTCAAACGAGCTGCTGCGATTGGAATCGCCAACACATCTGCCAATGCCGCATCATTGTTTGCAAACTACTTCTGGCTGGATCAATATGAACCCAATTACCAGGTTTCGTGGGGCTGCATCCTGGCTTTTCAGGGAGTAGGAGCGGTTTGCATCCTGACACTTCGCTTCTTACTCTTGCGCACAAACAAGAAGTTTGACAGGTTGGCTGCTGAGATGGATCGAAATGATACGATTGGCATTCAGAGATTGGATGATGAAGCAAAGCGTGCTGTTCTGAATGATTTCCGCTATGTGATTTAGTTTATCATGAATCGAAGGATTGTTTCAAAGAGATCAATCGTGGTTGTCTTTATTCATGATAGCTGAAGTACAGCAAAAATATATAACGAGCATTTCTGAATCAGAGTACACTTTGATTTCTATCCACGCAGATAAAGATTATAGTCTTATAAGTCACTTTCCAAATATAAACAAATGAATTTAACAAATGCATGAGGAAAAGTCTGGATGGCCACCCGACGGAGTGAATAATACTAGTAATAATACCATACCAGTATGTAATTGACTGTATTTCCCCGCATTTCCCCATATTCTCGGCACTTCAACCTGCCTTTCTTGCCATGGCCAAGCACTTTCACCACGTTGGAGTGAAGAGGAGAAATTGAAACCCAACAGCAGGCACTTTGGCACCATGAAGGATGGTCAGCCCAGGAATCTTGCTCGTCTGCCTGCTTGTCAATCATGCTACACCAAAAAAGTCAAGGTATGTCGCTTCAACGACTGGATCGACTGCAGCTGACAAGTACACAGTGTGATAATGCGAGACCGAAATGCTCTCCCTGCACCAAAAATGGACAGGCCTGTATGACTGTGAGCCTAAGCGGCAACAAGACAGTCGCACGAGAGTACGAGACATCACACAGTGTACTGTTTACAAACTAACCTCTGCAGATATATCTATCAGCTTGAAGAAAAGATCTGGAGTCTGCAGGAAGACATTAGAGAAGCGCAGAATGCAGTGCAGACCTCGAATCATGAGCCGTCTGCTGAGAGACACGAGGACATCGCCGACAATACAGACGAGGCTGAGACGAATGATGGGGCGTATTCCTCCCCAAGCCTTACAGAGGGCGCAGGCCTTAGGTATCTTCACGATCATGTGCTTTGATACATCAATCCTGCAATCTGACCAGCTCTAGCTTTATACGCCCCTTGTTTGCCGATGCTGGATGGAAGCAGCAGAACCCAAAACTGCTTCAGAACCTGTCCAAAACATCATCCATTCCAGAAATGGCAATATCACCGAACCCGCTTCCCTCGTTGGAGGAGGCCAGGGCTGTATTTGACAGCTAGTATGTCTCCCTTATATCGCCCTAGTGGACGTCCACTGACAGCAATAGCCTCAGCAGCTCGCATGTACAAAATCCATTCTTGCTTCGACGAGATGTGCAGAAACTGTTTGATCGAGTATACCCAGCACATGAATTGCCTATTCCACAAACATCTAGTAATATTACAAAACACGATCGATATCGCACCTTTATGATTCTGGCAGTGGGATCTGTTCCGCTATATCGAAATGGGAAACATAACCACCATCCATATGGATACTTCCTTTCGGCAATGGGAAACATCGAGCTCAACCTTCTCTCGAGGGGATTGGAATCTATCCAGGATCTCTTGCTGATTGGTAGATTTGGGATCTATCACCACATTAGTATGCTGTTCACTAGCCTAGACCTTTCTAAGCACTCACGGTATAATAGGTACGTCAATATGGGAAATTGTGCGACTGTGCATGCGGATGTGCGTCGAGCAAGGTCTTCACAAAGGCCAATTTGGTCCAGGGCAGAGCCTCCTCGATGAACAGCTGTCACGGCGCGTCTTTTGGGAATGCTATATGATTGATCGATATAGTTCGATCACTCTCGACCGACCTGCTGCAATTGCCGACGACGAAATCCACGTTGATTTCCCGGTCGATGCTGATGATGGTGAGATTGAAGCTGCTGGTGCATCGGGCGTCTTTCCAGATCTCGACTCATTCGCCAATACCAAAGCACAGATGGGCTCTAACAGAACCACGGAAACGTCAGTCTTCCTCCTCTGCTTGAGATTGCGCAAAATCACATCCAAGACGCACTTGAAGTTTCAGCAACTCTCGAAGACCCAGGGCTCATCATCGATGACAGACTCTTTCATGGCGAGTGGCACCATCTATGCCATTGTTGATGAACTACTTTGTGATCTAGACGCCTGGCGAGAGTCCGCACCTCAATATCAAACTCCAAAATGCTTGTACGAGATGCAGGAATGGTACGATCTGCTGCTCATGAGAGAACGACTGCTTCTGGTTCGCAAAGCTATAGACATTGTCCCGCGAATCAGGAATATACCACCGCAGGATCTTCTATCAATTTGTCTTCAATGTGCGATTGGAGCGATTCTCATTTTCTCCTCCCTATACGAGCAGAAGAAAATCACATATACTCGAAGTTACTTCCAGCTGCTGTTTACTTCTGGGCTGTCAGTCATGTTCTGCGTTTCAGCAATAACAGAGCATGATGAGGAGACAGTTCGACAGGCTGCAGAAGCAGTAAGACAAGGGGAGAAAGCCCTCAAGACCATGGGAAAGGAGCTCTCGGATGCCGTCCATTACGTGGCTGTTTATGAAGCACTGCGGTCATTCTGCTTGGCCAAGTGGAAGCATCTACAGGATAATCCTTTCTCTACCGGGGGGCGAGTTTCCTCCAGTCATGAGACGAATGCCTTCGTGAGAGACCTCCATCCAGGTCAGGCAGTCAGAGTCGATATGTCGAGCCTAGATTCTGCTCACGATCAGAGCTTTCAAGACGCCCCCTGGTTGTCAACATCTAACCTTGCTGAGACACAGCCCAACTTGGCCTATCATGATGCCAGTGCCGAGGGTAGGATATGGGATTGTGATATCTTTGGGGACAGTGCATTATGGGACATGGAGGCTGGGCTGGGCGAATATGCCTACGGAGACCCGCTGGTATCTTCATTTATGGATGAATTCATATCTAGTTAGACAGTACATAATGGGATATACATGAAATGTTTAAAGCTTTCCCTGCAGCCTTGAGCTAATCTCCTCGTAGTTCTGGCTCATCTTCTTCATGCCTGCCTGCAGCATCGACGCATCCTGGCCACTGAGAGACCATGTTGCACCCATCCGGAACCATTTATCCAGGATATCCAGTCTTCCACCAATGCCACCAACACCCACAGGCTTGCCCGCCCTGTTGGCTGCTTCAATGACCTTAATCACAGCGTCCTGGTAGACGGCACTGTCGTATTTGCCTGGAATCCCCAGGTCCGTGCAGAGATCATTCGAGCCGATCAGGACGCCATCGACACCTTCAACTGCAAGGATCTCGTCGGCAATTTCAACGGCAGCAGGCGTTTCGATCATGGGAATGACCATAGTTTGCGAGTTTAATAGCTCGTTTTGAACTAGTGTAGGGACGTGTTGGAAGTTCATGATGGCCTGATTGTTCGTACAACCACGAATTCCCAGCGGTGCAAACTTGGCATAACGAACAATGTCCTTGACTTCCTGGACACTCTCGACATGGGGAATGACAACGGCAGAGGCTCCTGCGTCAAGGATGCGACTGATGTGCCAGTGGGACTTGGAGGGCGATCGGACGACCGGGGAGACGCCGGCGTAGTTACAGGCAAGGATCAACTGGGAGACAGTACGCATGTCCAATGCAGAATGCTCCATGTCGATGAACAAGGCATGAACACCAGCCATCTTGGCCATCATCGGGATTTCATTTCCGGTAACGAATTTGATAGACATAAGAGGTGTGATTTGGCCATTGAGGGTTCTGGCCCGGAAAGGGTTGGACAGGGTGTAAGGTTGTTCGATAGAGCCCATGGTGACTGAGGTGAGCATATGAATTGGTAGATGAAAAAGCGATAATTCGACATCTCACGGTACAGTTGAAGCTTTAAATATTGGGCCAATTGCAGCGTATTGTTGGTATGTTCCTGGTGGTTGCGGAGAATTCCCGATGGTCGGAAATCTTCCAGAGTGCAGATGGCACCATGATCTGACCTCCGCAGCTGGGTTTGCCATTGAATCCGAGTGGCTACAGCATTTCTATTGCAGGCTAGTCTTTAAGCTCGGTCATAATGAGATGCATGCGAATGCAAAATATGATTGACATGTTGGTCATTGTATGTTGTAATGCATTATGGTTGAATGTCGGTCTTGATCCGTTGGAATATATAAGCACTTGCGACAGCTCTGTGGTATGTTGGTGATAGCCTCGTCGAGATGGGCCTCCATATTATGGCCTCCGACGTTTAAGATCAACATGTATGTACGGTCGTTGCGCAATTGGGCTGGCGGAGCGAATCTTGCCGTGTCGACACGTTGAGGATGATGATCAGCGGCTGAGTCTTTCTCGAATACGAGGTCAGATTGACAACCTCTCTCCAGTGTGACAACGAGATAATCTGCCTTGACTGTGATGTTGTCAACACAGTCATCTTGTTCTCAACTTGTGATTAGCAAAGAGTAACCAAATACGGAGACCAAGATGTCCTTGGACAATATCCCCGACGAACTCTTGCCGCTGATTGCGCAATACCTTGAGCCGGATGAACTCTACTCGTGGACGTTGACTGCGAGACGATTTTATGTCGTGCTGATCGCAGAACTTTACTCTATCGCTGTGTCTCGCGACGAGGAAGAGCTTGGATGGTCGGTTTCCCTGATCCTGGCGGCGGCGTCGAACCAAAACAGCGCGTTCAAAGCGTTGCTGAAACGGACCAAGCAAATCAACGGGGCCAATATCAACGTTGATCTGCTCCCAGGGGATCATGACTGGCTGGCCTTAAAGCGTAAGATCATCTGGGCGACCGTTCATACCTCTCTGCTGCACGTGGTGTGCCATCTCGGCAACGACGACATGATCCGTCTGGTGATGGCCCATGGCGCCGATTCTTCCGTCTGCGACTCGTCGGGTTGGACGCCGTTGCATCTGGCAGCCATGTGGGACAATGCCACCGCGACGCGGTCGCTGATAGCCAGCGGCGCAGATGTCAATATAGCGACCCGGGGTGGTGGCGAGTATCACGAGTTGCCGTCCAGGGCCTTGCATCACGCGATTATGGCGCGCCATCCGAGAATTTGGAAACTACTTCTCGAAGCAGGTGCCGATCCCTCCGCAGAATACGACGAGTCAGAAGACTCTCTTTGTCTCGCAGCCCAATATGGAGATGTGGCCCTCGTGCGTCACCTTCTTGCCGGCTATGATTTCGCTCACCAGTCCGTAACGAACGCCCTATCTTACGCTGCCAGAAACGATGATCCCTTGGTAGGGAATGCACTTCTCAATGCGGGGGCTGCTGTTTCCGACGTTGCATTATTCCAGGCAGCACGCTCTGATAATATCCCTATGATCAAACTCCTTATTGACGCCGGAACTGATGTTACTGTGTTGGACAGCATGGGATATAATGTTCTATACAATGTGCAGAGCGCCGCAGCTGCCCAGTTGGTTTTGAATGAAGCTCCTGGTTTAGCCACTTCCTCTATCCTGCATAGCTATACGCTGCTGGACCGGCTGTATAGGGACGACAATCTTGTTCACCGAGCCAGAGACTGCAAGACTGTACCCTTAGCATTACTGCTCATTCAAAAAGGCAGCAGAGTCTCGGTTTCAGACAGCTATCCTCACAGAAATGCGTTTCATGCAGCAGCGCAGGTCGGACATATAACTGTCGTCAATGCAATTCTGGAGCGACAAGGGTCAGTCGTTACTTCAAGAGATTCTGACGGCAGCACTGCGTTACATCAGGCTGCAATTCCATCATCTGCAGGCAAATTAAGCTGTGTTAAGGCTCTGGTGGAGTTTGGCAGTGATGTACACGCCCTGACCGACGAACGACGATCAGCACTACATCATGCGTATGGCAAGCCACAGTGGGGAATGGATGTGCCTGATTCGGAAATCGAGGCTGTCACGAAGTATCTCATTGAAGCTGGGGTCGATACGTCGATTCAATCGCTTGATGGGAATACAGCACTTCATGAAGCCTTAACTCATGATCAGCCCACATCGGCACTGATCCTTCTTGATGCAGGTGTTAATATATCCGCAGTGAATCGCTTTGGGGAGACAGCACTACATCTCGCAGCTGAAAAGGGATATGTTGAGGTGTTCAAGAGGCTTATCAAAAAGGACGGTAGTATCTCTGCCCGCACTGCAAAAGGAGACACTGTGCTGCACCTTGCAGCACGTGAAGGAGCCCGCAGGCACAATTCCATTGAGGGGTACGTGAAAATGGTGGCGTGTATCCTACTTGGTCACGACAATATTTCCGTTCAAGCAGTTGGGGGCCAAGTAGGATTGGAACCTCTGTCCAAGACAGGGCATATGGAAATAATCCGACTTTTTTGCAACGAGGCAGGGCAGGATGTCCTGCTTCAAAACAACAAGGGATTTACTGCCTGGGACATAGTAAAACAAAGAGCCCAGGAGGTGGCATGGTCTTCACTTGAGCCCACCCTGGGAAGTACAAGACCACTAGATGCCGAAATCGATGAGACAGCCGGGTTGGACGGTCTTGGGGATTTGTTTGGTGCCTGATCAACAAACCTAGACATCTAGTTGAGCAGATGACCAAATTGACTCTACTGGCAATGATCAGAGTAGGTAGGATTAGTAAACTACATAAAACGCAGGTGCTGGTCGTAACTCACTTTTCTGTAGATAACTACTTGATGAAATGTTAGATTACACATCCAATGGCTGATAGATATTCCATCAGGTAATCTGCTGTGCGTAATTGATCAAAGAGCAAGAGGAAATGGCGGTCACCCCAACTTTGAATATACCCTAATCAACTCACTGTGTCTTCATCCATTCAAATATTTCCTTTCATATAATATATCGTTGAAATTTTTATTGGTCTATCAAGTAAATTATATCATGACCATCTCTGCGCCCGCTGTCAGAACCGCAGTGCCTGGGCCCGTGTCGAATCGCTTCCAAGATGAGCTCAACACAGTTCTGGATACCCGCACAGTGCAGCTGGTGATTGACTATGACAAGAGCTCCGGAAACTAGTAAGGCATCTACAATTCTGGATGCCGGGCAAGTTCTGGGCTCATGAGCACATGGCCTTACCCTTGCCGCTGGATATCGTGACTTTCTCCAAGAAAGCCCAGACAGCTGGGTACTTTTTCAGTGACGACAGACATCATTCTGATTAAGTGTATCGGCAGTTCAATACGTGGGTCTAGAAGTATCTATCCCTAGCAGTAGACTAATCAGCATGGATACTGATGGATGGGCGACGCCGCCCAAATCATCATCTGCAACGTCGTCATTGACGAGCTTTTGAATAAGAATCTTGTTGACAAAGCGGTATCTCACTCCTCCACTCCATTCAATAGATTCTAACAATGACAGGCCCAAGTCGGGGATTCCCCCTACGACAGCCTATCCTCCCTCGCAGCCAAATACCCCACCCACATCCAGAATCTCCGCGGCAAAGGAAAGGGCACATACATCAGCTTTGACACTCCCGAGCAAATTGGTTTGATGATGAAGATGCTCTCGGTGTTAATATCGGAATCAGTGGTGTGCAGAGTATCCGACTGCGCCCGACGCTGGTCTTTGAGTCGCATATACCGATACTTTTGGGAGCCTTTGAAAGTGCTTTTAACCGATTAGACTCTCAGCTATCGAAATTATAATTGACCAGCAATCTCCAGCCCCTGGTTCTCACATCTCGTGCAGTCGTAGGGAGGGTTTCTTAGATGGTTGAATACCCAATACGCCCACCGGGCATCGGTTCCCGGTTTAATTGCCGGTATTTTTGTATATTCCTTTTTAAACAGCCCGTTCTTATAACCCAAGGACCACTCTTGTACCCCACATACAGTGTTCTGCTCAGTACTAGTACTACAGAGCTCCGCAACTCATAAGAAACATTTCACACGTCATGGCCAGCTTTCTTGACCTCTGTCACCGGACCATTATAATGACGTCTTCCCTGGACGGCATACATGACCAGGCTCAGAAGGAAGACCGCCACAAAAATGACCACACTCCAGTTGAACGTTTCCGCTGTGACGGGGGTCGACTCTGGCCAAAAAGACCAGAACAGCGCAAAGAGCACATACAGCCAACCTGTGATATTCACAACCAGACCATACCGACCCAATCCCCATCGGGCAGGTGGCAATGTTTCTGGATGGAATATTTTGCGCCAGATGAGACAGCTCATGGATATCGAGTAGGAGAACATGAGGGCTGCCACATTCAGAGAGACAATGGCATTGAAGGCAGTCTCGGAGCCGATATTGATCAACGATAAGAGTGCACTGAAAATACAAGAAATTATAATGGAGTTGACAGGTAACTTGCGTTTATCATCGACTTTTGAAACCCAGGTTGAGAATGGGAGCCCACGGTCTCGGGCAAACGAGAATGTCTGTCGTGAAGTGGATGCATTGAAGAGGATGTTGCTTACGATGACGGGAATTAGGATGATTGCCGTCAGGCCATTGACGCCGGCGGTATTCGTAGCCTGTTTGAAGGCGGAAATGAATGGGAAGCCAGTGTCATCGTTCAATGCTGCCTCGACTGATGGGGTTGCAAAGAGCATGGCAATGAGAACAACCAAGGCCATGACAGCGTTTGCAAAGTACGACCATACCATAGCAATGGGGACATAACGCCCAGCATCCTCGATTTCTTCAGACATGTGAGCGCTTGCATCAGAACCTGTAGGAAAAGTGAGTTTCTCTCATTTACGCTTGTTCTGTAGGGATGTACATACTCAGACAACCATATATGGCTGCTAGTTGGCCCACCATCACGGTCAGTCCCATTGACGACCATCGTCCAAAATTCTCGAACTTGGTAAAGACCGCCTCTGCGGGCTGTAAAGGAGCCATGACCCAAAGCACGACAACAATGACCACCCAGCAGAGCACATGGGTCGCGAGCAGAAGATTCTGCATGCGGGCCATGAAGTCTGCAGCGTATACATTAAAGAAGTAAGTGATCAGGATCATGGCAAATACAAACAAAGTGCCTTGCCAGCCTTTGGGGTCATAGCTCGGGTCCCGGACACTGATCAAGCCCTGGATGATTGTCCCGGTCAAAAACATGCCGGATGCAGTGCCTGCCTGCCAGGCCAGAACCGACATCCATCCGGTCACATAGCTGAGGAACTTCTGGTACCGAGGCGATGCAAATTCCGAAACCCAATGGTACTGGCCTCCGGATGTGGGAGCCCTAGCCACAACAGTCAGTCACCAAGAGTATAGGTTAGAGAGAGTTTGCGATTTACATAGATGCCATTTCTGCCAGGGAAGCAATGATAAACCCAAATCCCACTGCGCTCCATACATACGTCCATAGCATTCCTGCCAGTCCGCCATCTTGCAGCCCTTCATAGTCGGAACTATTCTCCTCGTCAGCGCTAATTTTCCTGGATGAAACGCAATGTCTTACAGCATTATGTATTCCCAGGTGGATTGCAGCACTGCAGAGAAGCTAAGGGCTGCCAGGGGACGAATGTTTCTCTGCAAGCATTATGAGCACATCACGATGATATCAAAAGCGACTCGAATTCTTACTTTGAACTGCTGGGGTTTCCCCATCCGATCCATTTCTGTCGCGTCATATCGCGTTCCATCGGTCTCATTTGCCCCTTGGTTAGATTCGCTAACCCCCAGACTTCGAAACCCTGGGATAACTGGCTGTTTTGCCGCGTTCTGCTGTACCCCCTGGTCAACAGTCATCGTCAGGTCATTCGAATTTTAAAGGGAGAGAAGAAAGGACCACTGCCAAGTAAAAATTCCAAAGGCGGCGGAGGGGAAATCAAGACCGCGCTAATGCGTGGTCAAGGCTTGATAAGGCCATTAGCTTCCTCTCAGCATGATTGGATATGCTGGGCTTGGCGGCGGCTTAGCGCTTACAGCGGGCGGTGATCAAGCCAACTATCAACTCTCCTCAGTTTATCTGATGCTGGGGCAAAGATACTGTTTATGTTTCATACTAGCTACGGGCCATTTTGGCATACGCGTACATGCCATACAAACCAGGCATGCAGCCTATAGTTTTGGTAGATGAGGTTTAGAGCTATATACATTCCCATCTTTATTGATCCTATCTCTTACTGTATATATATATATATATACACACACCGGATAATGGTGAATCTGCATATTCCGACCTCTATCTCTATGCATTCTTCTATTACTAAATAACTGAGAGATCCGAACTGTCAGAATAGAACGTCTGTCCTGGACATTCTCTATTACTATACTGATACAATAGAGCAGTTTGGAAAAAAGTTCCTAAAGCAGGAGCCAAGAACCGATTGGGGATGGCGGGGTAGGCCTGAATTCGAATCCCCAAGCTGTCATGGCCGACGTGGCTCTAACTATCTTGTCTGAGTACATAACAGCCAAGGGATCAGAAACTTGTGTTCACTCATATTTTGAATATGCTTCTTTTCCCATAGCACAATCAATGATCTTGCCTGTCCCACCGACAATTTGTTTCCTAGAAGCCTGAGAATCTTAATAAACCACGTCTTCGAATTGCGGGGGAGAAATATCCAAGTCGAGTTTCCAGCCTCCGCCTGCAATCCTATTAATTCGAAATAGCAGCCCAAAGAAATCAACTCGAAATGCCTGATCTTACCGGAGACCCCAAGTCGCATGATGTTGCTCAACTCGCAGAGGGGCTTTCTGGCACATGCCTGTGTGAGTCAGTGAAAGTGACAATCCATGATCGCGATCTGTTCACAAGGAGGAGGGGCCATATATGCCATTGTGCGAACTGTCGAAAAGTCTCTGGTAGTTTTGCTGCCAGTAACCTCATCATCGAGGAAGCCAAGGTCGACATTGACGACCGAGAGGGCACTCTCACCAAGTTCCTGGATACCCAAACTGGAAGCGGCACACCACTTGACAGATATTTTTGCTCACGCTGTGGAAAGTAAGTGATTTGTATTGAGGGAATATATGATATTAACGACTTCAGTCCTATCAAGTCTGTCACACCTCTCTATCCGGAAAAAGTTGTCCTGAAAATGGGATTGTTTCCAAGGATTCCAGCACCAGAGTTTGAGACGTTCTCTCTGCATAGACATGAGTGGCAGGGCTCCCACCCCGACGTGGACAAGTACAAAATCAAAGCGTTCGCAGAGAGGCTGTAGTGCACAACTCAGCTAGTCGGCACTTGGGTAGTTCAAGGAGGAAGAACATCGGAAATAGTTAGGAGTGCCGCTATATCTCAACTTCGGAGTTATTATATATAACGCCGCGACTTTAACGTTGTATTGCTCGTATTCAAAGCATTGGAATTTGGGACTTTTGTCAATAAAGCAAGAATATCGAAGCTCCACAGCGAAGCCATCCTTTGGCTACAAATATTTACCACATTTATCTCTCAGAGCTGTCATATTCTAATCGGCCAAGACGGATTGTCCCCGAGCAATGCGGGGCTCGTATTGAGTTAAAGCCAAGGCCCGAGCCGAGCGCCGGCAACCTTATCACTTTAGGGTGGGGTAGTCAGTGTTGCTTGATTCTGCTCTCACAGGAATCCCCCCAAAGTATTGCAAAAGGATTTCTGCAACTTCAACTGCAATGACTCCTCTTTCTTATGACCTCATAGTTGTCGGGTCTGGCTTCGCCGGATGCATGACAGCCCTCAACTTTCTAGAAACCTGCCAACGGCTGAACAAACCCGGTCGAGTTGCTATCGTTGAGGCCGGCAAGGAGGGCGAACGGTGTGGTGCTTCACGCTGGACGGGTGCTTTCCTTCGTCTGGGCCATGACCTCGCCTTTGATGAGGATTGGGTCCAAGAAATGATCCAGGTCAGCAACGGCCAGGCGGATGTGGAATATTGTCGAAAGCTGGCGCGTGAGGCAAAGACTACCGCTGAATATGTCGAGAAGCACGGAGTCAACTTTGTTCGGCACGAAGAAAAGAACGTAAGTGGCCCGCATGATGACTGAAAATTCTACTGATGAGGTCATCACAAGGTCCTTCTCGAATTCAAGACGAATCAGTATTTTGTCATGCCCGACGGAGGCGGATGGGCTATTATACAAGCTCTGATGAAGCATATCGAGTCATTCGACAACTGTGCCATCCACTGGGAAACGGAAGCTCGGTCTCTGTTGACAGACCATCAGGGCCGAATCAATGGAGTGCAGGTCCGCCGGTCCAACGGACTGCTGGACAACCTCTACGCCCCCGACGTGATGCTCGCCAGCGGTGGCTTCGAAGGCAACCGGGAGATGCTCGCCAAGTATGTCGGGCCCAAGACACACGAGCTGCAACTGATCGCACCGGGGCTCAAGTACAATCGTGGCCAAGGATTGAAGATGGCTCTGGATGTCGGTGCGGAGACTGCCGGATCCTTCGATGGCATTCACTCCGAGTTGGTCGATACTCGTGCGACAAAGCCCGATGCAGTCATCTGGGGCCATAACTACGGCATCGTGATCAACGACAGCTGCGAGAGATTTTATGACGAGGGAAAGAGACACCTTTTTGCCACCTTTGAAATGATTGCCGTGGAGCTCTGGCGCCACCACCACAACAAAGGCTTCTTCATCACCGACGCGACTACCATGGACCGGTTCCGTCCCGGCTGGGTCTATCAAACAACCGATCAAGATCCGATCCAGGCCAGCAGCATCGCAGAACTGGCCGGGAAGCTGGGTGTGGAACAAGCAAAGCTTCAAAAAACCATCTCAGAGTACAATGCAGCCTGCAATGACCGGCCATTGGACCTCATGAAGCTCGATGGCAAAGCGACTACCGGACTCAAGGTCAACAAGTCGAATTGGGCGCATCCGCTGGATCGCCCGCCCTTCTATGCCTTTCCTCTCACTGCCCAGCTGACGTTCACCTACGGGGGTGTCAAGGTCAATCTGGATTCCCAAGTCGTGGCAACCAACGGTGCCCCGGTTCCTGGTCTTTGGGCGACTGGCGAACTCACCGGTCTATACTACAACGGTGTGTCTTATGATATTGATTACTTTTTGATTGGGACTAACAAGTAGTTAGAATATCCCCCCGCCACTTCAGTCTTGCGGTCTTTGACGTTTGGTCGGTTGGCAGGCATCACCCTCGCACAGAGACTCCACAGTCCCCAGGGACGAGCAGTTCTCTGAAGCTATAACTGGACTAAGGCTTCATACTGGCAGATAGCTGAATACTACATCTATGTCAATAGTCATATCACTAGGTGTCTGCACCCCATCCCCATGTCATATCCCATCGTCCAACTTGGCCCACTCCCCTCACCATCCCCAGTACGAGAGGATCAATCACAATCCCCCTCCGTTCTCTACGTTCCCTCCCAGCTCGCAGTAACCGCTCTACCTCTTGCTCTGAAAGAACATCTCCATACAACCGTCGCTCCCATGCAGCCTGCGTCACAGCCGGGCCCCATAGATCCGCCAGTGCATTTTCATCGTGTCCACACGCATACACCTTCCGCCACCCAGCGGGATGCCGACTATCTTTGACATCTCGCGACGAATACCACACTGACCGCACGACCTCGTAGCGGCGTTCCAAAAACCAAATTATAGGCCATGTCAATATCCACAGCTGCAGTATGATACACAGCCAGTATATGAATTTATTTGTCCGCAGTCGATTGATCCAGTGCGGGGAGTAGACGGTGACGGAGCCTCGGGATAGCGAGACGTAGATGTGCACGTTGCCGCGATAGTTCAGCGAACGGAGCTGGGAGGTTAATGCCGAGTTCAACGAGGATGAATCGAGCCCGTGGAGAGTACGTTTGAAGGTGAACCTATCACGTTAGCGTTGATGATAAACCTCCATCAAAACATGGGCCATACGATTTCACCCGCGCCGGATCATTGCAGAATCGCTCACACCATCCCAACAATCCAGGCGATGATCCATCCTCTCCAGCGTTCTGCATCAACCCTTCACTCTCTCCATTTCTACCCTCAATATCGGGACTTGTCTTCGTCCTCCGTCGATCTCTCCAGTTCTGCGACTTACACCGTCCACCCCGAAAGGCCTTCTGCCCATCCCCATCCGCGACGACCTGCACCTCAAACCACCGCGTCCCATGCTCGTTCTGCGACCCATCATCCCATCGTAACAATGACCTCGTGAGGTCAATCTGAAAATTAAAATCAACCACCGACTCAGTCTTGTTATCTTTCCCGCTGGATCGGGTCTCCGTGTGCACGCCCTTGACGGCGAGACGTGGGCGAGGCGGAACCCGTGATTGGCGAGTGATGAGATCATGAAGGGCGTGGGTATCTGATGATAACGACGGGTTGAGGGTGATGAGGTCTGTTTGGGATTTTCGGGGGTGGGTGTTGCTGTCGGGGATGAAGTAGGCGGCGTCGGGGGGGATGGGAGAGGCGCTTTGCGGTGGGAGAGTGATGGCGTCGTCGTAGGAGGGGGGGAGATCGCTAGAGGAGGCTGTCGCAGGATCTTCGGGTTGGGTTATTGGATGTTTAGTATCTGATGGAGACATCTTGTTGATGGTAGTTGAGAGTATCAGCTGTGTGTTTGTTGGATGAAGCCGTGTCCGTGTCGAGAGTGCTGACACCATGTGATGTCTCGACACCAAACCTCTCGGCTCAGCCGCACGCCGCCGCCTGTACAGCAACAATTTTGCTCCAACTATGATCCAACTATGGTGTAGAAACAAACCAAAAAACGGAATAGAAAATTCTTTTCAACAAAGCCCAGAATATCAAAATTCGAAAAAAAAAAAAAAAAAAAAAAACATCTAATTTCGGTGTCATTTTTCTTCTGTCGACATGATATTCCGGAGACCTTGAAGGCACCAAATGTCGTTGGATCTCTCTTGAGACAAATACTCAGCCAAGTACCAGATGTCAGAAAATCGACCGATTTTCTCGAAGACCCCGAAGCCCTGGGATTCTCGGTCTTGTTCAGCCAGTCATTCTTCCAGGTAACAGGGCATTGGCCGTAACTGATGGAATAGACGAGCTTGATAACAGCTCAAGAGAGACATTGTTGCTGAAGCTCCTGGTGCTCCAGGATATATTTGCGCGATTGATTTGCATTTCACATTGCCCAGATGTAAATCGTCCCCTGAAGGTTGACCCCAAGCAGCTGTCAAATATTAGAGCTACATAGATGCCCGAAAATACCGTTGCGATCTAAAGCTACATCGAGAATGAATTGAATAGACGCGTCAGATCCAACAAGCTAGTTGTTGGCGATGCTACGCTGCTTCTGGAAAGCAAAGAAGACCTTCTTGAAGGCCCACAGGGAATGTTCCTCAGGGTTGCTCTTTAGATAAAGGCTTTGTGCGCAATGCAGACAGACGAAGCAATCTGAATCAGCTGGAAACAATGCGACGCCCACAACCATCCCAACTGTATGAACGGCTTTTTAATTTATGATATACCTATTATCATATGGGTAATATTGATTGTTGAGACACATTTTCATATTACACGTACATTAATATGATTGAAAAAAACCCCGTCAACAAAAAACCCACAACCCTAATAATCCTGCAACTTTTCCTTCACTCTCAGGTGTGATGGCAGGTAATGAAACCATGGTCCAATTCTACCACCTTGCCACCATCCAATGACACCCAGGTGCGTTGCGAGTCAAGTTCGGCATGAACCTTTGGAGGCTGCGAAATGGTACAGGCCGTATTCTGGAAGTTGGCTGTGAGCTGGGCGCTGGTGGCAAACACAACGCCATGGCGAGCGACGGCCGTATCGCCCCAGAGAGAATCGATGGAGTGTTTCACGCCGTCAGTAGGAACCTGTTTATTGGCATTGGCGCCTGATTGATCGTTGGCTAGCTGGACCCTGACTGTGTTGACGGGATGAATGTTTTCTTTGTCAGGCTCAGCATCAGCGGCGGCTGAGGCGAGGAGGAAGAAAGCCAAAGGAAGAGTGTTGGTGATCTTCATTTTGTGGGGATTTCTAGAAACTCAGGTAGAATATAGAGAATTTCTTGTATTTGATAATTATGAATAGGGCAGATTGACGGGTTGTTATTGCTCTTTATATAATTTTTGTAGACTCCATGTCGGCCCATCTAGATTGAGATGTCAGTGTCATTGTGCTCTCCTAGGTAGTAATAGAAATAATTGGGTAGTGAAAACAATTGGATACCTTAGTTGGAAACGATTGATGGATCTTGACTACAAAAAAAAATAGCCAGATGCGGATGTTCGTATAGTCGATGACGAGATAATACGAGGTCTTTTGACCGGAATATTCTGAGTCCGGCTTTTTAATGTAGCCAAAGAACCTCAAAACGGCCAAGTAAAAGCTTAACATTCTTTGTTAGTACATACAAAATAAACTGGAGTGTCAGAGATTGGTGAGATTAGAAAAAGAATGGCATATTTATGATGTCACCCAGCCATTCCCATTCTCATGTAGTGTCATTTCACTGCTACTCTAGAATGACACAGTGAACCCATGCATTCCATAGCTCTTGAAAACAAAGCTTAAAATAGACAAACATGTTCGTAAATGAAAAGAAGGAAGCCTTAGCCGTCATGGCTTCCACATGCGTATTGAATCTAGATCCATCTGTCAGATTATTCTTAAATTTAACCTAATGTGGAAAATGCTACCACAAGCGAGCCGCAGGTCATAACCATAAAGTAAAACCAGGATTCTAACAGGATCCCAACATAATCCCAGTTCCATCATTTTAGGTATGAGGAACGCCTGTGACTAGTTTGTCTTGACATGCTGTCCCACTTCGGAAAAAAGCCTGATTAAACCACGCAGACACACATCATAAAACGGATTCTCGGTTTTGTCTTGGATATCATTGACGCCACCGTATTCTGCAACAATATGATAGAAGATATCCTCGATATCATCTACTAACATTGCCATTCTTCTAGCGTCCATTTTTTAGCTCTAACCACGACCCATGCTTTCAGGTATTGAGAATCGCATAGCCATCTACTGCTGGATGGAGTGGAAGCATGGTTTGTAAAGTGTTCGTCCTGGTCATCTTTGCCTAGGCACATACTGATAGGTATAGAATATGCCGTTATTTTATAAAGATAGGAACTTGTAAATTCAGAAACTATAAGTTTCTACATGAGCACAGTGACAGGAACAGAAGTGAAAATAAAAACAGCTTTCTGAAATTAAAGGACCTATCAAATTAAGAACATGAGTTTCATGAATGGAGGAATAACATTCCTTGGAATATGACTAATGTCCGCTTTCTAGGAGCAGACTGGGATACTCTTTCTAGAAGGCTGTTGACGAAAGTACCACTATCGCCGAGCTCATTAGAATATTGATTACCCCCCGATTTGCCGGTATTTTACTAATCCATGGTATGTAGTGGCTTTCAATCCTACCTATATAAGCCGAAAGATCGATACTATCTAGCGCGGATTCTGCTGGGCGGAAGACAATCCTATTTCCTAATATGGTGCAGTTCCTGTCTATACTAATCCTAATTTAGAAGTATTAATATTAATCCTATTAGACTAATACTGATCCTAGAGGACTAATATCAATCCTGAGTGAACCTGCATAGCGACGTGTATATAAAGTTAGCCAAAACAGGAATAAGAGGTCTACTACTACTACCATTAACAAGTAAGGCCGAGGCCCGGGGGGAATGGATCGAGCATGGGAATTGATGGTCCTGGCGCAGCAAAGTTTGCAGACACTTTTTTTAATCAATATAATGCACATAGTCAGCTTTACATCTAAGTTCCTTTTTAAAGTAATCACATTATTCTAGTGATATACTGTAAAATGCACCCTGGGCATGAATATATACCTAGGAGGAAGTATTCACACACAGCCAGCTGTTTTCTGATTATTATAAGGATAATATGTGTAGGTTTATTAGTGCACTACAGATTACCCAGTCTATTGGAGAATAAAAACTACTTAAGTCAGAGCATGGCAAGTTAGCTCAGAGCAAAATTATATTTATATATTTATGATGTGATAAACTTCACCCATCAAGCCCATCCAAAATATCCGCTGATGGCGCAAAGAAAACACAGCCGGTCAACGGCCTTGAAAAGTCCAACAACCGGTCATGCAAACCAGGCGGATGCCCCACAAACATACGTTCTAGCATCTTCTCAATAACCCACAATCTCCTTGTATACCCAATGAAGTAAGTCCCGTACTCACCAGAAGCCGGCGACCCAAACGGCATATTATCACGCAGGATATCGTGCTCATTCCCTTCCTCGTCTTCAATCGTGCTCAGCGTCTTATGAGACGCCTGTTTTCCATCCTCTGCGTCGTCGAGTTCGATATTATCGGGCTTTGTCCGCCCGATGATCTGCTCTTGTTGCTCGGATCCAAGATTCTTCCAGCCTGGAAGGTCGTGCACGTATTTCTGGACGACGACGTAGGAGCCACCTGGGGTGCTGGAGCTGGCGCTGGGGTCATCGTCATTGGTGACGAGGACAGAGGCCGGGACGTCGGGGCCGACAGGGTTGGCGGTGCCGTCCACGAAACCGAGGAGATCGCGGGCATCGAAGTATCGGAACCCCGTGGTTTCGTCTTCAAGGTGTACAGCGTCACCTAGGCTATCCATGAGCTGGCGCTCGAACTCGAAGCATAGATCGCGGCGCTCAGCGCGGATGTGGAAGAGGAGGTCGCCTGGTGTGGAGATGGCGGTGTGGTTTGCGCCCTTGACGTCGCGGAAGGGGTGTAGTTCTTTCGGACGAGGAAGGTTGTTTGTCAGAGTGTCCCAAATGGAGGAGCCGATGCCAACGGTGCAGGTGAATTTGGCGTCGACATCGCGGAAGGAGACGTTTTTGGCGAGGCTGGAGATACCGGCGAGGGTAGAGCGGATGGTTGGGATTGCGGAAGGGGATGTGGCGGTTAGGACGAGGAAGGTTGCATGTCTTGTTAGGGGAGCTGTCACCGGTTGGGAGCTTGCGGTTGTTATGCTGCTCATTGCTCGGGCTGATCTGAGATGGCTCGAAAAACGGGGTGTGCTGGTAGCTCTGAGTGTTGGGACGCCGCGGAGTCGCGACTGGGTATGCAGGTACGAGAGACAGATTGGCGATGTCCTGAGTGTGATGAATGAAGAATGCGAGCGAGAACCGGGAATGAAGCTGGAGATGAGACTTCGTGTACAGCTCATAGTTGTATAGGGACCAGAGTCCAGACCCCGCAGTGGAGTTGAGCTGGAGGCGAAGGAGAGTGCCCAATCAGGCGAGTTGTGTTTCGCAGCTTGATAAGCAGCGTTGCAGCTCCCAGCTCCGAGTGGGTCCCCGCGAGCTTGAACTGGCCAGTGGGCACGCAGACCCACGGATCACCATTCTCGGCTATCAGTTCTGATTGGCTAGATAGTACTACCAAATCTGGAGCGTAGATCGGACTCGTTGCGTCACTGTTCGGCCCCGCCATAGTGCTACTCCCATAGTATGCCGGGGGTATAGAGAACGAGGATGACGACTGCTGGGCATCACCCATCTATCTCCTAGTAATCCCTGTATTAACTACCAAGCCAAATCATCCTCCAATATATTGAAAAAGACTCAAGGTGCGTCATTCCCTCAGTGATTGTTCGGTTCTCTTATTGCAATGCTAACCAAACACTCTAACGAACAGGAACCCAGCAAGCCGGCGAGCACAAGGAAGGCTTCTTCGAGAAGATCTTTGACCACCACCATAATAAGAGCCGGCAAGCCAGAGGGCGGCGAGGGCGGGATCCGCTCCGACCCAAAGGACGATGCGGCATGAAGGAATACCTGAAAGAAGATGAGGAGCTCGAGTAAGAGGGCCAGACATATGCTGTTTTGATGTGGTTAGAAATCTAACTGCTTCTATTGCTACCTACCTCGGCGTTGTGAGTTTTTCTTGCTTTCTTGCTTGTTATTATTGATTATGACATGCGGCTATTACTATATGTAACCGGGGATACTACGCGGCCGTTCTACCATGATCGAGTCCATCTGATCGGTTCATTCATTCGCTACTGAAATAACGGATAAATAGATAGATAAATGCATAGCTCATAACATGACATGATATAGCATCTGCCGTGCGGCGCGGCGTCACACTAATGCCCGTGCATGGACGACAAAAGCGAATCGGGTGTCCATCCGTCGTCTATTAGCATCGAGGTGTTGTTGTTCCCGAGACAGCAGAGCAAATTGAGAAGACACTTTTCAACACCCTGACGTGCTTCTAAACTCAATGTTTTCAGGACCTGTACAAGGTCCATAACGTAATTCACCTTAAACTCCCCCTTCTCAAACAGACTTGCGAGACTTTCAAATAAGAGAACACGCAGGTTATAGACTGAATTCATCCACATGTGCTGAGAATCCCGTAGGAAAATCTCTAGTTCATCAAGTGTATTTGGGGTCGTAGGTGTTGTTGAGCCGCCATCCGAGAACACGGAAATCGACTCTTGTATCAGGACGCTAATGGAGAATAGACAGCCCAACATTTCATCTTCCCATTCAGTGATAGCCTCACCACCTGGGGAAGAAAATTCAATAGAGTGTTGAAATTTCTGACGCAGAAGCCTGTTTAGGGTTAGGGTTAGGGTTAGGGTTAGGGTTAGGGTTAGGGTTAGGGTTAGGGTTAGGGTTAGGGTTAGGGTTAGGGTTAGGGTTAGGGTTAGG